TTATTAGCTTCAACTTTCTTTTTCTCGGTAGCCATGTGTCGTCAATGTTCCTTTTTTTGGTTCTGTTCCTCATCCACAGATGACCGCAGATTCGGGACGGGATCGAGATGTCTGAACTCTTGAAGCGCTCGTTTGCTGGCTTCGGCCGCACAGACTGCAAACGACGACAAGACGAAAGAGGGGTCCGACCAAAAGAAGCAACTCAGCGTGTGCTTGGAGAGCTTTGATTGGTGAGTATGAGTTTTCACTCGCAGACTGTCCTTCTCCGCTTTGGATCCGTTTAGACAGTGCGCCGAGTGTGAAAGCTTACTGGATGTGGCATCGTCAACTTCTTCCAACCGTGAGATCAAAAAGCACGTGGGAAGCAATGATGGGATCCTTCTGTTATTTTGGGTTTATCAGTTTGATAATGACGTTGTTCATCGGTGGCATCATCAACCTTGCCGGCGATGATGAAGAGAAAACAAGAAGCGATACGCCGAGGCTGAGGCGAGGCCAGATCGTGAGGAGGCAAATGAGGCGCAACCAGACGACGTAACAGTAGCAATGTGCCCCTGGAGGCTCAACGGCAATTGTCGCAAACGGCAACGGCATCGTGGGGCTCTTGGGGCTGAGGGAACCGGGCACGCCGGGACTGTGGCGACGGACGTGCTGCAGCTCTCAGCTGATAGCAATGACAAAGCGTGGAATTGTTGAACTTTGGCATTGTGAACCACAATGACTCTCTCGTGAACTGCGGTATTATTAGCAGGTGGATATCCAACTCGTCCTCTCTGTTGGCTGCTGAAGAACTGCCAGTGCGCTTTTCGGAAAGACGGAGCGGAGAAATGCCTTTTTCTTCCAGGCACAAGCGGGCATGCTTTTTTTTTCTTCTCTGTTCAGTGGGCCCTCTTTGTTTTGGAATTGAGAACGGTTCCGAAGAGGTGGAGCAACCTCGGGTATTTTCCGCTGAACTGTGCACTTCCATTCGGCCAATTTGAGCCTAGCAACGAAGCAGAGATCCATTTTCGAAACCCACCTGCATTTCCATCTCCGAGCCAGAGAGGAGCCCGAAGACCCTGAAGAAAAAAAAAAGAGGAAGAGAAATGAGAAGGGACGAAAGCAGAAGGTGCAAAGACCGAATGGCTCGATTCTTTGTCTTCACCTCGGTCAGTCAGTCTCAACTCGTAAAGACTTTGTAAATCACTACATCAACCAACCCTCAAAATGTCACTGTTGGCTGTCATGAGTGGGGGGTTTGTCGTCACTGATCAACATTTTCAGTACGGTATTTACTGTAAAGATGCAAGTGGTGGCCGATCTTTCGATAGTGTTGCTGTATTATTACGACGGAGAGCCACTAGAAAGCATCACTTCTGAGGAGTTAACTGAAGACACTATTCCCAAAGTCTTTGCCAATGTCGTCAGTTCTCGTCATGTCTGCCAGAGTCTCTTCGCTTCGGCTTCTCTCTTCTCTCTTCTCACTTTCTTCCCTTGGTGCGTTCGCCGTCCTCGCGGATCCTTCGGATTGGCTTTTAAGTTGGTGCAATGCCATTGGTCGAGAGTCTGCCGCCAGCCAATCGTGGACCCCAGAATTCTAGATCCGACCTAGTTTAACGCTAGTTCTTCTCGGGTCAAGGTTCAACGTTGGCGTGTGGTCCTGCGATCTGCCTGTTTTGGTATTTCCGCCCTCACCCATGGTTTGATGTGGTTTGAGATGCCGCGTGTGGTCATGCCATGATGGTGTTATTCGGTGCTATCATGTTTGTAGCTAGACAACTGTATGTGTTGTTCAGTTGTGTTGTTTTGGCTTGCCATGATATCCCGTTGACGGAACAGGCAATCGCGCTTACGAAACTGTGCACAAGATGTCTGGTGGGCGATTGACATGCTCTTTTTCCTTCTTCGGTTGAAGTCGCGTTGCTTTCGGTTACAGCGCTTTCAAAGACAGCTGCTCTGCGCTCAGGCTGCTGTTGCTCCTCTTTCTCCCGCGTGCCTTTCGAGCCTTCCACTTTTCTGCTGCAACCTCATGCTGCTCTGCTCTCACCAGCTGCTGCCAGTTACCAGTTGCATGCGCGTGTAACCCTCCACCAAAATCGGCAGCTTGACCCCACACTACTCAAGTCCAGGAATCCACATATTGCCCGTCTGTGGATTCTTACCGCCTTTTGAAAGAAAATGGTGTACTGTCATTGGCCGATCTGATGTTTTAACCCTGTTCAAGCTTCCCGGTCCTGGTCGTTCTTGGCTTCGACGCCAACAGACCCCCCTGTACCCTGTCGAGTGTGCCCCTCTGTCCAGTCTTGGTGAGTCTTGGCTGCTGTCTTGCGTCGCTAGCCGGTCGCCCCCTTCCATCATCGCAAAATGCACTCCCGCACAATCCCACCTTGCACCCCCCTCCCCCTTCGCCAAACGGCAATGCAGAGGAACGAAAAAAAAAAAAAAAGTTACGAGCGACGCTTTCCCCATTGCGCGCTCCATCCACACCAGTTACGTACACCCACGGTACACCCAGCGGGCACCTCTCTCTCACCCACACCCGGGCCACTCTGCCATTCCACTGCCATTCGCAAGTGCTTCCATCCTCCCATCATTTTCCTGCACTGTCTGTCTCTTGTCTTGTCTCGTCTCCCCTCTCTTTGCTGTTGTTGCTCCCCCCAAAACAGATAGACTCCCCCCCTCCATCATCCGCCACCATCGTCTCTTCTCTCTTTCCTCTCTCGCTCCCTCTTCTCCTCTTCTCTTGCCCATCATACTCGAACTTGTTTCAAATCGTGGTTTGGATAGCTATCGTCTTCGGGAGAGAAAAGGGTCATCATCAGACATTATTCTTGTTATCTACTACTTCTACAAAGAGTTGTTGGCGACTCGAGGCAAGAAAAAAAGAGACTCATCCTCCTCTTCACTATCTTGTCTGCTATTCGTGCACGTTCCCTCGTTGACGTGGTTCAGAAGCAATCATCCCATCTCGACAAAAGGCACCCTCCACGAGCCTCCTCCTCCTCCTCCAACATCTCCAACACGACCGTGAAGCAGGTGTCAAGCAGTTGTTGACGTTAGCGAGACGCACCACGACTCCACGCACGCCTTGCTTACGCATACAGTTACCGGCAGCATACGTTACTATTAGCCTGTAACATAATCAGTCTCACCTCAAAGCCGCCAACCCACGACCACGCACTCCTTGTCTACTTCGTTTCTAGACTACCGCAACCATGGCCCCGTACAATACTCGACGCAAATCCCTCTCCCTGCCCTCGCTCGGCATCCACGTCCCTACCTCCAAAGACTCAAGAGCCGCCGCTGCCGCAAGCAGAGCCTCCAAAGAACAAAAGGACTCTTCCCACACCAGCTCCCATACACGATCAAACACAGCAGCAAAAATGGCCTCGCCTACTCCCTCAAATACAAGCAGCTCGAAAGCGGAGTCTACCTCCTCCAAGAAGCTCAAGCGCACGCACAGCGCCGTCGAGACCGAAGGCCGCGCGCATCCGTCCGAACCCCAACAGAAGAAGCGCGAGGAGCGTGAGACTGTCAGGTTTCAAAATACACCCCCTCCTTCCCCGGGCGGCGCGCACCAGTCTGTCGAGTGCGACGATCCTCCCAGGCCAATTGACTTCGAGGCTATCAATGATGATATCGTTGAGGCGGTCATCGTCCAGCTCCAAAACACTGGCAACAGGCCGCACTTGGTCAAGGAGCTTGCCGCCGTCTTGATGCAGCAGTTGAAGATTGTTCAACAGTGAGTTCACCTTCTGCCAATTGCCATTGCAAGGTCATGTTTCGCTAACTTGTTCCGCTACTGTCAGATCTGCCAACCCATGCGCCATTGTTTCGTCTCGCTTGTCTACATACCTCAAGAGGACGTGCTGGAACGTCTCGTCTCCGTGCCCGATTGCCAAGGAGCTCGAGTCTGTTCACCCGCGCCGCACATACTTTTATCTCACCACATGCCCCCACCAGCCGCTTCCCGACCCGACTCAGGCGGCTGCGCTAAATCTTGCTTCGCGCGCTATTATCTCGCCTAGCATCTCAAGCGCCGCATCGGGGACCGATGAGTCCGACCTCGACCGGCGACGTGAGCTTAGCCCCAGCCCCGAGGTGGATCTTTCGAGCCCTGAGTTCGACGACGTGGAAGACGACGTCCCTATGCCCAGCACACCAATTGGCTCATTCTCCACACGCTACTGCCTGTCTGGGGCCCACTCCTCAAACAGCAGTCAGAACGGCCGCAATCACCGCGGTGTCTCCCCTCCGCTTGAGAAGGACGAAAAAGAGTTTACACAGACCGCCACTGGCCTCCAAAAACGGAAACTCAACGGTGAACTGTCTGCGTCTTCCCCTGTGAACACCGCTATGGACATTGACTATTGCTCCAAGGATGATAATGTGTTGTTCGGTGAGCGGACGTCGTATCTTACGAGTCCTGCGATGAAGCCATCCTCGACCATGATGTCCTTGAACTACGGCCGGAAGGAGTTTGGCGGTGCGAGTGAGTCCGAGAGCTGGCGCAAGCTCGATGCGATGCTCGAGTGGGATCGCAACCCAGAGAACATTGAGCTCGATGAGCTTGATTGCCTCCTGGATGATTTCTGATCCCCTTTTCCCACAACATCTTTCTCATGACTATTTCTTACGACTGAAGTCGGGGTTTCTGGGCAACTTCCAAGTTTCGGAAGTCAAGCCATGTGGCGCAACGGCGCAATGTGTGTGCGAGTTGAAGCAAGTGTGTGTGCTACCAACAGATCATTTTTAGGGGTTTTTACAGGAGTTCAAAGGGGGGCTTACAGGGGCATTTACGGATCGGTTCATCCCATAGACGAGGCTGGGTCACGAAATGGCGTTTATGACTTTCAGCTGATGTGGGCATGTCAAGGAAGGTGTCAGACGGTTGGCTTTTTTTGATCATTTTATTTTTGCTTTCACGGGATCGATGGAAATCTCCCCCTCATTGCACTTATTTGGTTTACAACACCTTTTGGATTATTTCTGCTTTTTTTTTGGGTTTTTTTTTTTTTTTTTTTTTTTTTTTTGGGTCAGTCATCCTTACCAGTAATGGGAGACGGAAGGATGCCGCGCGCACCTGGAAATGGTGCCGTGACGAGGAGAGAGAAACACGAATGGCCTGGATACCTAGAGATGGATTTTCATACATTAGGAGGACGGAGATTGCGTTGTCAAGCGAATACCCTGGGCGCAGCATGTCGTCGAACATTGCGACCCAACCCACTTCTTTTTCGAGTCTCTTTGCAACAACAACAACTGGGTTTTTGGTTATTATTCCACGGTTGCAAAGAGGCGCAGCAAGGCCAGTCAAGCGTATGAAAGGAACGAAAGAAGATGGAAAGTCACTAGTATTTTCCGGATTTCCTGCCCCTTTCTTGAGATACAGAGAGCGGGCAGACGTGGTGATACACAAAAGGGAAAAGCCAGAGAGGATGAGATCAGAGAAGAAAAAAATCATATGTTCATGTTCAAGATAGACAAAAAGACAAGAAGGGAAAACATTTGAAAGAGTGAAGAGAAAAAAGGTGGTTGGAAAAAAAACAGATTTGGAGTTTTTATATACTGCTGCTAGAAAGCTCGACTCATTCCTATATCTAGAAAGAAGACAGGCGCTTCCTATTTTGCTGCCACTTATTGTTCGTTGCTCTTCGGTGATTGTGAATATCTGGTATCGCCTTGCTCACTACCACCAGCTCGGGATGCCAACACATTTGCTTCTTTCTCTATTTAGCATGTTGTCATCACAGCAAGCAATGGACCCTTATGTGCTTCACGGGAATCTGCAGATTCAGGGGACTACGGTATCTCGCACTGCATCAAATGAAGTGTTACACTGAAAGCAAGATCCCGATCTCCTAGGAGTCAATCAAGCCGTGCGTGCTAGACGTACGTATTTGCTGCACTGCTAGCTACACTGAGAGGAAGACCTGGATGCTATATCGCCAGTCGCACATTTTGTTTGTCCTTACAAGAGAAACATATGAACTGAGATAGATGTCATCAAGAACAATTAACAAAATCCATCAATGTTGCTATGTACTTACTTACTACTACTCTTTCTCCTCCTGCTACTACTCTTTTCCCTCTTCCTCCTTCCTCCTCAACTCCAAAATCCTCCTTAACTCTAACCTCCCCTTCGCTCCCCACCCGCCCGGTCCAGCCTCGACATCCGGTCTGACAGCCACATACCACGCCCATGCCCTCTTATCCAGTTCCGCGGCGGTGAGATGGTCCGCCCAGCTGTCGAAGAGCAGTCTCAAAGCCCCCAGTAACAGGCCTAGGTTTTCTTCTCGCTCTGTTTCTAACTGCTTCTGCGTCTTTTTAGTTTTTGTCGTCTTTTTCTGTTCCGTCCCTGCTTCCCCTGCTTCCCCTGCCGAAGCCGTATGGAAGCTTCGTAAAAGGTAGTTCCTCGCTACTTCTGGTTTGTGGATTTGCATGCCTACCACTCCAGTCCCATAGCTAGAGATAGCCTTCCCCCTTCCACCTACAGCACCCATAGACGCAGACGCAGACGCAGCAGTCGACGACGAACCCCCAGCAGGGCCCTTCGACATCCCCTCCAAATCCAACCCCCAAACCGCCTCCCCTCCCTCTTCCAGTTCTTCACTGGAGGCAGTCTTCCTCCCCCTCTCATTCACCGCCGCCAAAACCACACTCCTCATCAACCGCCACCGATCCGGTCCCAACATGGTCCCGCCGAACCAGCGCGTCATTACTACCATTGTATCGTCCATGTCCATTTCCCGTAAGATACGCAACATCAAGTCGCCGGCGCCTTGTTCGCCGTCGTCGAAGGATTTCTCAATGATTCGGTTTTGGTTGGGGGGGAGGCGGACGCGATAGGCCCAAGCGTTGTGGGTGGCTGATTCGAGGTTGGGATGGGTGCGGAAGAGGTTGTTGAGGAGGATTTTCTCTTGGGAGGGGGAGGTGATCTTGGTCGAGTGGGCAATGAACTTGGAGTCTTTGGAGGCCAGGAGGGGGCTGGTGGACCAGTGGATGTCGTCTGGTTGGAAGAAGGGGTGGACTTTTTGGATGGTTTTGGACGGCGGTGGTGGTGGTGGTGGTGGTGGTTGGGGTTGTTCTTGAGGATCCTTTGATGATGATGATTGCGCGGTGGTGGTTTGATCTTCTTGTTGTAAAGTGCTTTCACTGACTTCTTCCTTCCACTCGTACCCTCCCCTCTTCAACACGGGAACCTCCCTACCCATTACCTTCACCCTCGGTTGGCCTGAGCCTATCAACCCCTCTTCTTCGGCACTAGGCCCCTTAGCAGCCAGACCGATGCTCACTGCCTTTGAGCGCGAGTTGGCGCTGACTACCGCTTGTCCCAGGCTCAATCGAGAGGAAAGTGGTTGCTCGGGCCTCGTGTGTCGCAAGAGTTCGACGGCAAAGGCGAGAACCAGAGGGGCGCGGTTGGTCTCTAGGACGGTTTGGGAGATGAGCTCTTCGTCTAAGCAGATGGGAAGTTCGAGTGAGGCTTCCAGTTCCTGGGGCGTGAGCTCTTCACCGGGGGTACGGGAAGGCATAAGTGGGTTGTCGTCATGTCTGAGGCGCTTTGAAGAAGGCGAGTTTGTGGTTGGTAACGGGGCGCCGCGTTTGGTACCCGCTGAGCCTCCTGCCGTGCTGGTCCGCTTCATGGCTGCTTTGCAGGCATTTTGGAGGGACTTTGCTGTCTTTTCGTCTTTAAGGGCGGATTTGATGGTGTCGAGGGGGGCTTCGGCTATTTGTTGGATGCTAGTGGACTTTGTAAGTGAACATGACTTGGAGATTAGAGTGATGATATCATCACGCGAGGCTGGTATGGTGGAGTGAGCCTGAAGCATAAGAATAAGAAAGTGTGACTGACTTACCTCCTGATCTCAACAGCTTGTAAAGATTTGATCTGAGCCATAGCTTGAAGCATGGGAGTCTTGCGGCCAACGGTGAGGAGCCGCAGGAGCTCTTGGAGGTCTTGTTGTGCTGACATGGCAGCTGGTCTTTGTCCTTGTACTAGTGCTTGCGGTTGCTACTCGACTTATATCAGAGTTGAGAGAGGAGAGAGTGAGCTCAGGCGATGATATGAAGTGCAAGTGATTTGTTTGTTGTCAAGATGATGAGTGACCAAGGTGACGACGATCCGGGGATCTGGGACGAGATTGGGGCACCCCTGTCCCAATAGCGTCACTGCGTGGCGCACTTTAGCGCAGCTGCTGATGCTTGGCAGCGGAAAATTGTGGGGTCTCTCATCGACACCAGAACGACTTTCGAAGCTTCCGAATCTGAACTTGTTTAACTCAAAACTCTTGGGCTTTGAGTTCGGGAGCTAGCCTTTTGGGGAATGACAGTTCTTGAAGCTTGTGACTGCACCACCAACCACCACCATGGCAACAAGGATACCACTCTCCCTTAGGGGAGCTTCCCAACGCTCATCCCACCTCTTCGTGACAGCCAACCGCCTCACCCTCACCCGAGCCTTCACAACCACCTCTCTCCTCGCCAAGTCCAAGTTCCCTCCGCAGTCCAAGGCGTCCAGGCTGTCCAGGCCATCCACCACCGCCCAACCAATCCCAGAAGTAACCCCCGAACCAGCTTATGACTATTCTCTACACCGTCAATACTATGACAACCCAACTCCCGAACCAAAATCAGAGGAACCTCCCAAATCCAACTCGGAACCCCAAGACCTCGGCACCCTCCTCCAGCAACGCAGATGGCCCCTCCTCTTCTCCGGCCTCACCGCCCTGATCATGGGCGCCTACATCTCCATGCTCATCGCCTCTCTATCTCGGGGTCCTGACGCCTGCTCTCACGTGCACCCGGTGACCGGTCAACTCCCCGTCACCGGCCGTCCTCGCGAGCTGGACTCTCTAACCAGCAACCCCATCATCAACGACCGGATCCTGCGCGAGAAGGCCATGGCGTTCGACAACGGGCTCAACCTGCCCGAGCGCATGGCGGGTATCCGACTGTTGAGAAAATGGCTGGGTACCCGAGTGAAGGGCCACGTGCTGGAGGTGGCGGTCGGCACGGGCAGGAACCTGCAGTTTTACGACTGGACCGATGTGGTCAAGGGGCCGGTCACTGGGCGGGAGTTGACAGAGGAGGAGAGGGAGGAGGAGGAGAACAAGGCGAAGGAGAGGATCAGGAGCGTTTTGGATAAGGGAGGGAAGGATGGGGAGAAAAGGGATAAGGATTGGGTGGAGAAGATGAAGCTGCCTGGCTCGCTGGAGGGCGAGATGCTCACTTTTACGGGAGTGGATATTAGCGAAGGGATGATGGGCGTTGCGAGGCAGCGGTTGAGGGAGAATGTTCCGGATGGAAGGAAGTTGGTGCCCAAGGGCGCGTTTTTGGCGTCGAGGGAGGGAAGTGATAGTAGGATTGGAGAGGGTAAGAGGGGCGAGGAGCAGGAGGTGCTTCTCACTACGCTGGAGGATAGGATTAGGCTGGTGAGGGCGGATGCCGAGGCTAAGCTGCCTGAGGCGCCTGCTTATCCTGCGAGGCTTGGGGACAAGGACGAGGAGAAGAAGAAGTATGATACTGTCGTTCAGACTTTTGGCCTCTGCTCGGTTTCTGACCCGCTTGCCCTGCTGCAAAACATGGCGGGCGTGGTTAAGCCGGATACTGGACGGATCATTTTGCTGGAGCACGGAAAGGGTTGGTCGGATTGGATCAACGAGAAGCTGGATGCTTGGGCACCTCAGCACTTCAGTCGGTACGGGTGCTGGTGGAACAGGGACATTGAGAAGTTGGTGAAGGAGGCGGAGCAGAAGGTGCCTGGATTGGAGGTTGTGAAGATTGAGAGACCTGGCTTCTTCCAGGCCGGCACTACGGTGTTGGTGCAGTTGAAGGTCAAAAGCCAAGGGAACTGAAAGATGAGACTATGCGTCTCGTCATTTCTTTGTACTATAGCTGTGTCTTTTCATGTATAGATATGTGTATAGTGTTCTACATTTGTATGGGATGAGTCGCGGTTGTTGCTGATATTGACACAGATACGGACGGCTCTAACTATCCGGCCCCGGCTCCGCCCCGGCGATTCTATTGTAGTGTACAGACCGGAGTCTAGGTTCGGGCGGCGTTTATGTCAACACCAAGGGTCATCTTTTTGATGTTCAGGCACGGACTCGGATCTGCCTTGCCGCATTGTCCCCTCCGAGAGTTCGGACAATATCTCCACTTGGACATTGCGAACAAGAGCAATGACATCAAGATTCGCTCTTTCCCATCCGAACTTCCAGAAAGCAAGAATTCCCCATTCCCACATCAGACACGTGTGTGAATCCCCTCAACCTGCTCCCAGAAAATACATTCAAAACTTGAACCATCCAAAGCCCAACTGCACGCGACATTGGACGACGACGACATAAAAGACGGGATGGAGAGGCCGGGGAGCCGGGGGAGGGGCAGGGCTGTCCCTTTCAGTGAGCATCAACCCCTGACGATGGAACCCAAACACTCCCCAAGAAGCGTGGGGCCGCCCAACCAGAGCGTCCTGTTGCCCCCCGCAACCAGTACAGAGTCAACAATTGTCGACCCAATTGGTGCTTGGCAGGAACCTGAAGCCGGCAATCAGTCACCTGGAAGCTGAACTTGGTTCTGAAATGGTAAGGTGTCGAAGTGCCCTGCTTTTGCTTTTTGGCAACACAACCCCTTCTTTTTCCAGCGACGCGACTTTGGTTGCGGGCATTTCATCATCATCCCATTCTTCTCTTTTTTTCATCTCGCGGACGTACATACAAACGGCAACTTGCATGGTTCGACTGCGACTGGAGCTGACATTGAATTGGTGGAGTGCAGCATTTGTAGCGTGGTTGTGCGACATCGATAGCGGTCGAGCGAGCATCCGACAGCGACGATAAACCAGGGCCAGGGGCATTTCAGGTTCCAACAAATAACCTTTCTGGGCTTGCTTGCTACTTGGACTTGGCCGACAACCGGACGTGGACGGGAGAACAACGACGTCACAACGAATCGCACCGAACGAAACGAAACGAATTCGAAGAAACGAACCCACGATTATACGAAGAGGTTGGGCATTTCTCGACACCGACCGACGTCTTGCTGTGGAACTCCGGGTGTACCTGATCTACGACAGTCTTGACGACCCACGATCGACAATTCGGAATTGCGCGAGACGCAGGTACCAGACCAAGACGCAGGAACGGACTCTTCACCGCCAAAAGAAGCAGACCGATAAAGCATAGTTTCGTGCGATAAGGAGACGGGAAAGAAAACAAACAACACCGGAAACAAAGAGAATCGCAAGCCGCGCCCTTGTTTTGTGAAATAGAGGCGCGATGCCGGCTGCCATGAGCGAAGCGCCGGCTGTGGCCCTTTCCTGTGAGCCTCCACGGACAACAGCTGGGAAATAGCAGTGGGAGAGAACTAACACTGGGATACAGTCGCCAACAACTTCTGGGGCAAGGACGATGCCGGTGTTCAACCTCTCCTCGAGCGCATGTCCGCTGCCAAAACGACATGCGACGAACTTAAGAGCTTCTACACAGGTATGCTCCAAGAGGATAATATCTTTACCTTGAGAAAAAACTGGGCACTAACACCTTGTCTACACAACAGCGCGGGCAAAGATCGAAGAGGAATACTCCCGACAACTTCTCAACCTAAGCCGCAAATCCCTCGGATCGCAAGAGTCTGGAACCCTAAAAGTCTCCCTTGATACCGTCCGACAAGAGGTGGAATCCATGGGCAAGCAACACCAGGCCATCGCCTTACAGATGAGAAGCGAACTCGAAGAACCCCTGGTCGCATTCGCAGGCGGCATGAAGGAGCGCCGCAAGATCATCCAGAACACAGTCGAAAAGCTGCTGAAAGTCAAGGTACAGCAGACCCAGGCTGTGAACAAAACAAGAGACCGCTATGAGCAGGAATCTCTCAAGATCAAAGGATACCTCGCCCAAGGACACATGGTCATGGGCCAGGAGGAACGCAAGAACAAGGCTAAACTCGAAAAGACACAGATTAGCCTGGCCAGCTCCAACGCCGACTACGAGGCCGCCGTCAAGGCACTGGAGAAGACCACCGCTCGATGGAACCAGGAGTGGAAGGGTGCTGCTGACAAGTTCCAGGACCTTGAGGAGGAGAGACTGGATTTCACCAAGAGCAGTCTCTGGACGTTTGCTAACATTGCCTCTACGGTATGCGTTAGCGATGACGCCTCGTGCGAGAAGATCCGGTTGTCGCTGGAGAAGATGGAGGTTGAGAAGGATATTGCAACTTTCATCAAGGAGAAGGGTACTGGCCAGGAAATTCCGGACCCTCCCAAGTACATCAACTTTTGCCGGGGTGATGTTGATGCGCAATCCGAGGTCTCGGTCGAACCAGATAGCGACGCCTTCTCGGTGGCCCAGTTCCCACGGAGCATCAACCCAGCATTCCGCTCGTCGTCGCCTCAGCCGAGCACATACGAGTCGCATCACGATCCCAATAACGCATTGGTGAAGACGCTAGGCCATGATATCTCTGTGGGTGTTAACGGCAGTCGCGAGACCACGGCCACACCGTCCAAACTTCCAACCATTCCGGCAGCGGCACTGACGATGCCACCTCAGCAACAACAGATTGAAGCCCCTCCTCCCCAACAACAACCGGTGCCGCCGCAGCAGCAGCAACAGTTAGTACAACAGAGACCGCAGCTACAACAGAGGAGGACTACGCAGCACAGCCTTCACGAGGAACAGCGGAAGCAGCAACAGCAGGTGGCAAGGGTTCAGCAGAATCCACGTGCCGCCAACAACGTTGAGTACGATTCAACTGATTTTACTCCTATTCCTCATAGTCCGCACCCGCTGGACGGCACGGCATTGCTCAGCCGTCCCCCGGGGCCTGTTTCTTCTGATCTTGGTCTCAACGTAGCGCCATCAACTAACACTATATCCCGTCCCTCTAGAAGAGGAGATAAGAGTAGCGAACCGACGTTGGAAGAGCTGCAACAACAGCTGCAGCAGTCTGGTCCTGTCTCGCCTGTTAAGCAGATACAACAGCAGCAACCGCAGACGCCGCAGACGCCGCTCGATTTGGTTCCCGCTAATGGTGCACAGTCTGGCTCGGCCTCACCCGAGAAGAAGGAGTTGCCCAAGAGGAAGAGTGGCTTTTTCGCTAACAACAGCCCGTTCAGGAGGAAGAGTACCAAGGAGCTTCAGCAGCAGGCCACTGGGAGCAGTGGAAGCAGGCAGACTTGGTATGGAGGACAGAGTGGACAGAGTAGCAGTATGGGCAACAGGACGCCCAGAGCTAATGCCAGTCCAACCAAGGAGAACAACACCCCTTTCGGCATCGAACGGTCCGTCAGCCCTGATCCCATTGCTGCTAATGCCAGCTTGGCTCTTAATATCGGCGGAAACGTGTTTGCTGTCGATCCGCTTGATAAGCGGAAGGGTCAGCAGCAGCAACAACAGCAACCGGCACCCGATGATGATCCCATTGCCCTGGCTTTGGCTGAGTTGAAGGACGTCACCAGCAACACTGGGAACCAAAGCAGCACGAGCCGGACTGAGATGAACAAGCAAATGTCGGTCCGCATGTCAGCTGACCACTACCACGGTATCACCACTCCTGCTCCTCCTGGTGCTGGCGGTCCTCAGCAATCCGGGAACATCTCCCCTGGTGGACGCAATGCCAGCTCGCACAGCATGCACAACAGCCGAAGCAACAGTGACCTGGCCTTGCCACCCGTTATCCCCGGCGCCAGCAACGGCACGCGTGCCACTCCTCCGCCATCCTACGACGGCATGCAAGGCGCCATGGTACCCGTGTCGCGTCTCGGTGTGCCGCCTCCCGCTGTCACCAGCAGAGCCATGAAGGAATCCAGCCAAAAGTTCCAAGCCCAAACGCGGAGTCTGTTCTCTAACGGCGGCAGCTCCGGCGGGGCAGATCAGCGTCCCGGCTCCGGTTCCGCCAACTACCAAAGCCGTTCCCGTGGCGGCAGCACCGAGATTCCTCGCGCAGCCAGCCCCCGCCCCGGCTCTCGCGCTGCCTCCCCTCGACCCGGCAGTCACGCCGCCGCTTATGGCAGCAGCTGGTCCGGTAACAACGCCTCCGAGGATCGCGGCTACCGCTCCGCCTCTCCCAATCCCTACGGCGGCTCCTCCAACCCAGGCAGCATGAACAGCCGCCACGCGCACTCCCAATCCATGGGTCCCATGGGCATCCCCGCCCAAGGCCAACAACCCCGTCGCTCCGACACGCAGCACACCCGCCACGGAAGCATGGACTACCGCGGCTCTTCATCCAACATGTACCAAGCTGCTGGAGGCAGCGGCGCCGTGTCTCCCGTGGACATGGCCCGTTCTGTTTCTCCTTCGCCCTTTACCAGCGGAGTAAACCGTCCGGGATCTAGTCTCGACCATACCCAGAACCACATGCAGCTCGCTCACTACGGACCTGGTGGCCAAGGGCAACCGGATGATGGGTACACGAGCGGTAGCTCAATGAGAGGACGGTATGGAACACAATCTAGTAGGCCAGATTCGAATAGGGAAGCTGCTACAGGGACGAGGATGAGTTTCTATGGAGATGGACAGATGGTGCCGGCTTCGATGATGGTGGGTGGTGGAGGAACGGTACATGGGCGCGGAGGGAGGAGTAAGAGTGTGGTGGATGTGGGACGGGGAGGGGCGCCGGCGGGAGGTGGTCAGGGGGCGGATGGAAGGCAGTATACGAGGGATGGGAGGGTTATTATTCATTTTGGTGAGTCTTCTTCTTTCTCCCTGCTGCTGTTGCTATTATATGACTTGTGGGTGGACCGGAAGCTAATGAGTTATGACCAAACAGCGAAAGCAATGTACATGTACCAAGCCGCCATTGCTGAGGAGCTGGGCTTTGCCAAGGGCGATATTTTGGCGGTGTTGAGACATCAGGATGATGGATGGTGGGAGGCGACGGTGCATGGGGGCAATGGACAGGTTGGGTTGGTGCCGAGCAATTATTTGCAGGCATTGTAGGCTGGGGATGGGGATGGGGGGTTGAGGAAGAAGGTTCGGTGCATAGCCAGCCAGCCAGCCAGCGGTTGTTGATGTTGGATCTGGATTCTGCTTGTTTAAAATTGGTTCGTTTATAGCAGGATACCTTGGGGCGTTTTTGCGTTTTGTAAATACCATGAGAAAATGGAATTTGTAGTTACGGAAGTATGGAGTGTGATTTGTGAGAACTTGAACACCTCTTGTCCTTTATTGAAGACAATCATGCTGTCTAAAGAAAGGTACCTTTACACATATGCTGACGATGTCACGATGACCCCTTTCACGATAGTAAACAAACCATTCTTCACCAATGACCCTAACCCTCAGTCACCAACCGCCAAGCAGGTACGTACCCGCCTGGTGACATCAGTGGCCAGCCCAACTGCAATTGGGAACATTTGGGTGCTTCGCTTAAACTTGGGAGAGCAAGAGCTCCCCGCGACATGTGAAACTGAGCAGACGATAATGAGGTGGGATTACCTCTAATATTCCTCATCATAAGTCGTCCCACCCATCCCTTGTTCTTTTTTTGAGCCCACTCTCTTTCCTCTCCTATGACTTTCTAGAGATCAACCAAAACCGGCGATATCGACCACCGGTAAACACCATTCGCCATGTCGGACCACGGCGATACTCGGCTCGAGAAGTTCGAGCTGGGGACTGTTTCTGTAAGTCGCTGGTGATAATTGAATAACAAGAGTACTACATTGCTAACATGATCGCGAAATGCAGGAAAACTATGCTCAAATCAAGCAACAGTTGCGCGACATCTACGATGCCCTATGGGAACTCGCCTACGAAATCATCACCTCCAAGACCACCCAAAAGACGGTCCTCTACTCGATCCTAGGCACCACCGCGTCAGCCATCTTTTACGGCGTCGCCATCATCGTCTACCTCTTTTGTTACCACAGATATCTGCCCGATCAGGTTACCACGGTGCCTTTACATCTTCAATATGGGTGCGTCCCGTCACCTTCCCCTTTCCAACATCCAACACTACTGATACACCCGTGTTTGTGACAACAGCTACGGCCCAAACCCCTACGGCATCTCCCCCCTAACCTCCTACAACCTCAAACCCTCCCAACCCTACGACATCTCCGTCACCCTCAACCTCCCCCGCTCTCCAACCAACATCTACCGCGAAACAGGCAACTTCATGGTCGCCCTGCACCTCCTCAACGGCTCGCCCGAAATCCAACGCGTCATCCAGCCTCCCGTTCCCCCGCTCAACATCGACAACCCTTTAACCGGCAAGCCCGGCGGCCCTGACATTGCCGCCTTCATCACGCCCATCCCGCTCGCCGTGCCCGACCCCGTCTCCCACCTGACGAACAACAAGATTTTGTTTTCTTCGACCCGCGCGGCGGTGATTCCGTATATTGACCCCTTGGTAGCCCAAGCGAAGCGCGTCATGTTTCTGGGGTATCACGTCCTTTTTCCCGAGCACGCGGAGGTGGTTACTTTGCAGCTGCCGCTAGCTGAAAAAGTGCAGTTTCCTAGGCGCAGTAGCAGTAAGGATGCTGCTAGACTAGGGCTGGTGGGCGATGGGACACCGACTAGTTTGCTGGTGGAGGTGCAAGCGGGCCAGAAGTTGCAGGTGTATGAGGCGAGTGTAACGATTACGGCGAAGTTGACGGGGCTGAGGTGGTTTATGTATCATCATCGGGTTGTGAGCTTTTTGGTGGGGACGGGAGCGTTTTGGGCGGCGGAGGTGGTGTTGATGGTGATTGGGTGGGGGGTTGGGGGGTATTTGTTAAGTGGGTTGCTGGAGGGCGGCAGTAAGGAGGAGGAAGGGGAGGCCAAGGAGGGAACTGCTAAAGGCAAGAGAAAGGCTAGACTACAAGAGGGCAGTGGAACGGGTGACGGGTACGATCCGGAGCATGAGACGGATGGAGAAGAGGGGAGTACCATGTCGGATACGGAACGGACGTTCCCTAGCAGGTCGGGGGCGCCGCCGCTTAAGTATGAGCCGGGAATCAAGCAGGAAGAAGAAGAGAAGAGTGCGGCGATCAAGGAAGAGGAGGACGAGGAGGATGATGATTTGTATGATTTGCCGGTGCACTTGCCGAGTGTGCAGGAGGCTGGACACGAGTTTAGAGATTCGGGTATTGGCACGAGTGGGTATAGTGATGTGTCGAGCACGACGGCGGTGGGCAGTGGCAGTGGAAGTACGGCTAGGAGGAGGAGAAAGGAGTAGGACTCGGATGGTTCTTTGATTCCTGTTGCTCGGAAGGCACGCAATTGTAGGGCTTGTTAGGCTGGCTCCGAAGGCTGTTTTCGGGAGGCTGGCTTTTGAGGCTAGCTTGGGACTCTGGGAGGATGGAAAGTGTGGTATGGTTATGGATGGCGTTCTCTCTTATCGGTGGAGTATTGTGTTTTGGGAGGATATCTACTTTATAGGCTTGGAGCTTTGGACAGTACTGAATAACAAATTGTTTGGTTTACTTTGGTGTTGTTTCCCTTTGCCTTCTCCGGGATCAAGTAATGAACTATCACAACTGACAATGGCAGATAAGCTGCCTCCACAACTAGGTACTGGAACTGTCCGAGGTGGGCCATGACAGGACCCTTCCTAATTTATCCTCAACCTCGAGACTCTCTTTGTTCTACGTACATATTTTTAGGGTACGATGAAACAGGAAAAGCCTGAGAAATTCCACTTCCTCCAGCAATTACTCCAGGCAGTGTAGAAATGTAAGTACACCTTCATGACGAGAACCACACCATTATAGACTGTTCTTAAACATGCCTCATGATGAATACAGCCCAAGGTTCTACCTTAAAGCGATCTCTGCCCACATGTACTGAAGATGTAGACAAATAATACCTAGTCCTGAGGTAGATAATCTCAACTGCCGAGCATTTTAGCAAAGTAGTTGGATCGTAATTTACTCGATGTCATGTTCTCGTCCTCTTTGGACTTGTGATATCAAAACGGATGTGCTGGGAGAAACCATATTCTCTTCTTTGGCTGCATGACTTCCCGACGGACCGTTCCAGTCCCAGTGATGATAATGCCATGTTTAGGTAACTTTGGTGTAAGATTTGGGTGATGGATTTTGAATATAACCGGTTACTAACTCTCCCAAACTAGTATTGATAAGACCGATACAAACTTGATTAAGTCTTTTTTTTGTCTTGCTTCTCAGATCTCGACCTTCTACTTCAAGGCTCAGGCTGTCTGTCTCCAGCAGGACATTCTCGGCTCGTGACGGCGGACAACTCGCGGAACTAAAGACATGTCGGTGCTTGGGATAACACTATGTCATGTGTCCTGGTTAAGTTCTTTAAGAACCACAGCCATAATTCCGTTTACTGCCCTGGTTTTCAAGGCCTTCGGTTCGGCTTTCCCTTGCCTAAACAACAAGTTTGTTCAACTTCATATGTAGAGCCTATGTAGAAGAATCCATTGGCTTAGACTTGAATGACAGTAATGGTCCAGTTTAAGTGTCCTGTGTAGTCTTTCGCTTTGCGGTGTTACAGTAACGGCATCGTCAAACGAGCAGTTGTGACTGGCCCTCGTTACTTTCACTTTCGCTTTCCTCAGCACCCGACATACACTACCATTGACATCCCTCCCCACAGTTCAACATCTCAGGCGAAGAAGGCTTCGATGAGCTGAACGCTCTTTGCAAAGAGGAAAAAGAGACACAAAAAAAGACACAAAAAAAGACAAAAAAAAAAAACAATGACTAGGAGAACAAACCTCGTGATGACGTCCCATATCGGCCTCTGCACCCACTTCACTTCTGACACCCGTTGCCAACCCTCAGCATGGCTGAAGTCTTGTGGGTTGTTTTCCCCCCTTATAGGTGACCTCTTCTCCGGCTGTTTCTTCCATGACTCTTGTCTTGTATGAGGTCCGGTGTTTCTAGGCGATCTATACCAAGTTGAAACCTGTAAAGGTAAATCCAATTGGTTTTTGGAAGCCCGGCCACCTGGTGTTGGCTGTTCGACTGTCCTAAGCGATGTCTCGAATTGTGTTCTCAACGTTCGTCACGACTTGGCTCGCTTGGGGTTGACATGTGATGGATGCCGATATCATTGACCATTTCTGTCATAATGTCAGGTTGGCTGGCTGGTTACTATGTACTCCAACACATCATTTGGCTGGTTGGCGAAGTGGTGTACTAGAATCTGACAATTTCCTTCACTTGATGAAATTGGGCAGATAAATACACAGTACTATCAGCCCAACGCCAACACATTATGTTTGCCTTGTTGGCGATATCTGATACCTGTCGTCGAGTTGTCGACAGCCTTGAAAGCCGCAAGGGAGAAAGCCCAAAGCGGGGAGCTGTGTGGCCTGTGGTCAATCCAACAGGGGAATGGAAGAACGGTGGTGGTTGAGATTGATTGGAGTGACAGGAAAAGAGTTACAGATTGCCAGGCACCGTGCCAGGCCATTGGCAGTTGCAACCGGAGTGTCCGGACATGCAGGTGCTTCGTCGCCGGCAAGCCGGTTGGTCGGTCAAGAACTGAATGCGAACGAAGCGAGGAACAATGAAGAGTCCGATGAGGAAGGGAAAACAGAAGGGATTTGGCGAGCATTGTTGGCCCGTGCTTCCAGGTCCTGAGATCAACGATGAGGTGGGATCTCCACTTTTTTCGGAATCATTCCCCTCCCCTCCACACCAACGGAACGATCAATGACAATCACCCCTCGTCCCCTCCCAATTCCCAGCCCAGATTGAACCTCACTTGTCAGAGGGCATTCCTTCAGCCTCATATTAAAATCGTCACTCTGCAATCTCCGTCTGGCTGCGAATGACCGCCAACGTTGGCTTATTATCGCTGAATAATTAGGCTACCAATGGTTTGCTAGTACGAACAAATTGGATTATTCGTTGTGCTTCTCAATCTCTCTTTCCGAGCTTTGGGACAATGACGGCTGTGTGAGCTCCGTAGTGAGTGTAGGTAGGCGCTCGGGGCAGGTTCCTTCCCGTCGTGTTGTAGCCTGGTGAAGGAGCATTCGTCCATCTGGCAATTCAAAACAAAAAATAGAAAAGAGCAAGGCCCCACGCATCGAGGTGCCTTTCGAAATTGCCAAGGTGTGCAACTGAACCTGCCCGTGCAAGTGAAGTGCCGTAGAACCTCATTGTTCAAGGCAGGTAAATGGTCGGTGGCCGTGTCAACCGCGAACCGTGGCCCAACCCCTCTCCACCTGCTAATCGAACCCGCTGTAGCTGTAATTCGGTCTTCCGTTAGAGAGTCACACCTACCTTACTCCCGAACCTGAACAAGAGAGAAGGTGCAACTCGAGACTCGCACCCTTCCATTCCTTCAACAACTTTCGCTCCCAGGCACTGCGCCCACACTTGCTATATCCTGTCGCAGATACCCAAGTAGACCAAGACAAGCGCGCCCACAAGACCCGTCTCGTGCCTTCTTGTCACGGACGCCCCATTCCATTATCCAGCATATCTAGCCAGGCAATCCACCAGCGATACCCATCCCATCCCACCCTTACCGATACACCTGTTTCTGTCGTCACTTTGCCTGCAACAAGCGACCAGCAAGCAACACGGCCACGTGCCCCTCATTTTACGCAACATAACCATACCTACCAGCTTGGCTCTTTTCTCGTTTACCAGTTATACCAGTAGAACGCGAATAGATTCTCTTACTACAACATCGTACCACCGCCGACGTGCGTCCTGTCTCCCCCGCTTCCCCTTCGAGAGACCGGCCGTGCCATTACAACCCACAACATCAACCGCTGGTCCACGTAGAACCTAGGCCCTTGGTCGAGGCACGACAACCGACAAAATGCCCTGCTTCAAGGGCATCGCCGTGAGCATTCACGCGAACGGAGCGCCCCTGCCCGAATATGGCATCCAGAAACAGTCCCGCGTCTCGCGAATCAACACCTACATCCCCGTACCTCAGCCCCAGATAAGCCCCGAGTCTGGCAAGCCCGAGGCCGCCAAGTTCGCCATCTCCATCACCCTGCTCACCCCTGGTCTGGCGATACCCTACTCGACACCCAAGGCCACTGAGAACAATCCCTATCCGAAGCCGGCCTTCGTCGGCACCATGCCCACCAGCACGGGCGAGCGCGGAAAGTACCATGGCGTTGTTGCCCCTTACATTCCTATGACGAATAGTGAGAACGAGACAATTGCTGCGTACATTTACTTTGACGGCAGGGGCAAGGAAGAAGTGGCTACTCTGTTGCGCCCTGGCGAGGAGACGTGGGTCAACAGTAGATGGGTTCAGGTACCCCAATCTGAGGGCGGAGGTCTAGCCGAGCGCGAGTTTCTCTTCCGCGAGGTCGGTCTCGAGAGATGGCTTAACGGTCTGGATCTTCAAGGTCACGACGCCGCCGAGAAGCTCGAACGTCGCAGGCAAAAGTTCGAGAAGCGCCGTAGGAGGCAAAAGGCCATTTCCGAGGGCAACGCAGCTTCCGGCCGTCTGCAGGGTACCCTTAGGTATGGATCCGAAGACAGGCCGGTCGAGGCCGTAGACGAGGACGTCTCGCTTTCCTCCTCGGATGACGACGAGCCCCCCGAGGCCACCGGGCAGATCAAGGTGGCCATGTTCCGCGTTATTGCGTCTGGCGAAATCAAGAAGGGCGAATACAGTCCGCAATTCGACGCCCATGACGACGATGACGAGGAAGGCGGCTCCAAGAGCGGCAACAACGGAATTGATGCGGATGTTGAGCACACCACTAGCTTTGCAAAGCCGAAGACGCTCGATCCAAAGACTATTAGCACTCAGACAGTGACCGGCATTGACGGGCCAGAGAAGCCTTATGCGGTGTTTACTTTCTTCTACCGCGGCGAGCGTAAGTAATCGGGTACCAATACCGGAGCACAAAAACAGTACGCTAACCCACATTGCTACAGGCCAACTACAGAAGATGGGCGTCCTTGCCTCCGAAAAGCAGCAGGTTACCAGTCCTACTGCCGCCAAGCGACGATCAGCTCAGCTCGACTTCTCCAACCTAGGACCCTTGAAGAAGCAAGGTACCGTGGGCTTCTCGACATTCCGTGATCGCGACGCACAGCCGAGGCCGAAGAAGCCACGCAAGAACACCAATGGCAAGGCCGGCGCCATGGACGAAGACAGCGATGACGAAGACGATGATGACGATATCAGCGACAAGATGCTTGCTGACGACGAAGATAATGTCGACACTTCCAAGCTGGGTCCGGAGGACGTCAAATTTACTGGAGAGTTGGCGGATGGAGTAAATCGCATAAAGGTGTGTGGCCGGTGATAATTGCAGTGTTAACTTTCGGTGAACTAACAACCCCACAGCTCAAGCGTGCTCACGACGCGGGCCAAAGCAGCACCACTGGTTCACAAGCCGGAGATGCCTCCCCAGATAACGGAGGCGCGCCAGGAACGACCACTGGCCTGTCATCACTATTCCCCAAGAGTCTAACCGACGAGGCCGCCGCTGTGGGTAGTCCCATGAAGAAGCCTCGCGCGAGCGTAGACGACGTGGGCAGTGACGTGAAGCCACTGAGCGGCAGCTCTTTTGTGCCCTCCGTGCCCTCGAGTCTCAGTGGGATACTCGCTCAAGCCGCGGAGACCCCTCTACCGCAGACGATGGGTGGCGAGATGGACGAGGAGGAGCTATAGGACACTCTCGAAGCTCGCCCTGACAGCCGCTGGCTTTCCAAGAGGGCTAGATATACCAGGAAGCTGCGGCGGTTGCATGACAGGCGGGGTAAGATGAGATCTTCTTCATGCCAATGATATCATTGACGGTGATGTCAAGTTGAGAGGGCACTCACTGGTGGCAGTGAGTGGGTGCGAAGAGCAGGTCAATACCCGCCAAAATCGACCATGTGCCGGTGCCTCGGAAGAAAGAAGATTACGGAAAATGATACAGCGAAAGATACCACGCCCGAAACAGACAAATCAACCCGCCAAACCAACCCAAACATCTTTTCCTCTGTATTATCGAAAACTCGATGCACAAAGCTTCTCGTTTGTCTTCATTAGAGCGGTCATGAAGGAGACTGTCAGAACCCAGCGTTTTCATGTGTTGCTCTTGCACTATGCATAGAGTCATTGAAAAAGGGAAAAAGGAGAGACTGAGACAGCCAACGGAAAGGGAAACCGAGCTGTCATCACGTGTTGTGTTGGACGGAATCATCAACGAACAAGGAGGGGGCTCGATAAAAAGAGGGAGAGAGAGCACCAGAAGCGGAAAATGTTTCATGTCGTCTAGCTATGACTTGGACTCTCTTATTGGGGGCATAGAGGAACTTGACTTTGGTGGACAGGTTCATACATACATTACATGGCATACCTTGCTGCATGTTTTTTGTGAAATATAGGATAGCTGAGCTGAATTGGGCAGCTCGTGTATGATGGATTATCGAGCTTGGACTTTTAAGACTTCAGGAGTTGTGGGCTTGGCTTGTGGACTGAAAAAGGTAGTTAAGGTTACCTTGATAGCTGAGCTAGGAATACAGCGGATGTTTAAAGTTCAAGTTTCACTTCTTCAGTGCGTGAGTGAGAGTTGAGTGGAATACCAATGTGTAAAGAGTGTTAACTATTTCCTCCAAGGTTCCATGAGATTGCTAGAACTCATGGTCTTGATAAAAAAGAAGTTAAGTGAACTTTAACAAAGTCGTAAATAACGGAACCCAACATTTAGCAGACCACGCCTGAAGGAGACGCACAGCAACAAGAACGCCGTCCGCCGTCCATAAAAAGATATAAGAAACCAGTCTTGCTAATTGGTATCCCCACAAACACAGGACAGGACATTGACCCCTTTCTTTTGAAGTGGATAATAAGTAACCATTGGATCAGTCAGTTCCAACACAAGTTGTCCGTACCTGTTTTTTGGTATCTCTCATTCTTCGAAAACTCCATTTTCCCATCTACCCTCAGCGTCTTCTCCCACCATTTGTTTACCCATTACTTTCCTCCTTTTTGTATTTAATACCCCCACATCCTACCCACACCCTTCTTCCCTATCCCAAAACCAATGCTTTCCATCTTTATGGTACCCTTACTTCCATTCTTCGATGACTACAACGTCCCCCACTACCCATTCCCCCCTTTTTTCCCCCTCGCGCTTGACTTATACAATCATCTGCGCCACCCCCGCTCCACCCAGCGTCTTACTTCCCACAAACGCCTGGCCCTTGAACGCCGCCAGAGCGTAGCAGAGACCGGTGAGCGACAAGAAGATGCCGGGAACAATGAGCGAAGTGGCGCGATCGATGTTGGACAGAAAGACGACGGCGGCCATGACGCCGTAGGCGGCGGCGCGCATGTAGTTTGTTGAGATCTTGCGGATGGCGTTATCGAAGCCGGACGAGGTCGGGCAGATGCGCAGGAGGAGAGGGACTTCGACGAAGAGGATTACAAAGGAGAAGCACCTGTGGGGCGGTGTTAGTGGTTTTGAGGGGAAGAGGGGAGAAGGGGTTGGGAGAGCTGGAGGGGCACTTACAGAGTGATGACAGAGAAGACGATGATGATGACTCTAAAGGTGAAGATGTTGGCAATGCCAAGGGCAAAGCAGAGGATCATGGAGAGGATGCCGAGCCTGTGGGGGTGGTTGATTAGCTCTTCTGTTTCTTGGCTTCATGTGATGATGATGGTGTCTCTGTTTCTCTTTCGCTGTCTGTTCGGTTGGTGTTCAAGAGCTGGAGAGCTGTCGAGCTGTCGAGCGAACAGCTCCAGCTGCTTCGAGCTTGCTCTCGAGGAGCATCGACAGAGAGAAGGTACGCAAGACGTAGCTAACTTGCGCCAGCTACGCAAGGGAAGGGACAGTGTGTGCTCACCATTGTCCATAGATACCTGTAGGGAAACATTATAGTCAGCAAGGTGCTCATCGAATCATGAGGAGTAGATCCCCGTTACACATCCCATCGGCGTCGGCGCAAGCTTCACCGACGCCGAGGGGGATCAGCGCCGGCGAGGGGCGGAAGGGAGGGGCAGAGGGCAGGCAGAGTGACGGAAGTAACGTACTGAAGTTGCGCGTCGCGAATTCATCCTTGAGCGTCATCTTGGCTGATTTATCGAAGCTATTCGTTTACTCCTTTTTTTCTTCTGTGGTTGGTAGTTTGGTCGTTCCCGCCGATTTGTATCTTGCTACTTGCGCAAGACGTTCGTTACTCGTGGTTCAACGTTCGTTTCGTTTCGTAAAAAGTCGTCGTTACTAGCTCGCTCGTGAGTAGTTTTAGTTGTTGGTTGGTTGTGAGGTAGAGGAGGAAAATTGATTTATTGAGGGACCTATCCGGCGGTCTTTGTTGCTGTTGCTTCCACTCGCTTGTTGTAGGAAATAGGTGGTTGGTTGTTGGTTGTTTCGTTCGTTTCGGCAACAATGGGAATTAACAGTGGTACGACCTGGGTTCCCCTTGTTGTCCTTTCCAAGAGGCTTTATGTTACTGTTTGGCCGTGTCCTGCCGAATCGCCTTGTGGAGAGGAAGAGCGAGCGGGAGAGCGAAATAGGTGAACAAAGTATGAGGCTGGGCGGTAAAGAAAAGATGCCCAGTCGGTCGGGTCGGGTCTCCGTCCGTCGACAGAGTCGGTATGGACAAGATGCCGATGCTGGATCTGGATGGGGTCTGGGTTAGGGTCGTCGACCGAGTCGCGGGTTACTCCGGAAACCGGTGGGTTTTTGTTCTGTTTATTGAGGGGATCTTGAGGTTTTACTGAGAAGCCACCAATGCTCTTTTCCACGATTGTTGAAGAGCTCAAGAGGGTAGAACAGCAATCGACGTAATGGAGAAGTGTAGTGAGAAGTGTTTAGTTGAAGGAGGAGGTTCCGGCAAGGGTAACGCTGCGTAAGCTTCAACTCCGGCTGATTGGAGGTCGTTTCGACGCCCTACAACGGAAGGTGCAATGGGTGTGCCAAGGGCCCAAGGTGAGCGCCAAGTAGGAGTGTGGCCGGTGCTTTCAAGTGCCTGACAGTGGCGGTGCTTGCCGTGTCTGCTTGTGTCACTCGGTCTGGTGTGTAAACGGATGCGCTGAGCCGATGATTGGACCCCTTGTGAACAGGAAGAACTTGAGTGCTCCCTTGATGAAACCGAAAGGGAGGTTCGATGAAGCACTTCTAGTTCAACAAGCGAGGGGATAAAGAATCTGGGCGTATTTAACTGTTTCAGGGTACATGAAGAAGTCCCCTGTCATAGCCCAGGCTGTGGCATGAATGCTTATCACTCATATGCTGCTCTTATCATTCATCAACATCGTCAAGTTGCCAGGCAGCACCCTAAAGTCTTTGTTGCAAACCTCGCCCGCTGACGACGACGTTACGCGGCAATCTGACAGATGAGGCCTCTCTCGGTAGCAATGTTCCAACAAGTGACATGCTACAAGCCAAAGGCATGGGCACAAAGCCAAGCCCTCTTCCGAGATCGCCAACTGAACATCTCAATGCCAAGCCTGGGATGACCTGATGACAGTAAACTTCGTTTATCATCGTAGACCTCTATTCCTCTGCTCCATAAACCACGGACCGGCAAAGTCCTGCCTCTTATCATCAACAGTAAAACATCGAACTCGGCTTCCTCCATCTTCTTCCCTTCGTTACACATTCACTCATGCACGCAAACTCAACAGTCCCATCTTTAGGATATTTGTTTGATTCGATTGGTATTCTTCCACCTCTTCAGATACTCCCAACATCCTTTCACACACATCCACCAGCTACTCGCTTAGAGGAGGACAAGCTTGAAGATGTCGTTGAAGACGAACCAATTGGCAGAGGCGTCCTGGCAGAGCTGGAAGGCCTGGGAGTAGCCAAGAGGGCGCTGCTCGTCATCGACCTGTCCGGGGTGTTAGATGACTTACTGTCGTTGTCTTGTGCTTCAGCTTCACGGATATCACTTACAACAAGCTGGCCGGTAACGAGGATGATGATACCGCCGTTAGCGGTGGGCTGGGCATCGGGCTCGCCGTACTCGTGCTTGACCTTCTGGAAGGGGAGAGACTGTTTGGTTGCTCTGTCAGTTTCCCCGGCCCTCATGTTTCACGGTTTTTGTTTCGGCAGACGCAAACTTACAATAAGCTTCTCAGTAATACCCTGGACACCGAGAGACTGGGCACCCTCGAAGGTGAGCATAGAGTTCTCGCGCTGTGTTGTGGTGTGATTATGTCAGCATATATGCATTTCTCCTGTGGCCCCAACATGCGCGTGTACGTCACGAAAGAGCGCATCATCGTCGCTTTGGTGGAAGTTCTGGGAAGAGGAACCGTACGTAGAGACCAGCGAGGTTCTTGCGATCGGCATCGAAGGTCGCGTAGTAGTGGGTAACGAATTGCTCTGTCAGGCGAGAAAAGCGCCGTGTTAGGATCAGTTCAGTCGATCGCGATAGCAGTGGTCATCATCGTGGGAGCCTTGTTCTGGTCTGCCGCCTATTGCCCTCGTCCTGCTCAGGTCCTCCTCTTTCTAGGGACTTGATCCCATAGCGGATGTGATGTTCCCCCGTATCCTCGAAGGGGGAGGGAGCTGTTCGAGCTTGTGCATGGTCGGATCTCTACTCACTAGCGACGCTCGCGAAGTCTGTCATGGAGGTCAAGAGGTTAGCAATCCTGGTCCTTTCTGTCGTTCACTGGCTGCCATCGCGGCGTTGGGCTGGACCGAGAGCTTCGAGCCTGTCCCTCTGCTCTGTCGGCCTCCCCAGCTCATCGCTTGCCATGCGCACTTACCGGCCATTTTTGCGGTTGTTTTGCTGGAAACTTTTAGAAAAGGTTTCGAAATGGGTATAATGCAAGAGGATGCCTAGCGCAAGACGTCGGGCAGAAGAAGAGGAAGAGAGAGTTGGTGGATGGCGGATGGTGTTGATATTATATTGGCCTCTTTCGTAGTTCGAAGTTTGTCAGTACCCAATGATGGGGGCTGGTGGGGGGGATATGAGGTGCCCACTCGCTACTGCTGGGGAGGGACGACAGGCTGTGCTTGTTGCCGCCCGCCTAGGCGCTATTGCGACTGCGACGCCGCCTGCCTTGTGCCTGTGGCCTGTGACTGACCGATCGCGATACCGCTCGCAAAGTGAAGGTTCGTGGTGGGGTTAAATTTCGGCCTCAGCTAAAAGCGGGGTACTGTCACGCCCGGCAGGCGGCTGGTTGCGATCGCGTTGTGAGTGGTCCAAGCTTTCCTTCCATTCGGTTCTCGCCAGCATAAAATTCGCGGCAGGGGTTTTGGAGCTTTTCCTCTTCAACTTTTTTTTCGTCGCAACTTTTCTTGCACCTCTGTTTGGGCCGCGATGCCATCACAACAGAGGCAATTGGCGCACCAGCGCCGTCGTTGACTAACTCCAAACAGGTAAGACACAATCGCATTTGCTGTTTACCACTTTCCCCTCGGATGATGACTTATTCTTCTTCAAACAACTGAATCTCTATGTTGAACACTTAATATATCAAGCTCAACAGTCTGACACACCTTGCAAATCTTTGCTTTTCTCTACTCTACAACCAAGGCGTCTGTCTAACGTTTCGGAAGGCTAACAATTGGTTCAGATTTCTTGTAGAAAAACGCCGACAGCTTTGCTGCTCCGGACGGCATGGACGGCACGCTACCCTAGGCTACCTGGCTGCCTGCCTGGCGAGGTCCAGTCGACGAGGTCCAGTCGACGACGATCTGTTGCGATCTTGACGGGAGTTAAAACACCGCGAAGACGGACATTGTCATGGCCAGGCACCAGGGGTTGAAGAATGCTGCAAGGTTGCATGACAGCCAATCGTTTTCCCACCTAGTGGTGGCCGTGATCGAGGGAGATGTAGTGTGGCCAGAGATGGCGCATTCGCCGCATCCAAGTCACGATTGAGCACCAAAGGCATGGGGGACAAGATGGTGACTGCGGACTCTCGATTCCATACCTGGCGTATCAGGGTTCTTTTGTCGGTTGGGAGGAGCTCCGAGATGATCAACGGTGTCGATCCGGTTAACTTCATCACGACCATGTGGTGTTGAGTGCATGACGTTGTCAAACACAAAGCCTCAACAAGTTGATGTTCTCGTATCATGAACAAGGTACGACTCATCCTCCAAGATCCCTCTCTCTTCCTTTAACCCTCTCACACCTCACTCCCCTTTCCACCACTGCTGTACATGATGATAAAAGGGATTCCTATGCCTTCGGGTGATGAGGTATTGATACAGCCATACGTGGACTGTACCAATTGTTCCTTCTGAGATTACAGCTAGCAATCACTTCCTGTTCTGCCATGAACGTATCCGTCGAGAGCTATCAGCAAGCAAGAGAGACATAGCTAACATGCTCTCTTCAGTGGAAACTTGGTTTATTTAGAACAATGAAGGAAAGAGGCATGGAGAGGAGACCAGAGGACAGTGGGCCTTGGGTCGTCTTTATATATGAAAAAGAAAGAAAAAATACATTTACCTGCACTACTGCTCTCTCATATGTGATCTCGTTCCGGCTTCTCCCAATCACGGGATTCAACAGGAAACTGCGTTTTAGACAATGTGGACAACCGCCTACACTGGTCGCTCACAGCTGGCCAGACATGTCAAGCAATTTTCATTGACAAACGAAGCACCATCACTCAAGACCTTGGAGATGTTGAACCAAAACTGGAGGGACTGATACAAGCTGGCTTCATCATCCTGGAGAAAGTCATGTGGACAGTCCGCATCATAAACTCGCCCGTTGTGATGGCACATGCCAGCACCTGTCAGATACTTGGGGTTTTCATCTGGTCTTTTGGTCTTCCATCCCATCTGTCATCGCATATACCAAGAACCCTTATCTCTTTCCATCCAATGTAGGTAGCTCAGCTTTCTGGTTTCTTCTTACATCTTTAACATCTTATTACCTCCGTCAGTTCTTTTTGTGCGTCAGCCCTCAAAATACGTGCTGTGACACACCTGTTGCGGTTCGGTTCTTCGAGTATGCTGGGGATTTTCTTGGGTGTTCCATCAGCAGAAGCTGTAATCTAGAGACGACATACCATACATAGAACTACACCAAGTACCACTTATGTATACCGTGCTCGAATCTGGCAGTGTTTGTAACCATCAAGAAGCATTGATCTCACAATCCGTTTCGTCCGTGTAACTCGACCAGAGAACGAGACCATGAAGACTATGGGTGGGATATAAACGCCAAGGGCTGTTCCTTTTGAGTTTCTTCGATCAAACAGCTTCTCGGCCAATCATCTGCTGTCAATTACACATATTCATAACTGTGTGATGTCTGGGGTTGTGATTTCCCCGCGATTTCCACGCCTCGCTCGGGGGAACCCTCGAGGCGGAACTGCATAGGCGGGATCCTGAAGCTGGTTGGAATGGCAGAAAAGTGCAATGGTCTTGTGATGGAACGGAGAATCGAAATAGTAAAAGGGCGGTTTTGTGCTACGTAGAAAGCTGGGGTTGGTACTACAAAAGTTGGACGGGAGTTCGCGCGGTTGACCGCCTTTCGGATATAGGATGGATGTCTTGCATGAAACGGATAGTTATCAGCAGTTTTCTCTTCAATTTTTCTCGGTTACCTTATGTTTTGCCTGGTAGGATCGGTTTGGTTGCCTGTGCTGTTGAAAAACGGAACCAGGGAATGACATAATACCTGGCTGATATCATGCAAGTTTTCAAAGAGAGGGCGTTTCTGGGCGTATAAAGAATAAATGGTCCGTCATGCAGGTTTGTTGATCGTTTTCTTGTGCCACGATCGTGTACTGTAAGACTTTTAACGGGCTACCCCGCGTTTTTGGCTTTCGGGATGACTGTTTGGATTTGTAGTTGTTTGAGTTTCTGTTAACTAAGAAACCGACGTTGTTGCCACGGGAGGAGCTTGCTCGACAAAGGTCAAAGGGTCCTCCCCGTTGTGGGCGTGGGATGATATGATGTTATGTAGTTCTGGAGCTTGACGATCGAATGGGGATTGCGTCATGCTTGATGTGTTTGTTCTTGTCATGGTTTCTTTGGGGTTCTCTCTGCTGGAAAAAGAAACTTTTGCTGAAGACATGGTGATCGAGCACTTCAAATGATAAAACATGTCCACAAGAAAGAGGGACGTACCTTTCCCTCTCTGAAACTCTGCTATCGTGAACGGTGGTCAGAGGTACAATACGTGTTCGACTGGCAAGGAGCCAACACGCTCAGCCCTGGGTTTGGCGAGCTGGCGAGATAAAGATCGGTACCTGTCCTATACTTGACGAAGTTCATACATACTATAGTAGTATGCAAGAGGTGCATCAAATCGCACAGAAGCTTGCCCTGGTGTAAAGAAGCGGTCACCGTTAAGTTTAGGCACAACGTCGTGTTGCGGTTGTGATTGGCCTGGAGCTTTGCGAATTGTGTCTCTTTTGGGGCTTGCTGCATTCCCAACATCTCTTGGGACCGAGAGGGGAGAGAGGAGCTGGGAGGAGGAGATGAGGGGAACGGCCCGGAGTCTTGGACTTTTTCACCGGAGCTGCCGTCTCGCTAGAGTGTGTAGCAGCCTCAGTAACCATCACTCCAACACCGTGTGCTCTTGTTCACTGGTGTTGTTTCCGAGGAGAGTCTCATGATCTCATCAAGAACAATATCGAAACCCATGTCATGAAGTGGAAAGAAGGGCAGATCAGTAGGCCCCACCTATTTAAGGTGTATCCGCTCTCCATCTCGGGGCCTGATCCAGGTCCTCGACAGAACAACAAAGTGCTCGAGCTGGCTGTTGCGGGAAGAAAGAAGGAAAAAGAAAGGGCCAATGTTCTAGAAAGGTTAGAAGGACAACTCTGGTAAAAACTCTTCACGTCACTTGGGCCTCGATTGCAGAAGTCCAGAGCTGTTTGGGAAGTCGTCACTGTCAGCTTTGGCAGGACTTGGCTGTGGTCGAGGAAGCTGCAGCCCGTTTAGGGATCGATCCATTCTGAAAATGACCTATTTTTTCTGAAATTTTCAATTTTCTGAAATTTCTGAAATTTCTAGGACCGTGCACGAGTCCGTGCCCCCATACTCTTCCCCCTTTAATACACCTATCTTTATACCTTTTCAATTATTAATAACCTTCTTAGTGTTACAATAATACTACTAATTTGTAACTCTCAAAATGAGGCTGTATTTAGGGAGTTCAATATCATAAATATCCTTAGCTGATAAACTCAATAAGCAATATACCGTTACTACAATTGGCGCAATATGGCTAACGTTATTCAAATGCGCGGTTATTTTAATAATTACGCGGAGTATTAGATCGTTCGCATTAATTAGTAATTTAAAGAACGTAAGGATATATAATATTACACTATTACCTTCAATACTACTTAGAAGGATAAGATCGATTAATATATGGTTAAAGCTCTCTTTTTTAACGGCCGCTTATTTATTATATTCGAATCATTTTCTATAAACATATTTTTCTATATTTTAGTACTAATATATACTCCTCTTAACGTAACCGAATTAATTAATTACCAACTTCCTTTTATTTATATTAAAATAAAATAATAAATTATTGAATAGTATATTACTGACTATATATATATCAACGTCTTTTTTAATAAATCAAACGATTATATTAACTGGCGTATTCTTAATATTTCTTTTTCCCCTCTAGAAGGATAATCCTAATTTTAGTACAATAAAAATATTAATTTAATAGAATATATAGTAATAAACCTCGCCGGCATCGTTTCTAATGTTTATAATAAAATAGTTGTTAAATTAATTAAAATTAATTCTTTTATTACTGATATTTATAATAATGCCTAATATATTATTTAAGAGTTATTTAACGATTATTTTAAATTTAGCTTCGTTATTTCATATAATTCGTATTCTTTTTAATTATTATTAAAGGATTTATTTAATTTACTATTATTTAAATTCTTAATTTAGTAGGTTATTATTATTATTAATTCCTTTTGCGCTTCTAAATTATAATTTTTGTAATTACGTATATTAATAATGAGAAATTCTATTTGTACGTGGATAAAACTCTATTTGTACGTGGATTAAAATTTAGAATCTAATTTCTCGCTACGAAAGTGGGGATTTTAAGCCTATATAAGGGTTAAGAATTTGTATTACTTTTTTTTGCATTTTATAAGCCTTAGCTTATATACGTACGTACTTAGTAGCTTCCAAAACTAATAACAGTTTTAAAAGAAGTTAATTTAAGAATTGAATTTTAGGATAAGTATTATTGGAGTGGTACTTACTCTGTGCAAAATGGCGCTTATTAGGGAAAATCTATTAAAATTCTACGAGTATTTTAATATTATTATTAGTTTTATACCTTTAGATTTAATTAAATTAAACTTCTTTTTATATTTTTATTTACGTACAAATAGAGTTTTATCTACGTATAGATAGAGGTTCTCTTAATAATTATATATTATAATAAAATTTTATCGCTTTTAATAAAGTAAATTACTTTCTAAATATTCCATTTATATTATTAATTCATTAAATTAATATAAATACCCGCTAGGGGTTATAGTATAAATCTATTATTTCGATTAAACGCGTATAAATCGTTCTATAAACCTTTGTAAAGGATACCTATTTCTTTAATTAATATTAAGAAGTACCCTATATCGCCGCCGTTATTAGTAATAATAAAGCCGGCGTAAACCCTATATAATTTATATAAATAATAAATATTATTAAGAATATATAATTCTAATATATTTTCGAGGTTTTTAAACAGTTTCTAGTATTATTTTATAAGGTATAATTAATATTAGAGGCGGATAGAGCGTACGTTGGTTATATTATTCTACGCTAAATTAAAATTTAAGAAGAATAATTGCGTTTACGTTATTTTCTCGCCGCTGCGGATTAGTAGGAATTAGAACTCTTTTACGTATTGAAGAAGATTAAATAGTTAATTCCTATTAATTGGTTAGGCTTCCTTTTATACCTATCTACTATAATAGTAAGATTCGAAGCTATTTAACCCTTTATTTAGAATATTATTGGCGTAGTATTATCCTTCCTAAGGGAGTATATTTATATATTTAATAACGTAATAAACGAATAGGCTATCGCTGATTTCTTTATTTTTAAAAGGCGTAAAGGTATTTACAATCCGGACGGTAGTCTTTAAAATTATAATAACTTCGACCTTAAATTATAGTAGATTATAATATAAAATAACCGTTCATTTATTATACTGCTAACTATATAAATATTTAATACCCTAATTAATAGCGTGTTTTATAAGCAAGCCTTCTTTATTATAAATTTTCTAGAAAGTCCTTACCATAACTGACTAATTAGCAAAAAGATAGATATAGCTATATTCGTTTATATAAACGGTTATAAACTTAGAAATTTAAATTAATCATTTATTATATTATTTCCTATATAAACGAACTAATTATTATTATAAATCGACGAGTAGTTATATAATTATATATACGTAGACAATTAAATTTAATATAATAAGGCGGAGTAAGTAGCAGGTTCAATAAGAGGGCATCGCTAATTAAAATAATTATTAAATTTATAAATTTGCATTTATGTATATAAAAATCAATTTCTAGTAAAAAGTAGTAAAAATGACGATTATTACTAAAATTATCGATTTTTTCGATTTTGGGTAGCTATTTAAGACCCCAAAACACCTAGATTTACCTATATTTTAGTTACGTGTGCTGAAAAGATAGAAAAAATGTTCATTTTTGCATGAAATTTTCAGAAATTTCTGAAATTTTCTACGTTCAGAAATTTCAGATCGATCCCTAACTGCCCGTTGCATCTCAAAGAGGTGGGGCAATGGTGGGGTAGAGATATGACAGGGCCTTGCCAGGGGGTGTCCTGACTCCTGAAAGGGGTTTAACGTTGGAAAACCTGAAATGTTCTTTGAGGCGCTGCCAGGGGGAGCTTTGGATTGTGCACCTTGATGAGCACTTGTCTTCAGTTGACTCTGCTCAAGATGTCTCCGGCTGTCTGTCTTGGAACCACAACATTGAATCTCAACTGGAGCAGAAAGAGGACGCTTTCAAGATGACAGTTAACCAAAACTCATATAGGACCAACTCGGCTGGACGGCAGAGTTTGACGGTCAGATGGCAACATTTTGTAAATCAGGAACCGGTCGATTCGTACCGTGTAGCGGTGCCATGACACTGTATGCGCCCCATGACGGCTTTTGGCGGTACCTTTGCGGTACGTTGGCGGTTGATGACGGCGAGGGGCATTGGGGCACTTTGTCCTAAGCCTAATGAGGCCATTGACGATGCACATGCCGTCGGAGAAAGTATGCAGATGAATGTCCCAATTGGTCATGGAAGCAGACAATTCATTGTGCGGATAGACAGTCGGGACAGTAGTGTATAAGTGCGGCATGAATGATGAGTGATTGTACATAATAAAGACGATATAAGTGGCCAGCGCGCCGCCTACTCGTCAGGCCTGTTTCCATCGCAAATCCGTTTCCATTATTCCTTCGACTCGCAACTAACTTACTCGTCTTCAAAGAACAAAAGCAAGAGAGGCCACTCACTTTACTCTTTCAGTTTCCAATTGACCCCGACTTGACCCTTCCTATGAACCTAATCGCCCGATATCACCACCATTATACTTGCATTGTCAACACGGAACCTTATCTCTAGGTGAGTGAGCGCAGTGACACACGCCATCCCATCCGATTTCCCCAGCCTGTCAAGGTCGTATGCGGATTCCACGGGCTTGAGCAAGCGCCGGCCTCGCCTGCTGAAGGCACTTTGACACATTACTTCCCCAACCATCTTCCCGATCCTGCCTCAGCATCTGCCCAGCCAAGACATCGATATCCTCAAGCCCCTCCATCAACACCACCTTCCATGATTCCGGGTCAACCTCTCTGAGCTGGGCCACTCTGCGCAAACTCAGGAGTCTCCGTAACCCTGAGTTGGCAGATGAGGTGCGGATAATACTGAGCGATGGGTGGAGTTGGGAAGCTGGGAAAGGAGGGAAGACATCAACCTGAAGCGGGCAATGGTGATCTCCCTCCTTCCCGTGATAGCTACATCCAGACCTGAAGAAGCTCAAGTTACACACGGAAGCACATCTTCCAGCTACATGTACTGCTATTGCAAAGAGAAGTACCCAGTGTCGTCTTATCAGACGGTACCGGGCTTCTCGGTACAAGTTTCCATGGCAGTGACGAGACCTCTTATCTTGCGGCGGAAGGCTGCGTGAGCAAAGTCTTGGAATACCTTCCACGATTCCTCCCAACAGAAAAAAGGGCCGCGCCAACCGAACAACCGAGACGCACTGGACAAGCGCGGTGTTTCCAGATTATTGCGACCCGTCCAAAACCACAAGCGGTGTCCAAGGGGAACGGCGGATCCGGGAAGCCCTGGCTTTGCCCCGGGTTGCCCCTTTCTGGCTGGACACTGCCGTATCACCACCCATCATTATCACGAAAGATCACGAAGCACCACACCCACTTCCCTCACCTTCAACACACCCTTGTTCTGCCAGGCCAGGCGCACTTCAGTTATCTTGCATCCCATTGTTCCTTTAACATCTGTTACTATTGACTTGTTCCTGTGCCTTTATAACGCTGAATACATGGCAGAGAACCTGGGCTAACCTGAGGCGCACGTTCCCTGATAGTCACTTTAGTACCAAGCCACTTACACGAGTGACTTTGACGAAACTACACGACCTACTATACCCGCCACTGCCACTTACACGTGCATCACACCTCGACATCCATATCCAGAGATCCGAGACATTGGTCACTGAGCCAGACTTACCCCGGCTGATAACGAACGGAAACATTCCTTCCATTATACACACCGAACATACATAGCTTCGACTCGTCCCGAGCCCAGATATCACCATGTCTACCACAGCATCTCAGCCTCCCATCCCCCCTAGACCGTCTAGGAGTACCGAGAAACAGCCAGCTCCAATGGTCCCTCCACGCCCGAACAAGAACCGCATCGAGCGCTCCATGAGCCCGAACCCGAACCGCTTTGCGCCTTCGCCTCTTAACGCGGGGCCTATTCAGCCCAAGTCTGCGCATCCCCTGCGCAACGGTCACAATGGCGAGGATATCAAAAGATCCACGTCTGTTGACCTGCCGTCCCTCGGCCAAGAGGGCATGGAATATGCCAACATCACCGAGAATACTCCTTCCAGCGAACAGAGTACTGCCCCCGAGCAGACTAGGACTATCGGCCACGATCTCAAGCTTCATGCGCCCAAGCCGTCCCTGCCTCCTGCTAATGCCAAGCAGCGCATCATGGCCGTTACGCGCACCGATAGCGACAGAGCTGCGGCCTTTGGAATCGGCCGTCCCAGCAGTAACGACGAGTCGACGCACGTCCTCCCGTCCAATAGGAGTCTTAAGAAGAAGGCTAGCACTACTAGCCAGCTGTCGGTGGACTTGGAGGACGAGCATGGTATTCCCGAGATTGGCCAGCAAGTGCCCATGTACAAGAACGCTGGTGATGTCCAGGCTCCATCGCCTGCTCCTGGCGCAACTGCCGATAAGGTGAAGCATCACAGTCGTAGGACTTCTGCCCGCGGCAGCCTTCCTCCCGGCAGCTATGGCCTTCACGGTCATGGTGTGTTTGCTGTGGACAAGCTTGAAAAGGCATATTTTGACAAGCACCCCGAGGCTCTCAAGAAGGAGCACACGCCTTATCAGTACGATCGTGCCAACAACTTCTCGATGAGCAGCGAGAATCTGAACAAGATTGTTCGCGAGACCGCCAGTCGTGGCTCTGGTCTTGGTAAGCACCACTCGTATGCCTAACTACTATGCTCGCTCTTGGCTAACAAGTTCTGATCACAGGTGTCCAGAACTACCCCGGTACCCCCAGCGAGCAGGTTGGATGGCAAGCCATTGAGGAGTCTACCTCTCGCGTCGCGTCTCCCCGCCCTCATTCCTCCGGCCGCAAGTCTCCTGTCAAGCCGACCTTTGCTGTGCAAGATGACAATGGCGAGTCCCGCGCTCTAGAGGAGGACGAAGAACCCAGGAAGAACGTGATTCACGTGGACGAGCCCAACCGTCGCAGCTCAAGAGGCAAGTCCATGGATGGATCAGCACCGGCGGCTGAAGAAGAGGAGGAGTACACTGCCCCTATCCTTGCCGAGGATGAGGTCGCACAGAACCCATCGCCCTACGCTCACGAGCCGGCCGTTGTGCCCAAGCGCCGCGAAAGTGCTGAACCCAAGAGTCGCCCGACTAGCAGACCGGCCAGCATCTACAGGGAGAACTCTTTCGAGATGCGCTCTACCCCCCTCGAGGATGTCGAGGAATATGAGCCCCTCTTCAAGGATGACGAACAACCCGCGAAGAAGCCTGAGGTTCCCTTGAGACCCAAGACCGAGCACAAGCGCCGCTTCCCCAGTGCTGACGTCTGGGAGGACGCCCCTAGCAGTACCATGTACACCGCCGAAGTTTCCACCCCGGAACCCACCGCTGAGCAGCAAGAGGAAGAGGGTCAGGAGCAGGCCAAGCCCCAGATAGAACCTCGCGAGGGTGAGACCTTTGCTCAAGCGTTTGCCCGTCAGCAAGAAGAGCTTGCCGAGAAGGAAGCCCGGGAAAACGGCCCCGATGGTTTCGTCAAGTCGAGTACTCCCAGGCCTTCTTCGCACCAGCAAAGACCTTCCTGGGTTCAGGGTCAGCCCCATCTTCTGCAGGAAGTGAAGAAGGAGGCTGCCAAGGCTGCCAGGCCGGCCATGGCTCAGAGGTTCCCTAGCCGCGATGTTTGGGAGGATAGCCCGGAGAGCTTGCAGCTGCAGACCGAGGTTTCTACTCCCCAGCAGGACGAGGAGCAGACGGAGGAGGCCGCGGCCGAGTCTCCCAAGGTCTCTCCCCGTACAGAGGAGCCTGAGCCCAAGATCGACGAAAAGCTTGCCGAGAAGCCCGAGGTCAAGGACGAGACACCCGAGCCAAAGGAGCCTGTTCCCACTCCCGCCGCAGTCACAGAACGAAAGCCCTCACCCCCGGCGATCCCCTCCCGCCCATCTCTTCCCTCCCGCCCTTCCATCCCCGACCGTCCCAAGCCCAAGCCGGCCGCCAAGCCCGCCATTCCCGCGCGCCCCGTCAAGGCGTCTCCCACGTCCGGCGGTCTCGAACCCGCCGAGGCCGCCGCTCCTCCTCGTCAGAAGCCCGCCGTCCCCGCTCGTCCGATGGGCTCTAAGATCGCCGCTCTGCAGGCCGGTTTCATGAGCGACCTTAACAACCGCTTGCGTCTCGGCCCGCAGATACCGGTTAAGAAGGAGGAGGCGCCGGCCGAGGAGCAGGAGAAGGCGGAGGTGAAGGAGAAGGTGCCGCTTAGTGATGCTAGAAAGGGCAGGGCGAGGGGTCCCCAGAGGAGGGCGCCTGCTGCTGCTAAGGCTGCTGCTACGGCTGCTGCGGCGCCGGCGGTGGCTGAGGAGAAGAAGGAGGTGACTGGTCCGAAGTTGAGTTTCTCGGTTTCGGTTAGTTATTGGGCTATTAATCCTGAGAGTGAGGAGGGTGGTGTTCGTGTTGGTATTGCTGAGTTGAAGGGCTTGGAAGAGGAGAAGCCGAAGGAGGAGAAGAAGGAAGAGGTTAAGAGCGAGATTAAGCCCGAGACTGAGACTGAGAAGCCCAAGGTTGAGGAAGTCAAGGACGAAGCTAAGGCTGTGGTAGAGAAGCTGGTTCCCGAAACTGTCCAGAAGGAGGCTAAGGAGGAAGCACCAAAGGAAGAGACCAATGAAGAGAAGGCTCCTTCGCCCGAGCCCGAGCCCAGTGCTTCCCCCGAGGCTATTATCTCCGAAGCACCCGGTGCCTTCCCCTCCACTCCCGCAATCGAAGCGGAGGTTAAGGCTGAGGAGGAGGCCGAAGCCGAGGCAGAAGCCGAATCTTCCGCTCCGGCTGACACACCTACCTCCACCGAAGCTCCCGCCCCCGAACCCGTCGAAGCCGATGCCCAGGCCGAGACGGAAACCAAGAAGACTGAAGCCGAAGAACCGCCCACCACCACTACTGCGTCTGAAACCGAAAAGGTAGAAGATAAGCGCGATGCCACTACAGCTTCGGCAAAGGCTGAGGCGGCGGCTGCTGATACTGCGGTTACTAACTCCTCCGCTACCGACCCCACCTCTACCACTGAAGAGGCGCCAAAGGAGGAAGTCAAGTCCCTGGTGACTAACACCGCTGGGGAGACTATTGTCCAGGAACATGTCACTAGGGATGGAAGTGGTGGTGTGAAGCCTTTGGAGGCGGAGGATAAGGGGGGTGAGGAGGCTTAGGCTTAGGTTTGGGTGTGATTCCAATTGGGAAAGGTGGTGAGAGATCTGAGGAGGGGTGGTTTCTGCTTCTGGTCTATGATTTGACTGAGACAGAAAGACATCGTATAAGATGTCGTGTGTCGTGAGGAAGGTGGGAGGACGAGGAGATAGGTGTGTGTGGTGATTATAGGTGGTTATAAGTGGTTAATGGAGGGTGCCGCCCAATGCTTTATTTATCTGCTTTAGCGAAGTCAGTTTTGCTTCTGGCTTTTAGTACTTTGAGGGGTTGAATACAAAGCGATTTACCTTGTCTTATCTTACCTTACCTTACCTTACTCGCTCCTTTACATCTATCCCCTCCTGTTCGTCTTTTTGTGAGTTTGTAGTCGGACCTTATGATTATGTTTGATGCTTTGGGGGGGGCAAGGGCGAGGGCGATAACTCCTCCATGCCCATGGCAACCGCAAGAGAGGCGTGGTAAGGTGTTCTAGTAGCCTTTTTAACATCTTCATCTGGATGAACTGAGCGTTGATGTTGATCGATCTGTACTTCTAAAAGGTATACAAGGACCAACCGAGAACCGACGTCGGCTGAGGTCGGCTAAGAGAGAGAGAGAGGTAGGTAGGTAGGTACCCGTGAGTGTCCCGTGGATGGAGGGAGGCAGCACATCATACCCACGGGGTCGGGTAGAAGAAAGTTTGAGGGGGGATAATATATGGACACTTGAAACAAGTGACAGTCAACAAATACTGTCCCGCCTTTTGTTTTGGCGTGTCGCCCTCCGCAAGCGGCGGGGAGTGGGATGGTATAAATTGACTGGCAGTTTGAGGTTATATAATTAGTAGACAGACAGACGTTGTTGTTTGGTTGCTGGGGACAGGCAGGTTGATAACATGTTGAGAACCTCCTCTAAGATATTGATAAGACGGTGCATAAAGATGATGAAAAGATGGTGATAAGGTGTTAAAAGGGGAATGTAAACAAGGTGACAACACTTTTAACCCTTTATGTCCAAACAAACAAGGAATTTTAGGTCTCATTACACTTCCACCATTCACGCGTTCGTGGTTGCTTTGATAGTCTTATACACGGGCATTCAAGACAGCTAGCAGGGTCGAGCACAGCCGAGCACAGCTGAGTACCAAGTGAATGAATACTCACCTAAACACGCCGGGTATGTATTATATAATTCTAGTACGCTCTCGAGATATATATAAACTTCAACAAGCTTTTACTTCACTTCATCATCCTCTCAGTTACTTTAGCTCCCGTTCGTTCCCTTTTGGCCACTACTTCCCAGATCTACTCATCAGATCTGCTGCGCCTCCTCTCTTCACCCCTTTCTGTCGTTCCGTTCGAGCTTCACAGTAAACTCTCATACTTATCCAAGCCAGACTTGTTCTGTTGCTGCTGATGCTGCTGTTGTGCTCGCGCTTGTTGAGGCTGTAATGGTGTTCCCCAACCAGATGATTGCGGTTGGAGGGGTTGCATCATTCCCATACTTGTCCCCCCCATACCACCCATCCCACCAAACCCAGACCCCATCATACCACCGGTATTGCTCTTAGCAGCCATCATATTCCCCATGCTATTAGCACCATTATTGATACTCCCCAGGCTCAAGTTCCCAAACGACCCACTCCCACTCCCCCAAGTCGTCGTCGTCGTCGTCGGCGCGCCACTCTGCGCAGGAGCCTTGGGTGGTGGTGCTAGGCTGAATCCGCCAGTCCCCGAGCCAAACCCGGGTGTAGAAACCGCCGACGCCGACGGTGGTGGTTGTAATGAAAATGAAGAGCTGGTTCGGGAATTGCTAGATAACTGGCCTAGGTTCATATTCCCAAAGGCATTTGTCGGCGGAGCGATAGAGGGAGAGGTGACGGTTGATGCGGGTGTTGATGACCAGGGATTTGCCTGCGCTTGAGTGGCCGCGCCCCAGTTGATACCAATACCTGTTGGGGAGGTGATTGTGGAGGGGGTAGGTTGAAGCGGCTGAGAGAATTGAGTAGATTGGGGAGTTAGAGCCTGGAAGGAGTTGAGATCTGGTGTAACAGTGCGGAAGTTGGAGCCGGTGGTTTGGGGTTTGAGGGTTGTCGAGGGCGCAGTGGTGGTGGCGGGGGGAGTGGATGACCAAGAGAAGGTCGCGGCGGGAGTGGAGCGGCCGGTGCCGGTGCCGGAGCGGACGCCGGGGGAGGTTACCGGCGGTTTGGAGCCGGAGGTTAGGGCGTTGTCCCATCCGCCGGAGTCGAGCGGGCTGGTGTTATTGTTAGTATTACCACCGCCGCCTACTAGAGCCGCGAAATCGTTGGCTGATGTCCCGTTCGTGTCTAGAGCTGAGGAACCGGATAGCCCGCCTAGGGACATGAAGTCTTCTGCTGGACCGGAGGTATTACCGCCGTTGAGCTCCTGCAGTTTCTTGGTCTGTTCGTCTTCCACCCGTTTGGACAAGCTCTTGATGAGATCCATGAAAGACTGGAACTGCCTGAGGTCGAGCAAGGGCGTTAGGCTCATCGCCCACAATATGGGCAAGATTTCCATAGCCACAAAGTCGGCATCAGCTACTTTCCCCACGATCCGCAAAACGTTCAGGGCGGCAATCATGACGGCCGGTTCCTTGGTTTTGATGGCCTTGATCAGGGGTACGATCTTCTCCTGCATGGTAAACTTGTCTAGCGCACTAGAGCTGGACGAAGGTTTCCGTTCGCTGGGACCGAGTCCGTCGAGGCCGTCGTTGTTCGCCAAGGGGTCAGTGGAGCCGCCGCAGAGGACGACGAAAGCTTGAAGACCGCGGACTTTGATGGCGAGACTGTTGGTTTTGCTGAAGATCATGGCGACTACGGGAAAGAGCTCGTTCTTGATGGTGCTAAAGTCTAGGACTGGGAGGACGCTTGGGAGACTTTGGAGTGCTGCGCCGACTAGGACGGGGGTTGGAGACTCCAGGGCGGCGAAGATGATGGGGAGGATGTCTAGACTGTGTTAGCAAGTGTGAATTGACACAAGGTGTTTGGAGTGCCTACCATCCTTAAATTCCTTCCCAGGACAGGCTCCAACAATAACATGCAACTGCTCAATGATGATCATCAAACCCGCATCCCTAGCAGGATCTCGTTCCTGTGCCTGTTTTGCGTTTGTGACAAAGATCTCCTTGATCACCGGTCGTACTCGGTCTCCAAAAGCTCTCTTGCCGGCCGTAGACGGTAAAAGCTCGACAATCTTGAAGATATTGTGCAGAATCAACGATATGAGTTCCTTGTCCTTCATCTCCTCCAACAACCCTGGAAGTATCTTCTTCTCCATCACGGAGTTGGGAAAATCTGGTAGAACCTTGATCAATCCCCTCAAGAACGCCTGCTTCTCATTGGGCGTCTTGGCCGGGAAAGTATCTAGGAATCGTAGAGTCTTGACCATAATATTGTTGAAGTATTCGCTCTGCTGAAACTCCTTGGCCGTCATCCGGGTGGCCGGCCTTCGCGTGATAAGCCGTGGCAGGACATGGTTGGCAAGCTCTTTGGGTAGCTCGCGAGAACAGAGGTAGTTGTTGGTTGACGACGGCACGCCTTGTGAAGACTGGAAGTGCCTTTTGTAGGAAGACAAACTCGAGTTGCACTCGAATGGTGACCGATGGGGCGAGTTGTATAGAGATATACAGAGTAGACCCAACGAGAACATATCGGCGGAAGATGTGAGGTTGTTGTCGAGGACAAAGTCAGGGGAAGTATAGTCGAGGTTCATCTGGACAGTTCGAGGTAACCTGGGCTCATAGTGCAGAACCTCTGAAAGACTGATCGGTTGTATCGACGTCGGCTTGTTCGAGTCTTGCTGTGGGCTGCAGAAAGCGAGGCCACTGACCTTCCAGTCTGACTGTACGGGGTCAGCGCAAGCCATATCGGAGGGTCACAGAGGGAACTCACCTTGGCATTAATAAGAATAGCATCTGGGGTCAGGTTGCCGTGGACCAGTCCGGCATTCTCGTGTAGGAACTCCAAAGCTTTGCTGACTTGTAGCAATCCCTTCTGATACTCCAGCTCGTCTATTTCCACCTCGCGCCTCCTCCGGGTGCCGTCGGGTTCCTCTCTGACATAGCGACTTGATCGGCCACCGACACCATGATTTCTTTCCTGGTCATCCTTCTCTTGTAATACTGCCGCGAGTGATGTTGTGACTGGTTCCGTGACGAATTGTAGACCTCCGCCTCTTGTTTCCTCCACCGGTTCGACGAGCTCCAAAATGGCGGGATGCCGTAGCCTGGCCAGCGAAGAGGCCTCCTTCTTCAGCCGCTCAACCACCTCTTCCACCACCTTCTTAAAGCCGGCGGCGCTGGACCGACTGAGATCTTTGCTATGCGCATCGAGTATTTTCCTATCGAAGACGAAGACCGAGTACTCCTTGCCGGTGGACTTCTTCTTGGCCGGGTAGATCTTCCATGGTCCGGCTGTCGTCGTAAGGGTGGAAGATATGCTGTAGTTGGAGTTGATGTTGGTCGCGCCAAGCGACTTGAAGACGCCGGCGAGGGCCATGGTCTAATCGGTCGGGGAGTTCGAGGTTTCGGTGGATGGTTTGCGCTGGGTGGCTTTCGGGGGTTGGCTGCTGGAGTCAAGTTCAATTAGAGTCGGAGTTCCCGGTCACCGTTTCTATGGATCCATTGGCGTGCGCAATGGGGAAAACGAGAATTAAACAAGAAAGGGTGAAGAAGAAAAGGTAGGGCCGATGAGTTGTTGGAATTGGAGATTCTCATTATCTAATTGACTTGGCTTTACGGAGTGATGCGATTCGTACCTATAGCAGTCGATGCTTTAACGATGGTCGACCAGCCAAGGCCCCTCCACTAACAGATATCAACCAGGCTCCAGCTGACAATGTTGTAATAGTCGACCGCGCAGAATCGCAATCGCATTCGTAGACGATGAGAGGATCAAAGGGAGACGACAACGCAACCAACCGATGTTGGTGCTTCGAAGAACAATGAAGGGTCCCGACGATGACACAAGGCAGTTGTTAGTACGTTTCGGCGCAAGCTTGGCCCGGCCTCATTACAGCCCAGTGTAACTGCGCGCAAGGCCCAATCGTCAGTCGGTGTCACTTGGTGGTAAGGCTGAAGTTAGCAACCGATAAGAAAGATAAGATGACCTCAGGGGAAACCCAAGACAGCAATGACAGCGGGGAGCTTGCTCACAGTTCACGGCCTCGCGACTTTGAACCCCGAGGGCGGTGAACTTTGTTAGGGAGCTACACCCCACCAGCTGCAATTCAGGGGCAATCTGCGGGGCGCGGCAGTCGTGTTCTGGAACACAGCTAACACGCAACGTCGCCAACACCGAGTCGAGACCTCAATGACTCCGTGCATACGTGGTTAGCCGCGGCATGGGGCGGGCTTGGGCACGGCAGAGATGACAATGGGGAGTCATGATTGGGTCAATTGGCCCAGATCAAGCTCCGATCGCCCTCCGATGGTCCCTTGTTCCCAACATTGCCGTCGTCCACTTTCGTCCACTTTGCGCCGTGCGCGGGAATCTAGGGCGGTCTGACTGACTCTTTCGTACGAGTAGTAAATAGATATTACTGTCCTCTGTCCTCCTTCTTGTCCCTGAGCGAAGAGGTCATCATTCATCTTTCTTTTCTTTTTTCCACCATATCCACTTTAGTCCTTTTTATTTAGAGGAGTTGTTGTTTCCAGCCATAGATACCCAAACCTAAACCAAAACACCAAATACCACACATCACCAAAATGTTCCGCACCTCCCTCCGCAGGGCTGCGGCCTTCCAGCCCTCGAGGCCATGCTTCGGCGCCTTCTCTGCCACCGCTGCCCGCCAGTACAGCGCCGCCGCTGGCACTGCCGACATCGATCCTTCCAAGCTCAAGGTCGAGACCACCAGCCAGCCCAAGGGCCTCAAGAAGCCCGAGGAGCTTGTCTTCGGCCGCAACTTCACTGGTAACGTCCCCGTGCCCCCAAAAGAATGCGCAAAACAGCTTTAACTGACAAACCCTCCGCAACAGACCACATGCTCACCATCGAATGGACCAAGGAGAAGGGCTGGAACGCGCCCGAGATCAAGCCCTACCAGAACCTCTCGCTCGACCCCGCCACCTGCGTCTTCCACTACGCCTTCGAGTGCTTCGAGGGCATGAAGGCGTACAAGGACAAGGCCGGCAAGATCCGTCTCTTCCGCCCGGACAAGAACATGGCGCGCTTCAACAAGTCGGCCGCCCGCATCGCTCTGCCGACCTTCGACTCGCCCGCCCTGATCGACCTGATCGGCAAGCTGGTCAAGCTCGACAGCCGCTTCATCCCCGAGCAGAAAGGCTACTCGCTGTACCTGCGCCCGACCATGATCGGCACGCAAGCGACCCTTGGCGTCGGCCCCCCGGGTTCCGCTCTGCTCTACGTCATCGCCTCCCCCGTCGGCCCTTACTACCCCACGGGCTTCAAGGCCGTCTCGCTCGAGGCGACCGACTACGCCGTGCGCGCCTGGCCCGGCGGCGTCGGCGACAAGAAGCTCGGCGCCAACTACGCGCCCTGCATCGTGCCCCAGGTCGAGGCTATGAGCCGCGGCTTCCAGCAGAACTTGTGGCTGTTCGGCGAGGAGGAGTTCGTCACCGAGGTCGGCACCATGAACTTCTTTGTGGCCATCAAGGATAAGCAAACCGGCCAGAAGACCCTGGTCACTGCTCCCCTCGACGGCACCATCCTCGAGGGCGTCACGCGTGATTCCGTCCTCGCGCTGGCTCGCGAGAGGCTGGAGCCCGAGGGCTGGAGGATCGAGGAGCGCAAGTATACCATGAAGGAGCTTGCCGAGGCGGCGAACGAGGGCCGTCTTATTGAGGCTTTCGGCGCCGGTACGGCCGCTATTGTTAGCCCTGTGCGCTCGATCAGCTGGAAGGGCCAGCTCGTCAACTGCGGTCTTAAGCCTGAGGAGGAGAGCGGTGAGCTTACGATGAAGGTCAAGAACTGGATGGAGGCGAGGCAGTATGGTGATGAGGAGCATGAGTGGAGCTATGTTTGCGAGTAGATTTTAGATTAAGATACCTGGGTGATGATGATGAGAGAGAAGACAAAAATGATATTTAAGCGAAGATTTCAAAAAAGGGTTGCTTCTAAATCTTTAAGACTTCCTGTATATAGTTTTGGGTTATGACATGGGATTTTCGGTAGATGGGTAGTAGCCAGTTCATGAAGAAAAAGCCTATTTTACACTTCCACGAAGCTACCTACTCCTGTGCTTCATCACAGCCTTGCGCTTGTGTCGGTGACGGCCCGGTAATACAAAGGTCGAGGTGCACAACACGTTATCCTCCTCTGAGAGCTACTCTAATTGTGATGATTATGCCTCTGGCGACCCCATCCGGGGAGGGACCTTGCTTCGCTCGAGTTCGTCCTGAGTATTCACCGTAACCGGTCACAAGTACTCACTTACCAGTTCCACTGTTATAAGGTATGTTGTGGTGGAGAGGACAAACGGCTTCAAATAATCCACCACTGTCTATCAAAAATACAATCCACATCATCAGTCTATCCGCCGGACAACCTCCTTTTAGTTAAAACAACAAAGCCTCCAAGCCAGCAGATAACCTACCATCTTGTCGTATCATGAAACGCAATAGTGATGTACAATGTGGCCAAAAAGAAAAAAGGGTGAGCGGTGATGGGGGGGAAGGAAGTGTATGTTTTTTCTCAAATGATCAATTCCATCGTCTAAGCAGTTCAGTGCAGTGCAGTGCAGTCCAGAAAGTAGTACAGTACTCCGTTAATATATCCCCGGTTCCCGCTCCCTCACCCAACTAACTCGCACCATGTCTTCCGAGTCCCTCCCTCATGGCTTCCACCCCTCCCTCCTCATTTATCCTGTCTAGACTTGTGGTGGTGAAAAGGCCGTCCTGTGTAACCGGTCCCTATTTTCGTTGTTTGTTTGCTGACTGTTTATCGTTGGTGGTCTTGACTGTTTAACGTGGCTCGACTCGACTCGACTGTTTCCTGGTATTCCCAAAATTTCGAAGGTAATCGTTAAATTGCCACCTGGCGTTGTTGTTGTTGTTGGCGCCCACTCCTTGAGGTTTGTAAATGTGCTGGCGAATGGTTGATGGATGGGCGCAGATACAACAACATGGCATTCGAGACGTTTACTTCTCGGGCTGAGGATCCTCGAGGATGCCCTCGGCCTCTAGTCGGCGGCGAGCCTCTTCGAGAGCCCATGTCTGGATGCTGTTGATGGATATGTTAGCTTGTGTTCAGACCAGACAGTCGACTTGTCTCCTAGCGTATGTGGAAATTGGCCCTGGATATCCCATGTCTTCCAGTCCTCGAACCCCCTTCGCAGTCTTCGCAGTCATTTGATATTTCCATCCCCATTGCCATTGCCATTTCCATCCCATCCCGTCCCCTCTACTTCCATTCACTCTCCATCATTTCTCTGGCCCGTCCCTCCCGTCCTCCTGCGCCCTCTCTCTTCCCTTGTCCCCAAAGCTCCCGCAACAAGGCAAAGCAGCGAAAAAAGCAACTTACGAAGTATCAGGCTTAAAAGCATACGCAATCGTAGCAACAGCAAAGCTGCCGCAGAACCCATAGAAGAACGGGATCTCCCACCCTTCCCTCTCGTACTTCTCGCCCGGTCTGACGCCGAACAGCCAGCCGCTGGGGGGGTCGTAGTGCGGGGCACCGCCGGAGCGGACGGCGCGGGTGGTGCTGAATGCGCGCCGGGAGGCGACGAGGGCGCCGGCGCGGAGGATGGGGGCTGGCATTTTTGTTGATATGTTCTTGGGTTGCGCGATCGGTGTGGTGGTGGTGGTGTGGTGAGGTTGAGGTTGAATTCGGGAGAGGAAGCGACTTGGTGCGATTTGTGGTGTCGGAAGTTCCAAGTTGAAGATGGATTAGAGGTTGGAGGTTGGAGGTTGTTGAATGTCAGATACGACAACCCCCGATTACTCAATTGACTGACGGAACGGGGAATCCGGGGCAGGTGGGGTTGCACTTCTTGGGACGGGAGCGAGGAGTTGCGAACGGTACGTAGGGGCGGAGGCGAAATCTCCACACTTTTGTGTTCCGCGTGCGTGATGATATGGAGCCGGGCGAGGGCGGGCGGAGTTGATGATGATAGAGTTGCAAGGAGTGAGGCAGTTGTGGTCGCAGTTTGCGGTTCCAGTCAAATTGTGCAAGCTTGGTGGCGGATGCACGTGCCAGAACCTGTATTTTAGCTGCGCGGTAGGACCCCACATTCTTACTCTTAGACTCTTAGAATATATATACTATATATATAATCTATTCTACTCTTTTAAGAACTTTATCCTCTGTGTTTCTCGTACAACTATTTAGACTGTTATCCTATCTATTTTGGAGATTGTACCTAGAAATATTTAAGCGTCAGTATTCCCGCGCTCTTAGGGCTTATATAAGCCGCTTAAGAATCCGAATTATGTTATGTTAATTATTAAGTATTTCGTAAGAACGTACTTCTAATGTGTATTGTGACTTCCTAAACGGCGCGTTTTGCGAATTATTATTACGTTATAGGCGTACTATAATAATTAGAGTTCTTACCTTTTAAAAGGCTTCGTTTTTACTTTTTGAACCCCCTTTTTATTATATATTCGCTACCAGTATTTCGCATTCTATATATAATATATAGTATATAGTATGTAGTATATAGTACGTAGGAAATTATAGAGTTAATTGTAATGATAAGGAAGGTATTAATTATTCGAATTTTAAGTTTATTAGTTTGCTCCGCCTGAATTTCATTCTCTTTTCTTTTCTTTTTTTAATTAAAAATACCTACTTTGGTACTATACTATCTATTTTATTATTACCCCCTTTCGGTATCAATTTTGGAATCGATTTATTGGTTTCTATACTTTTATAATTATTTACTTACTTGCGTATAAATAATTTGCTTAGACCTAATAATTAAGGCCTGCCTATATTTATTATTGGATCTTATACTTTCGATTTTAATATATTAATTGAAAGTAGCCTATTTTAAACTTTGGTTAGCTCGCTAGAATTTGAATATTAGAGGCTATTTATTTATCGATTTATATTTTAGTTCTCCTACCCCTCTATATCTTTTAACCCCTGGAATAGCTATTAATTTACTAAAAGACCTTAAAAATCCAATTACGAAGAGGACTCTAATTACGAGGAAATCTCGGATTACGAAGAATTTTATTACAAGGACGTTCTAAATTATTACAATTTAAAAGATAGTAATTATAACGTTTAAATTAACCTTACTAATATTCGCCCTTTTTATATTTTTAAAATTCTTATAATTTCATTCTCGGCTCTTAGGTTCCTACTTCATCGTCTATCTAACGATTTTGAAAATTTTAAAGAGGAATCCCTTAAATTTCCGGAATTACCCCTTAAATTTCCAGAATTACTTATTAACCTTCTAGAACTTAAAATTACTTTAAATTTTTATAATATAGCGGGTCGATTTATTATCCTTCTACTAAATATACCTGATATTTATTTATATAATAAATTTAATACCAAATATTCTATTGGGCGTTAACTCAATAATATCTATTAAGAATTCTAAAAATATAAATACTTTACGGCTACTCTCCTGGCTAATTAAATTTTATAAGCTATTAATATATTATATATTAATAAAATTACTATTTATTTAAATAATTATTCTTAATTTACCGAATATATTACCCGGGCTTATAATAGAGTTACTACTGACGAAGATCTAATAATAGTTGAAACTATTTTAAAATAGTAGTTCCCTACCAGAATAATTAATATTTAATCCCTTACCCCTTTAATAAATAATATTTAGGATTTAAAATAGACTATTAATAAATTCTTAATTATTTACTATAATAAAACGCTTAATTTATTAATTCGTTTTAAATACTAAAATTACCTTTATAATACTACTATACCTACATTATTTCCTTTCGAAATTTTAACTGTAAAGAATTTTATTGATGTGACGAACGGTAGACTTGATCTGCCTAAGTAGGATAGCTGAAGGTAAAGACTATCAAGTGCAGTTCGGTGAAGCCAAAGGGTTCACAACAAGTATCGTTATACGTGTCTCTAGTGACGATGATCTATTGACTACTGTCGAACTATCTGACAATCTGAGTTCTCCAGTCGTCCTCTTATACTCTCGTGCCTCTAGTTACAGTTGTCTGGCTCATTGACTATGGGCTGGCTCATCTTTGTGAGCCTGGCTCGCCTTTATGAGCCTGGCTTACCTTCATGAGCCTGTGTCTGCCTATGAGCCTTCTTTCCCTGTCATGGTTACACTGCCCAGCCTTTATGTGGCTGCTGTGTACTAATAGCTTGGTTGGCCCGTGTCCTTCGCTTAAAGTTCGTAACAATTGAATACTTTATTTGTAATTTTAACAACGAAATTCTTAAACGAAAGGCAATTAATAAGGGAACTCTTAATTATAAAAATTTATAGGGTACTTTAAATAGAATCCATTCTTATATTAGTATTCTAAAATAGAAGATTTAATTTTACAATTAGGTAAATACTTAAGCAAAAATTAATATACTACGCTATTTCATCAAAGAGTAAACTGGTAAAAACTTTGATAAAATCCTTATTTAGGCCTTCCTAGGCCTAACTAATATATTTAATTCGTCCTTCGGAAATATATAGTCTAGAATTTCTAATAAAAATATAAAAATAACTTATATTAGGACTAAACGTCTCTTAGCTGTTGGGCCTTCTAAAGCTCCGATAATTATAATTTTTCGAACCCTTTACTCAGCTACTTTATTAATTGCCACTTCCTAAAACCTAATTTTCAGTAATTCGAAAATATTAATCCCCGTATCCTCCTATTTTACTACATTCCCGCTTAAGGAAACTCTAAATATCTAATCGTAAATAATTTTCAAATCTTAATTTAAAATAAAAGAATATACTTTAATTACAATTATATTAGAGTTATTAATGAAAAGACTTATTTATCGCATAAATATAAATTTACAATTCTGGTTAGAAAGTTAAGAATAATTTTACTTAAAGGCGATTATTAATAAACTATATTAAGAAGTTAAAGAAAGACAACGGATTCGGAAGGAGATTACCACTATTTCTAATACTACTATTATACTAAATATAAATCGTACTAGAATATTGTAAAAATAACCTAACCTTTTATTGAATACTATTAAAATAAATCTTATTCTAATAAACTTCGTTCTTAAATCTCCTATTAAAAAAATTATTAAACTATTTCAACCTAATTTAAATAATAAATCCGTTTACAATTAAACTATCCTTTATTTAGAAATTTACTATAGTAAAGTGAATAATTATAAAGAGGATATTTAAATAGAATTTCTAAATAAGGATAACCCTACTAAACCCCTAAACCTAACTATAAAAGAGAGAATTATTTATTTTAAAATATATTTAATTAAACTAATCTATAAAAAACTTGCCGTTAATTAAAGAATTACTCCCTTAATTAATTAATTCTAATCCGTTAGTAGTAATAATAATAAAGTACTAATTTTGATTTATAAAAAAGAGAAGGTAATTAAATTAAATAACTTACCTATTAATTTCAAACTTATAACAATTTACAAAAATCTTATTAACCCCGTCCCTCCCCCTAAAATATTCCAAGGGGCACTATTTAAACCAGTAAAAAAGACCCAATTAATTACTTTAATTAAAATACTTAAAGATTTAGCGATAAATATAAATTTTAAACCCAACCCGTTATTTTAATCCTTCAATATTTACAATAAATAAACCTAAAATGATTAATACTTTTACTACTTTTAATAAATTTACTAAGATTCTTATTAAATTCCTTTTTTAAAATTATAATTTTAAACTTATTTTAAAGCGAATTATTACTATACTTAAAAGGATAGACCTAAAGGTTAAAAAGCGAATTCAAAAAGGCTTTAAAGAAATCTATAATTGTATAGGTAAAGGATAGTTTAATTAGTTCGAATTCTTAGAACGCCTAAACGTAATAATATCCTTTATCGATTTAATACAAACTAATCTAAATAGCACTAAAATTATAAAGTAAACGATTACTGGAACGAATAATAAAAAAGGAAAAAAGAAAGTTCAGTTTACTATTTAATTCCTTATGATTATTAAAGAACTTCCCGGAACTATAATAATTACTCCAATTAATTCTAAACCTACCCAATTTATTAAAATATTCGACAAATATCGAAGATCGACGAAATTTTTTTTTTTTAAATTGCAAAGTTATTAATTTCCGGAATAGAAGGTACCGACTTTTTAAAATCGCTAGGATCTAAATAAATTAGGGTTCTAATTTTAATATCGTATCTCGTTCGTTAACTAAATACCTTAAAATCAATATTATTCTATTACAAAATATTAAATGGGCTAATCTAATTATATAGACTTTAAATAGCCATTCGGTCTTCGTATTTTACTTTTATACTTTAAAAATTAATTATTATAGAATTAAACGCCGAATCCTTATAATCATTCCCCCTTATACCGAAGGAAATAATAGAATATAAATACTATTAAGTATTATTTAGTTATATAGAATAAACGCTATAATATTAATCTATAAAAATTATCTTACAATTAGGGATCTAATAGAGAACGAATAACGAATTATTATTTAAAGACTTATTTTGGAATTATTTAAAGAAAACCCGATAATTTTAGTACTAATATTTATTAGTTTTAGTATAGAAATTAATAGAAATTCGGCTACTTCGTCGGAAGGTAAGGATTCTAATTTGGAAAGTAATAATAATACATACCTACCCGCGGAGGGACCCGATAAAAAAACTATTTAGATTCCCTTAAAATTAGTATTAACTAATACAGATTTTAAAGAAATTAAATCTTTAGGATCCAATATATTAATTAAACGCAAAGCGGCCGCCGATCGAATGTTTGGTAAATTTAAGGATTATATAATAGCTAATATTAAGCGCGAATATAAAACTACTAAGAATACTAATTCTAAAACTATTAATTCAAGGAATTAATTTCTTATTAATGACTTCAATATATTAAAAAAGGCTCCCTATTTTTTATTTTCTATTCATTAACTATTATCTATCGTTTTTTATAAATAGTAATATAATTAAAATTTTCTTTAATTTTTAATTGTTTCACTACCTAAACCTTTTTTCTCCCTAACATTATCCTTATTTCAATTTTTATTCTATTTTAATTATTTATAACCTTGATTTATATCCTTTACAACGTTAATAATCTTCGAACCTTATAATAAGCAACGACGATCTCTATTAAATTAACCGCCCGGCTTATCCGGTAGTAAAATATAACGATTAGATATTAATAACCTTATTATACCTAATAAGCGAATATTATAATCCTAAATATTAATTAATTACGTAGCTTAATATTACCTTTTTTATAATTAGTTATTCAATATATATTAGTTACTTTATAATAATATTTGGCGAACTCGATAAGGCTAGCTTAAAAACTAATAAGATTTCCTAATTTACGAAGAGTTTAATTCTATTGGGTGTAGGAATAGAAATTAAATATAATAAGATTTCGGGAGGCAAATATCCGGGTAATTTTATTCTTATAGCCTTATTATTCTACTAGGGCTTATTTTCCTTAATAAAATTATTAGTAAATAACTTAGATCTTAGGATTGGAATTTCCCTTATTAAACTTCGCTTTTAAAATTTTAAGGTATTTAATACTAATTAGAATACTATTATCTAAACTATTTTAATTAGATCCCTAATGCTACTTCTAGAGTTTTTTACTTCTAAATTACGCTATATTGTATTAAATATTATTATCGACAAGTAGAATTTCTTTCAGATGCCGGTTTTTACCGTTAAATTTAACTATATTCCTCGCAAAGCTCTTAATATTTTATTTTAATCTATATAGGAATATCTTTGTTACCTTCTATATTCCGTTATTATAGTTTAAGTTATTTTTAAATATTTCTATATTACTAAGGATCCGGTTCGTATTATTAAGGGGAGGGTTTTGCCTTCTAAGCCTATTCCTTACGTATTTTTAAAATAGTTTTTTATTTATTATAATCATTACGAAACTTTTTATTAGATTTTTTAATTCGCCTTCTATATTTATTTATTTTATTAGATTTCTATTTAAATAAATAAAAACGTTGTCCTCATTTCTACCGAAGGGGACTCCTACCCTCTTTTAATCTAGAATTTTTATTTAATAGGGTATTTAATTAAATTTATAACCTCCTTAGCGTAAACGCTTCTTAGATTTATTTTTCCTTATAATTACCTGGGATTTTACATTCCAAATCTTTAAATTAAAGGGTTCCTATTTCCGGCTTATATTTAAGAATTAGCGAATACCTATTTAATTTATTAATTAATTTTGGGATTTATTTCTTAATTATTATAGAAAAGATTTACGAATAAAAAAAAGATAAGAAAATGTTAGGCGGAACCCTTTAATTAAATTAAGAAGGTTATTATTTTCTATAATTAAATTTAGCTTTTATTCCGAACGTATAATTAGGAAATAGTAAAATTTCCGGAATTTGAAAATAAATTCTAGGATATTTAATATACTATATTACTTTTTACTAGTTATATATTGGATTCTCTAATAATTAGTTCTATTCCTATAGATTATATTAAAGATAATACCGAATCCGATTTAGAATCGGATTTATAAGAAGACGAAAGAGAATCTATTGTAACCGACTGAACGTATTTAACCTATATTGGAGAAGAGGACTTCCCTACCCTTTCGCCTAAGGTTCTTATTCTTCTATTTTTTTAAATTTTATTTCTATTCTATTTTATATATTTTAAATATTATTTCGGATAAATATTTTATGTAGCTCGTACTCGTAATCGCTTACTTTTAAATTTAAAATTATTAGTTAATAGATTACTATATTTTAGATTTAACAAATCTAATATCGATAATCCTATTATTTCGCTAATTATAATTCTATTACTTATCCTAGCTCTAAACGTAGATAAATCCTCTAAATTAACTTTGTAAGATATAAATACTTTATTGATTAAAGTGGGGCTTATTTTTAGTTATTTTCGGAATTTGGCTAATGTTTTTAGGCGTAAACGGGAGAATTAAATTATAATTAAAAGGGAATTCTTTAATAGTATTTGGACGGCTTATTATTAATATGTGGAATATACCTTCCCGGTCTAGATTTATATTATAGTATTAATAACGTTTATTTTTAGGAATTAAGACCCTAAGTAGATTGAAAATTAGTGGAAAGGATAGGATAATATTAGTATAATAACGTTTTAGATTTTAAACTAATTTTATTTATTAATTCTTAAATTAGAAGACCCGGAAAAGATCTTTTTAATTGAGGGTATTATTATAATTCTCAATATATTCCCTATTACTGCTTTAAAGCAATTAAAGGCATTTAGTGCCCAGTTTATTCTTCAATTCCTAGATTACTTTTTTTAAATATATTTAGTTTTAATTTAGAGAGGATTATTTAAATAGTATTTAGATAACGTTATTAAATAATTTGAAAGGGAAATTTAGTATTTATGTTGAGATTGAAGATTTTGATTATTTTTTGGCAGGTTATTTCGAGGATTTGGATTTTAATAAATAGCTTTATAGAGATGTTTCCGATATTGAAGAATTTACCATCGAAATAAATTAAGCGAAGGGTCAAAATTTAGGTAGTGAATTTACTATTAGAATTATTTTTTGAAATTTAGATTCTTCGTATTTAGAGATAGTTCTTTAAAATCCCTCTCTTAGGATTTTAAATTGTTCGATTATAAAGTTGGGTATATAATTTCGAGGGATATTAATAATTTTATAGAGGTATTAATGAAATTTTTTTTTTAGATTGGAAAAAATACAGTATAGGTTATTTCTTTGTAATTCTTGCGAAGGCGTTCGTAGAATTTTGGTATTTAGTTTTATTATTTTATAGTTTTTGGTAGATATTTTAAGAGAATTTGATGAGTTTACTAGTTTTACTGGTTGAAGACTATTAGGATATTGGTATATAATTGGTTAGCCGAGGCGGCTAATTTGGGTAGTAGATTTGGCGGATGTACGTGCTAGAACCTATATTTTAATTGCGCAGTAGGACCCCACATTCTTACTCTTAGACTCTTAGAACACACACACCATATACACAATCTACTCTACTCTTTTGAGGACCTTACCCTCTGCGTTTCTCGTGCAACTATTCAGACCGTTGTCCTATCTATTTTGGACTTGGAGGTGCGGGCACCGGAGATGGGGTCTGTGCGCGGTTAATGCAAATGGGAGACGGAGTTGTGCAGCCGTCATCACGTGCGGGGTACTAGCCGATATCTTCCGGTTGAGGGATAATGGGGTTAGGGTTGGATGAACAAGAGGTTCACATCATCATCGCACTTTCCCTCCAAACACTCGATCACCCTTCTTGAGAGAAAACTCTTTCATATCTTGAAAACGAGGGGAATTGAGGTTTGGGAGTCAGTCCTGTCAACCACAACATTAACAGCACAATATGTTGCCCGATTTGTGTTGCGGCGCAGCAAAACACCATGGCCGATTGCTACCACATGAGATGAGTTATGATAGGTCGACTCCGGTCAACGATTGGGTCGAAATGCTGGAGAAAAGCCTCATATTTGGCAAGGCTCAAGTGAGTGTGCCCAACAATGATTTGCTCATTCTGCTTCGTGCCTGTGATTCGACGCCGTAACTGACACTTTACAGCCACTTGCAGACGCTCTGTATACCCCAACCTCACTCAATACTTCAAACAGCAGTCGCCCAAGACCTTCGACCTCTCTTGCCAGATACGATTCACCACGCACCATTCTACCAGTCAAGGCAGTCCGTCACATATGTCTTCACCAACGAACCTCGAAAATACCACCAGAGAGATGTTAACTATGACCTGATCCCGCTGCGAATCAAGTTGCCTGAAATCCGGCTCCTCGAGTTGTTCCCGGCCCCCAACTTCACCGACGACCTTTGGTGTCGATTATACACCGCCCTCATTGAAGAGCCTCCACAATACGCTGGAGACGGTCTTCCTTGCTCCAAGTGTTCTGTCCAAGATCCCCTCTGGTATATCAACCTTCAGCGCAGGTACGGCCGCGACGCTTGCCAGGGCTGTGGTCTGACGAAGGATAACGGGAGGACATTTGAAATTCCATCGTACCATGCTCTGTCATACGCCTGGGGCGATTGTACCAAATCCCACAAAATCTTTACCATCAAGCCAACGGCTGGGGATCACCAGCATGGTATCAGCCCAGCCAGTCGATCAACAGATGGCGATGGTTCTGCCAATGGCGGGCACGGAAGCCTCATCATTCCCATAACGGCTTCTCTGGATAGCTGTCTGCGGCAACTTCGGAGTTCTTGCGGATCAGCGTCCCTCACGATTTGGATCGATCAGATATGCATCGACCAATCGAATGACCGAGAGAAATCAGCCCAGGTCGAGCTCATGCGCAAAATCTATTCTTTGGCGCAACGAGTTATCATTTGGCTTGGTCCCACCGCTGAAGGCTCAGACGATGTCATGGATGCACATGCACACGTCGCGCAAATCTTTTGGAAATACCATCGGACAATCCCGATGGGAAATCAACCAGCCCTGGCAAACCTCGATAGATTCGTTGCAACTGACGAAACCTGGTCGTTGCCCGATTTCCAGGATACAATAAACGAAGTGGTGATGATATATGCCCCCCTCATCCAAGACCACAAATTACAGAAATGGCTCAGTAGAGATTGGTTTTCGCGCATCTGGGTCATACAGGAGTTGTCTTTGTCTAGAGATGCAGTCTTTGTGTGCGGAGAAAAGTCATTGGATGCTGTCGATACTTTTGTCTCGTCACGTTTGTTCGAGGAAGTCTTGTGGCGCCGGGTGCACGAGAACCCAACATACGAGCTCAAGTTACCCCAGACTTTGACTCACATTCTAGGCTTTTTTGCAAAGGATTACTTGAGGCAGCTCTACTACGAATTCTCTGCCATTTTGGTGGCTTTGAAGTGGCAATTCCCCCAGTCACGCTCATCCATGAGGCTATTTCGACTTCTCGACCGCCTATACACAGACACAACCTTCGCAAGGACATCATCGAAATATCGGGATAGAGTTTATGGCCTACTTGGCCTTGCATCGGATGCCGAGGATCTTGATCTTCGCCCGATTATTCAAATCAGACAAAGACGGCCATGGTCTTGACGCAAATAGCAAGAGCTGTCATTGAAAAGGAACATGACCACCTCGAAGTCCTTAGTTTGGCCCAGTTTCCCAAGCAGGGAGTCACGGAAATGGAGGATGGTGTGGATGAGCAGTTCCCACTACCTTCATGGGTACCCGACTGGTATAACGGTTTACGACGGCCATATAGGGCTTACCATGGACGGGTATTACGTTCTTTCTCAGCAAGTTTGAATACATCAGTTCGTGTTGTACCTACTGTTCTTCAGAGCACCCTAGGACTCCGAGGTTACTTGGTCGACACAATCGAGGAGGTGGGGAGTTACATACAGAACCGAGATTCATCAGCGGCTATCACGCTTGATAAATACGACAAAGTGGCGAAATTGTACGGCCTGCTGTGCTCGATAAAATACTTTTGGCATCGGTCTGCAGAGAAGGGACATGGCATTTACAGACATGCCCCAAGACAGAATGAAGCCCTTTGGCGTGTGCCCATCGGTGACCTATGGCGGTGGTCCGAGAGGGAGGAGGGTCAGCCTGTGTCGATTAGACCTCCTTCAGAACCGGGTGCACATATATTCGAGCAGGCTCTGGAGTATTGTCGAAATTGGACGTCAATCGGACACCAACGGATACAGCACACGATACCCGATGTCAAATTCACACCAATTCTATCACAGGCGGAGGAAGAGGTCGTCCAACGAGCTGAGGACAGAAAAGGGGTGTTGTTCAAATATCTATGTCACCTAAATCTCATGTTTGAACTGCGTCCCTACCTTACCAAAAAGGGCTACATGGGCTTGGCCCCATCTTATACGCAGCCAGGCGATGTTTTGGTCATCTTTTCCGGTGGGTCAGTACCGTATGTGATCAGGCCAGTCACCGCTGACACGGATCGATACCGGTTCAAACCGGACGCTGAGAGTCAGGTCAAGTCAGATGACCAGAGCCGTGTCGGCTCGGCCACTGAGGCCAAGCAGGCTGTGGAGGATTGCCATGATCCCAACTTTAAACTCCCCGAGTCCTCTCTCTACACAAAAGAGCAGATCCAGGCCATGTATGAAAAACACAAACTTCACCTATCAAGTCGTCCACAACGAAAACCCGTCGTATTGCCGACAAGGCCGGACGAAAACGACAGCATCTACACTTTTGTCGGCGAGGCGTTTTGCGACGGCATTATGGACGGCGAATTCATGGAACGGGCAGGAGATATCGAGGACTTCTTTCTTGTTTGAAGTTGATGCTCTATATTTGTGCAAGAGGCGAAGAAGGGAAAGGCGGCGACCAAATCTCAGAGAAACTATCACGCAAGAGTTCGTTGAGGTCCTTTCCCGGGTGACTCCACGAGCTCGGGTATCTGCTAGCACCTTCCACATTTCAGGTGACTTGCAATACCTATATCTTGCTGCAGGTACTTGAGGGCTCATCCGGATATCGGGACTGAGGGATGCACGCCTGGCACGCACCTGCCTCTCGGGGTTGACGAGCAGGAATGTACCGAGTAAACTCGCGAAATCCGGTTTAGGCCTTTCCCTCTTTGAGCGCCGGGCAGGGCAGAAATCTGTACAGGGCAAGCCAGAGCCTGTACATTGAAATGCACGCAAGTTAGAGTTGTGGGAATTATCCTCAAGTTTTCACTATCGGGACAGATACATCTGCTGGTGTATGCGTGCTTACGGAGCGCCGCGTCCTGGCCTGCCCGGCGCTTAAAGAGGGAAAGGCCTAAACCGGATTTCGCGAGTTTACTCGGTAGCAATTGTCATATGGAAGGCACGCCCTAATGTGAAGAAGGAGGCTGTCGCCGGCACAGAAGGAGGTAATCGCGAATGGGAAGGAGGCCATCAATGCCGAGGAAGGAAGCCATTCCCAAGGTCAAGCGGGTTGGTTGGTTGGGAGCCTGGCTGGCCGCAAGAAAATGTGTTTACAAACCCAGGCCCCCCAGTCTTCTGGCCCATCTCCCGTCTCTTTTTTCAGAATCAAGCACATCACCAACTACTCATTTGGCCTCCCGCACTCTTATGGATTACAACTTATAAACACTCGGTCACTCAAATATCGTTCCCAGGTCGGTACATTCAACACTCTTATCTTCCTCCGGAATCTTGATTAAATTGTGTCGGCTTTAAGTTCGGCGCACCCATACGTCCTCAGATATTCCGAACGATCTTTCAGTATATTCGGTGCGGTCGACTTCTGTTGGATTCAAGCTGCGCCGGGCATGAGCATCCTACAGATACCGGTAATCTCCATACCGCCCATGCATGCAAATCGGACTGCGTGAGAAACGTGTTTTCTCTTGACTCCGCATACAGCCATTTTGGAGACAACTGGACGAGCTGTTGAGCTGTCGGCTTGATTACTGTGCCTTGGAGGCGCCTCTACCTGCAGAACCTGGGAAATTTGCATTGTCGGTTCCACGTGATTCAGGGCCATGTCTGCAAAACCTGATCACAGAGGTTTGGGAAAGGCCACTCTATTCCCTCTTGATACAAAAACAGCTCCTCGCCTGGCCTGTCCTCGATTCCTTTTCTTTCTTCAACCTCTATTAGACATCATTCGGTACCTATCCTCCTTCCAGATGTTCAACTATCTACTCGCATGGGCCTATCTACTCGGATGGGCCGCGGCGTTATGCCTTCCGAAAAGCTGGATGAGTGGCGGCACTCAAGACAACCGTCGGAAACGTCCGCTCTCTCCTGTCGGAGCTCCAACACCTCCCAGCCCCATCAAATCTCCTTCACACACACGCCCCTCGGCCTACTCCGAACCTTCTTCATCTCGCCCCAATATCCCCGCAACCATGCCAGGCATTCACGCCCCAGATATGGAGCCCGATCTCCAATCCGTCTTCTCCGATTTCAGCGGCCGCAGCGATTACCCAACAGCCGGCTTCACCTACATCATCCTCCACCAGCCTACCAACCGCGCCCTCAGCATAATCAAGGGCAAGCTGGCTCTCCACCGCGTCCCCGAACCAATACCCGGTGTATCCCACCCCTCGCTGCTCGAAGGCAAAACCAACTGGCACTGGGAGTGCGTGGAGGCGGACAACTGGCTCAGCTTCCGCAACGCCGCCACGGGGAGGTTTCTCGGCCACGACGCCGACGGGGACGACAGACAGGGAAGGAATGCGAACCGGAGGTCGGGAAATTTTAGGTGCTCTAGCACTCAGCCTGGGCCATCGGAGAAGTTTGCCTTTCTGAGCTTGAGATCCGGGGTGATGGCTCCGAGCGTGATGCTATCAAATGGGGAAGTGGATGGTTTTGAAGAATTTGGACCAGAAGAAGACAACAGAGAAGAAGACAATGGAGAATACGAAGAGGGTGGGATCGCAGAAAGAGATATGGAGGAATTTGGGGATCGACCGCAATCTCAGGCATCCGCAATGTACTCGCTTCTTGTACAACCACAGAGGTTGACGCCGTGTTATCTTCATCGGGTTGCGGGTTGCCCAGCTTGTGCGAGTGGCTCCCGGAAGCTGGTCAAGGTACAGGTAAGGCCTGAGGGCTGGGCAGTGGGATCGCAAGTAAAAATGTTTTGGGATGCTGATGAGGATGACGGCACGTTTTGGAGGTTTGTGAAGGTCATTCCGCCAACGAATCAATCGGCTGAGGAGGAGGTTATGGCTTGAAGGAAAGGGACTGATTGGGGTATTATCATACAGTACGTCGAGCGTCTTCTTATTTTTCCAGATGGCTACGGCATGTTCTCTTTCCTCTAGGTCTCTACCTGACCAGTCAGTTCTTCGGGAAGGCCGGCGTACCGCTTGGTTAATGTTGACGAGATGCTTGTGGGTCTGTCATGAGCTCTTGGAATGCGTTCAGCGAACCGGGGGAGAAGTCACAAGCGGTTTTGCTTTCATAGGAGATCCGTACATGTGTTATCACCTTATTTGTTAATGCATCGTCATCCACTACCAGAATCGAACTGACGACGGAATTGTTACCAGGTAGTCGTGTACTGTAATATCATGATCTGTGTTTTACGCAATATGGCCGTACCTTGTGGTGGTTTCCATATCTTTGTCGCGTCCTGTCAACACCCCCAAGACACTCCCACCTTGCCTCATGGCGCTTTCCATTTATATTGCCACAATGATGCGATGGAGAGAAGTCACTACCCTAGCAGAGCCCATGGGTTTTCTAAGGCGGAAGGAGCAGAACCTGCAGTGGCATTTGATAGGAGGCAAGAGCCATCAACTAGGTTGCATGAGAGCCCTCGAAGTGGCGTACATCCTTCGTCGATGTTACCCTCTCCCTCTCTTAATCTTTCTGCTCGTCCATCGGACGACGTCTTCTCATCACTCTAAAAGAAATACAGCGTGGAAGTAACACAGCACTTCAGCCTCCTTGTTATATCCGACTGAAGCAGCCTTATCTCTCATATTCACAACCTTGACCCTTGAGTTTTAGTACTATGGACAATGTTATCGTGCAACAGTATATTTCCGATAGGTTGCCTCCCTTCGAGAGCAGCACGTTCAGCCTTTTCAATCCGACCCCCATCAAGTATTTCCGCTGCGGTGTTACCAGCACAAAGGGCAGATATGACTTTCGCCATCCAAAAGAGAGCAACCTGAAGATGAGAGAGCAACCTGAATATGAAGATCCGAGTTGAGTACCTGCAGGATGCCCCTGGTAAAAGCCTTGATCCGTTTCGTACGCCCCGGTGGTTGTACAAGAGGGAGTCTAGACTTTGAGTGTCTCAAACTCGGTTCCTGGAGGTTGGTACGACCTGAAGATATGATTCAAGCTCACTTCAGTTCGTTTCTAATTTTTCCTCCATGGCTCTCTCTCAGTCCTCACTTTTCTGTTGCTATCGTTGCTTCAATCTTTATTTCCTCCTTCGCAAGTACAATCTGTGAGCCACCATGGCCGTGTTTTTATGCTCCTCCACCTGTACCTCAGTACTACAGTCGATCTGTTTTACATTTCCCGCTCTTTCCGCCATCTTCCTACAACCTGCTTTAACACAGCGCTTGGACAACCCCCCAGCCAACAGGCTCCTTCGTAGAGGGTACTCACGAGGTATGTATCATTCATTGGATAAGACCCCGTTTATGCTCTGTTGCCCCAGTTGCTGAAACGGGAGGCTTTCCCATTTCCAAATGACACAGCAATCGTCCTCGGACATTATGTATACATAGACGGCGGCGAAGTGTCCCAGCTACCGGACGGCTTAAACCCCGTCGGCCCTGGTCCGGTGAACTCGACGCTCTCGATTGACATCTCAAAGTCGTGGCTCACATCGACAGTCGAGATCAAGGCGACGTCCAAAGCGAACGACGGGCCGGTGCCGCTATCCGACCAAGCCCTTTGGGCCGACCCCAGCGGCAACGCCTTCTACATCATTGGAGGGCGCGCGCCCTATTCCCGCAACGCTGACAAGATTACCAAAGATGGGATCTGGAAGTTTACGGCGGATGGCATGGGGAGCGGGAAGTGGGAGAAGGAAGAGCCGTTTAACCTCGATATATTCAAGTCGATCAATCTGATAGAGAAGGCTGCGTTCGCCACCGCTCATGGCTCCTTCGGCAGCATCGGCTACGTAATAGGCGGCCAGACGTCGATGGCTTCTGATCCCGACATCCAGGACGGCGGCAAGGGGTACTATATACCCTCACCAGTAGCGATCTCCTACGACATACAGACCAAGACGTTGGGATCGCTCGATATTCGGCCAATCCTACCGTTAACCACCTCGCTGTTTGATAGTCGGGCGATATATGTCCCTCAGTTCGGCCCCAACGGCTTTGTGTTTACCTTGGGTGGAGTGAAAGTGGTGCCGGTCGGCAGGCAGAATATTGGTATATCAGGATTTCTGAACTTCAACAATGTGACTTTCTTCGATCCCAAGACCGGCCAGTGGAGATCACAAGTCACGTCAGGCGTCGCTCCGGAGGATCGGGAAACGTTTTGCGTGGTGGGAGTAGCCGGCCAAGCTGGGACGTATGAAATGTGAGTTGATCCGTGACGACGAACTCGTTTTCTCGAAAACAAGTATGAATAAGTAATTAATTCAGCCTCGGTCATAACTTTCAGACTTGTATTTGGCGGAGCCGACGCAGGCTGAAAAAAGCCTTTGACGATCTCTTCATCTTGAGTCTTCCAGGCTTTGTCTGGTTTCGAGCAGACGCCCGCTCATCCGAGCCCCGGAACAACCACGACTGCGTCGTCATAGGCAAGCGTCAGATGCTAGTCTATGGCGGGGATGCCTTCGGCCAGAAAGACTATTTGAGTACCAAGGATCCATTCCTACAGGGCCTAGGCATCTTCGATATGACCGAGCTGGCATGGGATGCAGACGGCAAGTATAACGCAGATGCAGAAGACTACCGCACGCCCAAGATTGTAGAGGACTGGTATAGAAGCCACAATCTCTCTGATATCTCGTGGTCGTCGAATGAAGTGAGGGACACCTTCCTTGCGAACACCGTCGACTTTGATAAACCAGCTTCAACTTCTACATCTTCTCCCTCCAGCGCCACAGCCTCGGCAACGCCTGCTACTACCAACCAGGCGTCGTCTGAGAGTAAGGTCGGAGCCATTGCTGGGGGTGTGGCCGGTGGGGTTGCTGCGCTGGCCATTGTCGCGGGGTTGGCCTACTACTTCCGATTTAAGAGGTCGAAGAAGCCACCTTCATCCGGTGAGCTTCAAGCTCTAGAAAGTGGCGAACCGAAGGTCGAGTCAGAAGCCAAAAAAGAGCTTCCTACAGAGGCTCAGGCCACAGAGTTGGATGTGCCACCTAAAGAGCTTCCAAGTAACAATGAGACCTGGGAGCTTGACGCTGCGAGCCAACCACGAGAGCTAGATATAACGAATGAGACCTATGAACTCAGCTCAGAACACCAGAGGGTTACTCAATAACAGCAACGAGCCCAACAAGTATCGTATAATCTCGAGCAATCTAGGTTCCAGGTCAGCTCGGGAACGCAGGTTTAGAGGTTTACCAGTTGCGTTTGGCTGTGTGCACGTGGTTGTCGATGCAATCACAGAGCTTTAACCCTGCGTTGCCGGGCTGACCTGCAATCCGGATTTATTGAGATTATACGGTAGGATACATTGATCAATACCATCACCTGTGTTCTCGCACATACCCGAAAACCCAAAAGGGATCATGTGTAAAATTATATCAAATTAAGCTTCCTCTTCCGCTGTGACATCCTCGACCGCATCATTTACTCATCACCCTCCGCACGGACCAACAGTGGGAGGCGTGGTAGGAGGTGTTGCTGTCCTAGGCGTACTTGCTGGGTCAACTTACTACTTCCGGTTCAAAACATCGAAACCATCGTCACCATCCAACAACATTGGAACTGCTGGAGAGATGGGTGGCGGCGGACCACACGAGTTGTGGCCCCTTCCGTCCGAACCCAAACCTGAATCAGAGAAAGAACTCCCCACCGAGGCGCAGGCCACCGAGATGTACGTGCCGCCGGGGGAGCTAGCAAGCAACAATGACGTTTGGGAGCTCGACACAGCGATCAGTGGCACGGTGGCTGTTCGAGATGGAGAGGGTGAAAGCATCGAAGCGTCGAAGAAACCTTGAACCAGCCACTAAAGACCCCTTTGGGTGCAACACTTCCTGTCGCTGAAAGTCGAAGAGTGTCTCTATAGCATCTTGACAAATGAAGGCTTGGCGAAAGCCAGCATTGTGAGGAATTGGACGGATGGTGCTCATTCCTTCGAAGCTCCTACCACACCATCCTCCCACGGTGGGATTTCTTTATACGATATTTCAACACCATTTTCCAGAAACCCCCTTTAGTTTGGACTACAGATAACAATGTTGTACACTAGTGCTGTAAAGGCACCTTTTTTCAGCCAGTTACTGCTCAGCCTCAAAATCCAGCCTGGGTTATGCATGTAAGCGGCCTTGTGAACGGCACGACAGTGGCTTAAAGTGCCTTCAGAGCAACCTAATGCAGAAGATCCGAGTGGGATGTTTGAAGCATCACGATAATATACCCTGCTTGTACGCCAGCAGGTTGTACAAGACAGGCTCCAGACCACCAGTGTCTCAGACTCGGCCCCAGCAGCCAAGTACTACCTAGAAATATGGGTTAGAGCTTGAAAATTCGTTCACTCAGGATTTCTCTCCTCATTTTCACTTCCACAAAAGTTCTGACAATCTCATCGGATTCTTCAACCTTGTCGGCCTCTCAGCCCGTTTCTGACAAATAATCATGGGCCGAACTTTGAGGTCGTATCAAATCTGGAAGCTCCTACCGCAGTTCAGTTGTCACGCAGGTCTCACGCTTCTACTCTGGATTTTACAAACGGTTTTGGCGGAGCTGGTGGACAATCCCCCTGAGAGCCAGTTCCTTCGTAGGAGCCTTACCAGAGGTAACCAAGTCTCCCAAGCTGTGTCTTTGCATTATGTTTTCTGGTCACGAGTTACCTACCCGACGTAACATGACCAAGAGAAACCTGGTCTGCAACAAATGCTAACATATACGGCGCTTCAAAGTGGTCGTTCTAGGAGACTATCTCTACATCGATGGCGGGGAGTTGTCACAAATATCACTGCCAACCAACGTATACAGCCTGCCCAACAACTCCACTCTCTCAATCGATATCTCAAAATCTTGGAGCGCAAAGACGGTCACAATTAAGGCAACCCCAAAGGAGGGTGGTCCTGTGCCCACGGATGACGAGGCATTGTGGACTGACCCCAGCGGTGAAGCCTTCTACGTCTTTGGTGGACGGGCACCGCGCGGTGTGGGCAGGGAAAGGCTCGCAAAAGACGGCATCTGGAAGTTTACAGTTGATGGGGCGGGCGGAGGAACTTGGGCATTGGAAGAACCCTCCAACCTAAACATGCTAAAGAGTCTCACTCTAATGAACAGAGCAGCATATGCCACCAGTCATACCTCGTCAGGTAGCATTGGGTTTTCGATTGGGGGCACGGCCAACAACAATACAGATCCTGACTTCCACTTGACTGGTGCCCAATTCAAACCTATTGCCGGCATGGTTTCTTACGATATGAAGACGAAGACTTTGTCCAAGTCGGGTTTCCAGATGGCTATACCACCCACTGGCACGTTACGGGATGCACGAGCGGAATACGTACCTCATTTTGGCCCCAATGGCTTGGTCTTTGTGTTAGGAGGTGTAACCTACAACGCGGAGCCGGTACCTCTATTGGATCACATGTTGGACATGACCAACATCACCTTCTTGACCCAAGAACTGGCCAGTGGCTATGGCAGACAACGAGCGGAAATGCCCCAAGAAGCCGGCAATCGTTTTGTATGGTGGGCGTCGCCGGCCAGGCTGGGACGTATGAGTTGTAAGTACCATGCACATTCACAGCTGTCTTCCCTGCCCCCTTGCTCCCCCCCAGCAGAATAACGGAAATTAGAAAAAAAAAAAAAAAAAAAAAAAAAAAAAAAAGACAAGAAAACATAAAAAACAAACCACAAAGAAAAGGAGAACTAGGGAACAAGGAATAAAAAGAACAGACAAAATAAACCCCGTCAGGCTTGCACCAGTTAATCCTCCAACTTCCCATCCATAAACGCTCTCGCTAATACTCTCCCCTCAAAAAAACCCAGATTCATCTACGGAGGCAACGACTTCGTCGACACCATCTCCTACGACGACTTCTACATCCTCACCCTCCCCGGTTTCGCCTGGTTCCAAGTCCCCGACCGCACCCCCGAGCCCCGCGGCGAGACGTCCTGCGCAGTCATAGGCAACCGTCAAATGATAATCGTCGACGGCCACGACTTCGCCCAGCGGCAAGGAGGCTTAAGCCGCTCGTGGAAGATCCAAGACACGTTCCCGCAAGGCCTCGGCCTCTTCGACATGGTGGACTTGACCTTCGTCCAGAACTTTTCTTATAACGCGCACGCCGAGGCTTACAGGACACCGAAAGTTATTGAGGATTGGTACAGAAGGAACGCGACCAATCTCTCTTCGGCCGTGCCGTGGTCGTCGGATGAGGTGAGGGACATGTTCCTGGCCAGGGCGGCGACGCCTGTTTCGTTTGGTGATGATGAGCCTGAGTCTGCCTCGACATCCTCCTCCTCCTCCTCCTCCTCCACAGCGTCCGCAACACCGGCCTCTACCACTAAGGATAAGGAATCCTCCTCCACCAGCAACAGCAACGTCGGAGCCATTGCCGGTGGCATAGCCGGAGGCGGCGTTGTAGTGCTAGCTATAATCGCAGGATTGGCTTACTACTTCCGGTTCAAGAGGAGGAGGTCGAAGAAACCACCACCCTCGCCGCCGGGTGAAGTTCAACCTACTCTAGAAACGGGCGAACCAAAAGTCGCCGTCACCGCCGAGGACGTCAGTAAACCAAAGGCCAAAGAAGAAGAGCTTCCCACCGAGCCCCATGCCACAGAGTTGTATGTGCCGCCTAAGGAGCTGGCAAACAATCATGAAGTCTGGGAACTCGACGCAGCTGGTCGGACTGGAGAGCTGGATACTTGTACATCGAACCCAGCTTGTGGACAGTTCCAAGCAACGAATCCGGTGGTGCTCTGAGGGAGTTGATGTGTCATTTTATCGCTGTTCTTGGACATGGGACGATAATACCGGTGGGAACGAGGTATGCTAACCTGCCTATTCTCACTGGAGAGTAAGGATAGATAGGTCAGGCCTGTCAACCGTTGTCATCTCCACGGGTGGGCAACGATGTGAAAACCTGAGAAATTTCAAAACTTGTGTGTTTGCAGGGCTCTCGCCGCTCGTCGTTCTTACCATGCTCGCCACAGTTCCAAAAAAAAATCTCGGAGGGTGACTTGCTGATTGACATAGACAAAAGAAATTCAGGCCAAGAAACAAACAGACAAGGGAGGATATAATCATCAGTTGCATTACCTGACCTGTTCACTCATACCCAAAACAGAACGGAACAGTCCCGTATTACAAGTACAATATAAATATATCGCTTCATACTCCCCATCCACTCAACATGTCCAGCCCTCACAGTCTCCTCATTCATCATCACCTTCACCACCCTCACCAGTAGGAACCCAAACCAAAAACCCTCCCTCCTTCGCATCCACCCTCACCCCTTCAGACGCCGGAATCACCCTCAACACCTTCTGGAAGTACTTATCTCTCACAGTCAAGCCCGGTTTGAGCCAGTAACCCTTTTCACCTCTCTTCTCCTTGTCACTCTCACCAATCCCCCCCTCGCCTCTGCTCTCTTCCGTCCCACCCGCTGCTGGTCCCAACCCCGTAGGTAAAATCCTGTACTCCACCTCCCGTCTACTAACCGGCAACACCGACACCGCCGACAACTTTGGTCCCGAGAAGGCGAACTCCTCTGAGGTGTCCATCGACACGCCGAACGTCAAGAAGTGGTTGGATGCGTTCTCGATGATGACTCGGAGGAGGATCAATGGAGTAAAAGAGTCGGGGGTGTCGAGGTAGTTGACTTGGGCGAGCACGCGCGGCTCGATGCCGAAGAGGGAGAAGCGCGGGACTGGGAGGGTTGTGGTGTTTATTGTTTCTTCTTCTGTTTCTGAAGAGGGAACCCGTTTCCATCTGATGACCATAGCCAAGTCTAGCGGTGCCGGACCGCGATCGTCGAGACTGATCTTTTGCGCTACGATATCGAAGGATGTGGTCTCGATCGTGTGCGGCTCCATTAGTTGTCCTTTTTCGGGGAGGGATTTTTCGCCGTGGCGAGTGATCAGGCAGGTCATTGGTGGCGGAGTGTTGGGTTCCTGGCTGGGTTGTCGGAGGACTTTGATGTCTACGTCGACTACCTTGAGATCTTCGGAGGCGAAGGAGGCATATCTGGTTAGGAGAGACCAGGATTGGGTGAGGCCTTTGTATGATACTACCGTGTCGTTGTCCTCTTGAGAAGGAAGGGAAAGTGGTTGGATGCCTTCGGCATCGAAGAAAGAAGGCCACTGGTCGGGGTGGACCCGCGGCAGGAGCTCATAGTTGGATTCGAAGGGGTTGAGGACGTTAAGTTGGTAGACAGCTGTCTGGATGATGGTCGTTCCTGGGTTGGTTGGGAGGCGGTAGACCACGCGCAGATTCAACTCGTAGCGGCTGGGTCGCTCGATGGGAGGAAATTGTAGGCGGACGGTGGCGGTGCCACTTGGTTGGATGTCGCCTAGGAGGTAAGAGGAGACTTTCGATTCGCGGCCGGATGAACTGCTTGTTGATGATCTCTTGCTCTCTTCTTTTGATTCTCCTGACACGATTTCCACTATGAATGCCGGAGCAGTCAATGACGCTTCATCCTCATCGCAGAATAAGAGCGCATCGAACTTGGAGGGAGCCTCGACATCTTCGGCGTTGTAAATGTCAAAGTCTAGTGTTATTGCCTCGTTGGTGTAGTACTGCTCCTTGATTTCGCCATTGATTTCCATCTTGGGGGGCCTTGGAAGGATTCGGAGGGACAGCGGGCTGACTGGCCGTGTGATGCGCTTCCTGGATGAGGGTGTTGGATACCAAATATGGGTCATGTTGGGCATATCCCGGAGTTTAAGAGACTGATGGAGGTCAAAGGATTCGGTCTCTAGTGATGCGGTGAGCGAGAGAGCGGTTACTTCGCCTTGTTCACGGAGGGGTATGTCCAGAACGAAGACGAGAGTCTGACCAGGTGAGAGGGCCAGGTCGGTGGTGCCTTGTAACTCAGTTCCTCTCTCATCTTCGGTCGAGTCTTCTGTCGTCGGCTCTTTTTCGCTTGGGGTGACATCCTCAAGGGATACCGGACAGAGAACAATGTTACCGTGCTTTTGTCGCTTGCTATCTTCTTCGACTTGATGTTTCAGTACGACAGTGTTGATGCTGCCATTGAACCTGACCTCGATCCTGCTGAATGGTATGGGAGCGGATTCGGCATGAGCGTTGGAACGGAGGCACAGCTGGGCACGGGTGGTCTGGCCGGCCTTCCCTTCCTCGTCTCTGAAAACAAAGGTAGCTGAAATAGGCGAGATGATTTGGCCATCTGCGATATTGATAAGCGGCTTAGGATCCGGCGTTATCAGTTGTAGGGACTTGGTTATGTCATATTGCCAGTTTTTGCGTTTCGTGAAGCCTACTCCATCATCAGCAAGCGAAGTCACTCAAAATTCTTGGAATCTTACCTCGATCCAGCAATTCCCAGTCAATGGTGACCACATCGCCAAGTTCACCAGTCTTCGAAGCGGCTGCCCTTAAAGCCCAGCTAACTTCCTCGGCCAATGTTGGCCAGCGTTCCTTCCTGAAGGACATGTTTTGCCATATAGGCCGAAGTAACTCGACAATCTTGGCCCATTCCTGCCTGAGACCTAGTTCCCTGGCTAACTCTAGAGACAACTCAGCAGCCAGCCGTGCTTGATCCCTCTGCAAAAACTCGTGAAGTGCTCGTGACAGGCAGTCGATAATCATGCCGTTATGGTCAACACCTTGATAGGTCATATGCTCCAGCGGAAACTCCTCATGGGGTTCCGGGCACATGAAAGTGTCATATGTGAAGCCTCTGCTCGCAAGGTGAGAAGCCGGAGAAGAGCCTGGTGGTCTCCTATCGTCTTCAGGCATAGCACGAGCTCGGGCTCTCCGGGCATACAAGTGCCTGGAAGCCAGACGGTACCAATAACCTGTATGGTGGAGGAACTCCCATGGTTGTAGTCGTTCCCCCATAATATTCTTCTCTGGGTTGAGGTAGAGTCGCAGTTCAGCAGGGTCAAGCTCTGGGATGCCTGCCTTCTCCATCAAGTTCGCCATAACGATTGCCCAACGCGCTTCCCAGGCCTCCCACCCATAGTTACTGGTGCCTCTTCCAAGGCGCTCGACAAGGTCCGCCATCCTTTCGCGGTGAAATTGCCACCGGCGAACGGCCGCGCTATTCTGAGCGTTCCATAACAGGCAGCGAATGGAACGGATGGCTATCACGTCAGCAAGAAGCCGAGCCTCGTTCCAGCGAGGACTCCAGCTTGGTATTAGTTCGACAACCTCGGAGCTTAGTAGGTTTTCGTATGCTTGTTCGTAGGAACGCAGAGCATTCTCCATTTCCAGACGGTATTCGGCCAGTATAGCTGACTTGAAGTCATAACGGACATTCCATCCTGCCAGCGAAAGCGTTTGGGAAGTGCCTGTTGTTGGTGGCACGGTTGGCGGTGGAGCAACTCCCCTTCCTCTCTTCTTACGAGAATGTCTACCCAGTTCCTTGTAATACTCCATTGAAGCACCGTATAATGTGATCAACATGTTCTCAGCCATGCGCGCAAGGTCCTCGTGGGTCTCGTTGGGGGGCATGAGGAAGACCGACTTGGGGTCAAGTGCACAGCCCCTGCGAATAATCTCGATGCGATCTTGGAGGTGGAGGTAGTCGGTGTGGTCGCCAGCAGAGTCGGACAGAAGCACAATAGCCAGCTTGATCTTGTATCCCGACTGGATTATGAGGTTCCTCAGCTTGTTCACGTCGGACTTGATCTGGTTATCGCTTAGGGTGGACTGGTTTGGGTCGGAGACGAGGTTGTAGAAGCAGAGCACGACACTGGGGATCAGTTCCTGGTGCTTCAGTATCCATTGTGCATCGATTAGACCGTCGGGGTACAGGGGGGATATCGGAGTCAGAGGCGAGAAGGGGGAGTGTAGGACGGCACCGGGAGGTGCTTCTATCCCTTCAGGCAAGCGGGCGCGGCGGGGAGGGAGCAGGAAGGACTGAAGAAAGAATAGCATAAGTTAGACTATAGGCCACCATCTTCTGGCTGAGGTCTAGATAGCAGGTGACTAAAGAGGACTCACCCTTTCTGCTGACTTGACCCGGAAGCGGTAACGAAGCTGGTGCTCGTATGCGATGCATGGTAGGTTCGAGGCATCCCGCTCTTGGATGTAGTGTAGTAAAGCTTGGGCGGGAGGTAGATCGAGAGCAGGAAGGTCGGATCGGACCTCGATGGCTTGGTCCTTGAGAGTCTTGCTAAGTTCGGGGTTGTGGGCTGAGCTAGAGTTGGGAGGGGAAACGCCGAGGGTGAGGAGGAAGGGGATGTTGTGGTCCAAGCTGCCGCGCGGATAGTCGTCCATGGTTGCTACCTGTGTTGACTACTGTATATAAAGTTGAGCCAAGTGGTGGTTATAGTCGGTTCATAGTACCGTCGCCGTCCTCTTTCGTCCGGCCGTATGGTCTGATGTGCCCCGCGTGTCAAGTATCAAAGTCCGTAGATCGGATCGGCGGCGCACGTATCGCGAATCGTTCGTACGGTCTGAAGTCGTTGTTGGATTCTCTGCAAAGTCCGTTGGTCCCAGTTCCGTCCCTTGTCTTTGGTTGTCGGGTTATAGGTAGGTAGATGTCCTCGGGCGGTCAAGCTCCCTCGAGGCGGGATGGGACGGGATCCAAGTTGAAGAGTTGAAGAGTTGAAGCTGCCCAAGTGATGGAGTACCGCTAGACGTCAGCGGACCAACCTCCCCCCATGTGCCTACAGGGGTACCAAAGTGTGGGGCTTATCTTATCGCAGCGGTACCTGCCGAAAGCTCCAGGCACCCCCTGCTAACAATTAATACCTGGAGGGGGGTCCGCGTTGATTGATTGACTGGCAGAACCGTGCAGTGTGAGGAAACGCGACTGTCATCGCGTCTCTTCGGACTTCCTCCCGCTTTCCACATCACTTCACCTCGCCCACCAACTCAGGTTCCAGACTCCGGTCCTTCGGCGCCATGGGCCTACGATATAACCTCGCTTTCTGATTTGTGCCCTGACCATAAAACTTGCTCTATCTTGGACTTTTTTGGTCATTCAGTAGCGCATCCACCCATCGGCCCCAGCGCCGTGGCCATTGATTGTTTTTGTTTACTTTATCCTTATTTTGGTCAAATACAACGCCTCAACAATGCCTCTCAAAAAGTCATATTCAGACGCCTATGCTCAACCTCCCAAGGTCCGTCACAAATGGATTTTTTCAAGCGAGCTAATAATCCTTTACTAACCTAACAACCGTAGCGCGGAGGATGGCAGAGGACAAGAAGCAATCCTGCCGCCAACAACACCACCAACAAAGGGCCTCTACAATCGCTAGCCCCCGTCTCGGAATCTACCAAGAATAAGCTCCAGGCCTTCCGATCCGACGACACATCTTCCAAACCACCAAAGTCTGCAAAGCCCGCAAAGGCTGCCGCCGACGAACTCCAAAAAGAAAACATCAACACCACCAAGTCGATCCCAAGGAAGAGACCATCACCAGATTCAAACGACGAGGAATCTAGCGACGCCAAAACTCCCGCAGATCGCCATTCATGGAAAGACCTGTTTGGTGTACCTGAAGCCACCACCGAAGAGGAAGATGGAGAAAAATCGCCCGGTGACAGGGTCGACTGGAAGTCCGGAGTGCCTCTACAATTACCCGCTTCGCCAATGATCCCCAAGAATGGCAAAAGACGCGCAAAAAGTTCTTCGCCTGCTTCATCACCGGCTGCCAAGTTGACCACTCCACATGTCGCTCTCAAGAAGATTGCCGGCGCTTCCAAGACACCCCATGCAGATCCTGCCTCTGACTTGTGGAGTCGTTTCTCTTCTAATGGAAATGATACGAGTCCCTCAAGTCATAAGAACCCCCTCTTCGCCCAGCTTATGGCATCTTCCTCACCTCGTCCGCAATCAGGCGATCGATCATTGAGGAAGTCCGTCAGTTGCGGTTCCGCCTGGCCCAAGCGGCGTCGTACCGTTTGCCCAGATGAAGAAGACAGGACCGTTTCCCAGAACACTCCCAGAAAGAAGAAGTCGAGCCTCCTTTCAGAACTACTACAATCCGTTGATGGCGAGATCGAGAGCCCCAAAACGACGACCAATGCCCCAGCACAGCAAAAGAAGTCACCGTCTCCCAAGAAGAAGTCGCCATCAAAACGAAAGACAGCACCCCAGACCGTTCCTGACCAGAACTCCTCTCCCTCAAGGAAAAAGGCCGAGCGTCAAACTACCGAGGCTGCTGCCTCAAATCTACCAGAGAAGGCGTCTTCGGACTACGGTGATGACGACTTTGACTTTGACGAGGACACGCTCCTGGAACTGGACGCGAGTTTCCTTGGTCGAGGTGACGGCAGCACTCTCATAGCAAGCGACGCTGTCTCGCCAGCTCCACGCGAATCGTCAAAGACAGTAGTCGATAATGACGAATTTGGTGATCTCGATGACGATATCTTTGATGGGGTAGAAGACCTGGTTGCTCAAGTCGAGTCTGCGACACAGCAACCTGCTGTGAGGTTGTCACCCAGAAAGAGACTGTCCCCTAAGAAGAGACTATCGCCTAGGAAGAGGCAGTCACCCAAGAAATTGCCCCAGCAGGTCGTGGGCGATGAGGATGACGAGTTCGGTGATGATTTCGGTAATGATTTTGACTTTGATGCGGTTGAAATGGCTGCGACACAGCATGCCGGCCATGCGCAAGATGCTTCTTCACATGTATGTTTATGAAAGTGAGCTTGTTGATCCAAAAGAGATGGAAGTGCGTATGCTAAGACATTCATATTAGCCTAGTCAAAAACCTAGAGCCATACAGAGGTATCTAGTAACCAATGTTCTCGAGAGCTCCTATACGGATGACCGTGGCCGTGAATCCCCTGAGAAGGTAAAGTCCCCTCCGTTGCGTATGAGTGTGTCTCCCCTACTAATATTGTCCATTTTCAGATCCTCATCGTACAGGCTGATAGAACCAACTCTGTGCGAACGATCTATCTCCGAGGCGATTGGTTTGACACTCCCGCGAGCGTCAGCGCATACGTCCACATCATCGGCCAGTTCGAAGACCAGGGAAAATGTGTCGTCGACAACAACCAGAACATGCTGATCCTACACCCGGATCAGCTGATCTCATCCACTGTCGTTGCGGACTCGTTTAGCTGCATGCGGCGTGCGGTCTTGCAGGACAGAGTCAAAGCCACAAGCGACTTGTCCCCCGCGCTTGTCTACGGTACGATTCTCCACGAAATCTTCCAGGAAGCTTTGGTGGCCAACAAGTGGGATCCGGCGTTCCTCACCAACGTCATTAACAAGACTCTTGAGAAGCATCTTGAGGATCTGTATATCCTCAAGGTCAGCATGGATGATGCAAAGAGTCATGTACAGTCCAAGATGCCTGAGCTTCGGTCTTGGGCTCAGCTATTCGTGACTTCTCAGCCAAAGCCCGATGCTATCGTCCAAGGTCGGAACGGTGACAAGGCCACCATGTGTGTCAGCAAGCTTCTGGATGTCGAAGAACATGTCTGGTCACCCATGTATGGTCTCAAGGGCAACATTGATGCCACCGTGCAGGTCACTATGCGCGACCCCCCAGCAAGGGGCTCAGGCTCTAAGGCGCCTACGACCAAGACCTTGACCGTACCCTTCGAGGTTAAGACCGGCAAAAATGTCAACAGCAATCATCAGGCGCAAACAGCACTCTACAATTTGCTGCTCTCGGATCGCTACGACATTGAGATTGTCTACGGTATCCTATACTACATGGAGACATCCCAGACGCTGCGCATTCCCGCCGTTAGGCACGAGATCCGCCACATGATCATGCAGCGCAACCAGCTGGCTTGCTACATTCGTGAGCGGAGTGTCCAGCTTCCCCCGATGAAGAAGAACAAAAATGCGTGCGGCAGATGCTATGCCCAGACGACATGTTTCATCTACCACAAGCTTGCTGATGACGGAGATGGGGAGACGAGCGCAATGAACGAGAAGTTTGACGAAGTAGTCCAACATCTCAACCCTATTCACAAGGAGTTCTTCTTGAAATGGGAAGAGCTTCTAACCAAGGAAGAAAAGGAAAGCCAAAAGCTTCGCCGGGAGCTATGGACTATGATCAGCACAGAGCGCGAGAAGGTTGGACGCTGCTTCGCCAATGTCATAATCGAGGAGGGCTCAGCATACGAAAATCACCAACAGATGGGCAAGACCAACCGTTTCGCCTACACCTTTATCAAGAAGAAGCCTCCTCCTGGCTTTTCGTTCTTGGACTCGCAGCTGACTGTGGGTGAGCCCATTGTTATCTCTGATGAACAAGGCCACTTTGCACTTGCGCTGGGCTATGTCACCTCAGTTAGAAAGAATCGCATCGCTGTCGCGGTGGACAGAAGACTACACAATGCGCGTGTCCGGCAGCCCGGCTTCGATGAGGCCGATAATCAGGTCTTTGCCAGCATCATGCAGGTTCCTGGCTCCGGCGATGACACCCCGGATGACCCCGAAGCCGGCCCGGTCCGCTACCGTCTAGACAAGGATGAGTTCAGCAATGGCATGGCAACAGTACGCAACAACCTTGTTCAGGTCATGGCCGATGGAGTCTTTGGGTCTAGGCAGATCAGGAGACTGGTTGTCGACCTTGACGCCCCCCGCTTCAAGGCTGTGCCAACACAGTACATGCTCCCTTCTACCGCTTCGGGCCAAGGCCTGAACGTCGATCAGAAGGCTGCTGTTGAGAAGGTCATGTCTGCTCAGGACTATGCCCTCGTGCTTGGTATGCCTGGTACGGGCAAGACGACCACCATTGCGCACATTATTCGTGCCTTGGTTGCACAGAAGAAGACAGTGCTACTAACTTCTTACACCCATACCGCCGTCGACAACATCCTTTTGAAGCTCAAGGATGACGGCATTCCGATTCTTCGTCTCGGTCCTCCCGTCAAGGTTCACCCAGAGGTTCCCTCCTTCGCCACCCTTGCGGGGGTGCCCAAGACTTCTTTTTCGGAGATCCACGAGGCCTGGAACGACACCCCGATTGTGGCGACGACTTGTTTGGGTATCAACCACCCTGTCTTCGCCGAGCGCATCTTCGACTACTGCATTGTGGACGAAGCCTCTCAGATCACGCTCCCCATTTGTCTCGGCCCCATCCGCATGGCGCGCAAGTTCGTCCTAGTCGGTGACCACAACCAGCTTCCTCCTCTCGTACAAAACGAAGACGCCCGCCTCGGCGGTCTCGACGTGAGCTTATTCAAGCTTCTCTCCGAGAAACACCCCCAAAGCGTGGTCAATCTCGAACACCAATACCGCATGTGCGAAGACATCATGACCCTCTCCAACACGCTCATCTACAATGGCCGTCTAAAATGCGGCACCGAAGCACTCCGCACCACATCCCTCGACATTCCCGACATGGACGCTCTAGCAACCAAGCACTTTGACGCCGAGTCTTTCCTCGCCCACTCCCAACAACACTCCCTTAAAGAAGGAGATAAACTCTCCTTCTGCCCCTCCCCCACCCCCACCACCTGCTGGCTCCACGACCTCCTCGACCCCTCCGCGCGCGTCCGCTTTATAAACACCGACTCCCTCCTCCCCCACTCGCGCGAAGAAAAGTCCACCCGCGGCCAGCGCATCATTAACCCGCTCGAGTCCCGGATCGTCTGCCAACTAGTCGACTCGCTCCTCACCGTCGGCGTCCCCGCTTCCGAAATCGGCGTGATGACGCACTACCGCTCGCAACTGGCTTTGCTCAAGCACAACCTGAAAAATACCCTGGGTGGCTCAGCAGGGGCCGTAAGAGCGGGAGTTAAGGTGGCGGCTGAGGAAATCGAGATGCATACGGCTGATCGGTTTCAGGGAAGAGATAAATCCGTGGTGGTGTTGTCCCTGGTGAGGAGTAACGAGGGGTGCAGTATCGGTGAACTGCTAAAGGATTGGAGGAGGATTAACGTGGCGTTTACGAGGGCGAAGACGAAACTTCTTGTTGTTGGCAGCCGCGAAACTTTGCGCGGCGCATCATCTGTGGCTGGCTCTCCTTCAGCAATCGCTAGTCCCGAGTTGGGAGAAACCGGTGATGATAAGGGAGAAGAAGCACAAGGAGAACCAGAAGGAGGCGAAATGCTCGCCCGCTTCGTGCGCATGATGGAAGATCGCAACTGGGTGTATGAACTCCTTCCTGGTGCTTTGGAGGGACACAAGTTCGCGGATGCGAACGCTGCTTCCACTGCTGCCGATGCTCTTAGCCCTAGGAAGCCTGTGCCTTTATACAAGCCTATATCCCCAAGAAAGGGATCAGCGTTGTCGCCGTCTAAGAGGGCGAATGCGAAGATTGTCGGGAAGGGGTACAAGGTGCAGTCGAAGTTGCAGTTTGGTGGGACGCCAAGTCAGGGGAAAGAAAATGTCGGGAGCCAACAAAGCCAGAAGAGTCCCAAGAAGGGGACCGTGGGAGGGAAGCATAACCCCAAGCGTATCGGAATCAGCGAGCGCGCGATCATGAAGGGGAGGCCGATTATGAGGGATATCATGAATGAGATTACTGATGGGAGGTTTTGAGCTGGCTGACTGCCTCGGCAGTGGTATTGGCTTGATTGGTTGGTTTCATGGTTGGAATGGATGGTTATCAGGAAATTCGGTTTAGACTTAGGTTTATAGTCTCTTTGGGCGTTATGTGAGCTCTTCGGAAGCTTGGTCTTGGTAAGATAGGATAGGATAGCCTTACCCGGTATCACGTTGTTGGCCCTGGTATTTGGTAGCATGCGTTTGGCATAGATAGCCATTTCTAGAATATCATCTAGGATTATGGATGGATGGATGAATGATCAGTTGGCAATCAACAACATCTTCTCTTTGATGCTCGCATATCCATCCATTAGACATCGTGACCCCACATGTGGCCACCGCCCTCAAATGAGCCACATGTAACATTATGACCATGACCCAGATGATATTGAAAATTGGCCACTTTTGCAGGGATTTTAACCGTTTGAAATGTTCATTTACTTATTTTAATATTCGTAAATAATTTGCAGTATTGATTCGAGTACACTTTCTACTTCCTATACTAGATTTACCCCCTTCGTTGCCCTAGTAACCTTCTAGCGCTTAGGGGCGTACTTTAAAGCCTTACGAGTTTAAATCAATTCTAACTTTTAAAGATTATATTCATTTATATTCGAAATATTAGCGAGAATAATACCCTTATCGCAAATTTAGGCTTCCAAAAGGTTGAAGAATTTTGTAAAGGCTTCCTTAGTAGACCCTCTAATTCGAGCGGATTCGAAAGGGGTCGAAAATTTAGTCCTAATATTAGGATTCCTTATTAAGAACCGATTTATCCAACGGGTACCCAGTTTATTATAATTATCCCCTCTTTTTGGTATCGACGTTGCGAAGCTAATAATCTAACGACGGTTGGGAATATAGTTAGCCTTCTCCTCATTTAGAATCCAATCGTATAAGAAGGTTTCTTAAGTTGGCGATAGCCTCTAATTAAATATTTTCGAATCGCGCTTACTTTAATGGCTTCGAAGGCGGCCGGCGAAGGTAGACCGAAAAACCCTATACTTCTTTGAAGCTACACACTAAAAAAGTTCATTATAAATATCCTCAAGCGCTTACTCAATTAAAGACGAGCTTATTATAATAGAAAGAAGTGCGATCGGGCTTAATTTAATGAAATAGTAATTGTTCTTAAAAGAAAGGTAGTAATGTTAAATGAGGGGAAAACGCGATATAGATATGGCCGCATATAGGGGGTGGGCGCATATGGGGTCACGACTTCTACTGGTTAGACGTCGTATCGATCCTTTGAGCGAGATTTCTCCCCGTCATTAATTGTATATATCCAGCGGTATCATCGGGATCCACTTCTTTCTTCTTAGTGGGGGCCCATACTACGGGCCTGTTCCGTCATATCTTGTTGTAAACTAGATATGCAGCCAGCAAGCACTATCACAAATTATTGTTCGTCGTGTTGTTTGTTGCTTGCGAACCACCATCATCGCAAACCATTCTACCATTGCAGTGCTGCATTCTTAAGCCTCAGATCTAAAGCTTCAAAACAATAATAACCCGAGAAGCCCGCATGGCTCAGTGGTAGAGCGCATCACTAGTAATGATGAGGTCGTCAGTTCGATTCTGGCTGTGGGCAATTAACTATTTCTTTTGCTGTGCTCCAGTCTTTGATGGAGCTGCTCTTCTGGTTTTTTTTTTTTTTTTTTTTTTTTTTTTTTTTAAGTCGTCAGTGATTTCATTCTCGTCTATGGTAACGCAAACTCGGTGGAAGTGTGCCATGGTTGGTTGATGGGTTGGTTGGACTGTGAATGGAGGTTCAGGTCGGTTGGATGGTGATATTTTACGGAAAGACTTACTGACCGCAATGCGAAGGAACGATTGTTGAGTGAATGGTAACTAACGGAGTAAGAACTGCGGCGGGGTATCATTACATTATTTTTGTTTGGCTGCTTTTGTTTATACCTCGATCTCATACTTTTTCTTTCATCTGAGGTTGATAATGATGAGGATGAGATGAACTTCCTCCGCATATAACAGACTGACTACTCCATCCAACACACGAAATGCTTGAAGTCTGCATCCATCGATCGACCGGGAAAAAAAACATACGATGCCACTACTCCAACATCTGCTCCGTCTTCTGAACCTTATTCATTTTCGTTCCTCCATTTGTGTATACCTATAATCCCGTCCCATCTTTACCATGATGCGAATAACCAGCGTCGAATGAACCCGTAAAAACGCCTCGAGCAATGAATGAGTTGAAATACCGATCCGAACCATGCCATACCATACCATTCCATACCATACCATTCCATACCAGTCCCTACCAATCGCCTACCGACCCAATGCGTGCTTTCTCCTTCCAAGTAGAGAACTCTCCTCACTCAGAAACAGTAGAAACGCTACTCCTCTGCTCCTTCCTCTTTTCCTTTTCCTTCTCCCGATTCTCCTTTTCCACCAGTCCCTTTCCCTTCTCCCTTGCAACCTTTTCCTTCACAACCTTACCACTCTCCTTCTTCCCCTCCTTCTCTTTCACAACGCCCCCCTCTTGCATAACCCTCTCCCTCTCCTTCTCCTTCTCCGCCTTCTTCTCCAACTTCTTCGCCCGTTCCGCCGCAGCCTTGAGATCCTCCTGCTCCCTCATCTCGCGCTCCCTCTCCTCCCTCTTCCGTCTCCTCTCCTCGCGATTCGCCTCCCTCTGCTCCTTGGCCACTTCTTTGGGGGTACTATGATGCGTCAGCTCCGCCACAACCGTCGGCTTCGGCTTCGGCTCTATCTGCGTAAACACATGGCGGGAATTATATCCCTCGGCCAGCTCGGTCCTGATGACCTGACCTTCGGGAATCATCTCATGCTTCAGATCCCATCCGGCCCGCTTGCAGAGTTCGGAGACGACCACGTCGCAGTCGCCGAGGAGGTCGATGTCGAAGTTCACGTGGCTGACGGGGGTGCGGGAGATGTAGATTTGCGGGATGTGCGGCGGCAAAAAGGGGACGACTTCGGAGACGGGTGCTACTTTGAGCGAAGTGCCGATGACGATCACCAGATCGACCAGGTCGCGATCGTGCTCCGTCAGTCGCGTCGAGAACTCGTCTGGCAGGGCTTCGCCGAAGAAGGTGATGTCGGGCTTCATAACCCCGCATCCCATGGTGTTGGAGCCGTGCTCGGACGAGTAAGGATCGGAAGAGAAGTGGTTTAAGTTGCTGTGGTCGAACTCGGAATCTGAATTGCTGTCGTATTCGCCGGGCTTAACGCGGCGCGGCTTCTTCTCGGTGCCGTCGCGGGCGAGCTTGCGCTTGCGCGACGAGTTGTTGGTTGTGCGGCTGCCTTGGGCGCACTTGCGGCAGCGCGGGATGCGGCCGGCTTTGATTTCGGGGAAGATGGATTCGCCGGGGACTTTGTAGCCGCACTTCACGCAGGTGGCGGTGGCGAAGGAGCCGTGGCATTGCACGAGCTTGTCCGGGTGTATGCCAGCTTTGGCTTCGAGGTTGTCGATGTTTTGCGAGTAGTTGGTTAGCAGCTTTCCCTTTTGCTGGAGCAGGGCGATGAAGGCGTGCGTGGGCGAGAAGCGCTCCGTGTTGGGAAGGATGTCACGCGCGATCGAGTAGAAGATGTTGGGGTCTTGGCGGAAAATGTTTATGTCGAAAACCTCCTGCGGATCGCTGAGGCCAAGGTGTTCGAGCTTGGAGTAGAGACCGGTGCCCTTAGAACGGAAGTCGGGGATTCCAAGCGAGGTGGAGATGCCGGCGCCGGTGAGGACGATGATGTTCTTGGAGCGCTTGAGCAGCTCCACGGCGTCGTCGATGGTGTTGTATTTCATTAGCTTTGCCCGCTTTTGGATCTCGCGGGTCATAGCCAGCGTGAGAAGGCTGAAGTAGGCATCGTCGCCAGCGCCTTCCAGGAAGGCGGGCGGACGGATGCCAAAGGCCGTGAGGAGCTTCTTGATGGGAATGACGCCTGCGTCTACGGTTCGCTGGACGAACACCTTAGGTCCGACCAGTCGAAGAAGTCGTCGATACTCGACCGCTTCCTCCGGAGTGCAGGCTTCAGGATCTAAGAAGCAATTCATGGTTAGCGTAATTCTTTCTTGACAGCATTTGACCAATGTTCCAAGTTCCCTCGCGCTTTCCGCCGCATCCGACGCAATGTTTTATACCCATTTCTTCCTCAGTTCGCGAGCTGAAAGAAGCTCAAAATAACCCGTTTGCACCTGCAAAGCCATCAAAGGCTCGCCAAAAGAACAAAACCCGCGGACCCCGTATCTGAGACTGTGTGAGGGATGTGAAACCTACCATCAGTAAAAAACTTGTCCTCCGTGATATCCTCCAAAATCTCCTCAAAAATCGACTCCGTCTCCCACGACTCATGAAGATCGTTGACGTGCTCCTCCAGCTCGTTCAGCTGCCTGTGCGCAACTGGGTGCGTAATGTCCTCCTCCAAGTCGAGCAAATGCTTCTTTTCGTCGTAGTTGACCACCTCCTTCATTCTGGACGACTTTTTCGGCGCGGCGCTGTTGTTGCCTTGTTTGCTGCTGCCGCTACTGCTGTGGCCGCTGCTGCCACTTGCGGCGGCCCCTGCGCCGTTGACGACCCCGCGACGCGAGGGATCCATCATTTCTCTCTTTCTGCGCTCTTTCTTTCGGTCTTTTCGAAAGTTTAAGATGCGAGAATCCTAAAATACCGCTGCGTTGGTTTATGGGGGGCGACGATGGAAACAACGATGATGGGAGGGAAATGGGTTCAAAGTAATTTTGTGGTGTTGAGCGGTGAAGGCCCGGGTGTGGGTTCGAGAGTTAATGAGGTAAATAAGGCAGGGGTGTGTGTTGTGATTGTGGATGACGGATGATGAGGTGGTCAAGAGTTTAGTGAGCTTGTGGTGACCGTAACCGTGTGTGAGAGGTGTGAGAAGTTGTGTGTGGTTGTTGCTCTCAACAAAGTAAGGTGACGACGAGGTTGCCTAACGCAAAAGTCGTGACGCGCGCAGCAGGCAGAAAGGGAAGAGGGGGAAGCAGAAGGTGGTTGCGTCCGTCCTTGTTGTTCCCGTGTTTTGGTGGAGGAGGTGGGAAAGTTGATGAAGCAATTTTGGAAAAGGGAAAAAAGGTGAAACTCTTTAATTCCCGGTTGGTTGGCCTGGCAGAGAAACTTGAATGTGCAAGTCCCGAGATACCGTTGCGGATGGAAGTGGCAAAGAGACACCCAAGACAGAAAAGGTGGTGACGAAGTTGTGAAATGGGGCCGCCAAGACCGATGATGATCCAGAGGGCTCAATAAAAGGAGTTTAAAGAGTTAAAAGGGGTGAGAGTGCCAAAAACCGGGAAAATTAGGAAGTGGTTAAAAACGCGCGATGGTGGTGGTTGTCAAGGAAAGTCGCCGACGACGAGGTCTCCGGGAATCTTGGGATGGCCGGCGTTGAGATGGGGGCCGGGAGTCTGTGTGGTTCGGTGAATTGGGGGCCGACTTGTTCGAAAGTGGAAACGGAAGGAAGAAAAGAAGGGAGAGATGGAATTGGAACTGGACTGGGGGAAGAAAAAAAGGGAGAGACAGTTATGAATGAGCGCAATGAGCTGAATGAGACGATCGATTTAGGGACACGGAAAGAGGAAGAAAGTGGATATCGTATCGTATCGTTAGTCAGTGATGGGATAGCCTGTGAGGTCCAGCGAGTCCTGCCAAATAGTTAGACAACATCAACTGGCTTCCAGGCACTTTGTCACCTGCTGTTTCCCTAATCTTGTCAAGAATGTGAGTCTCGACGATGAAGGTTGCACAGCCCAGATGAACCGAATAGACAAAGAGAGGAAGGCTAGAAGGAAACAACAACAATTGGGTGCTATGGTTCAGTCGGGTTGGTTCTTGGTTTGGTGGTCAGTGAGGGCGTGTTTGGATGCTCTGAAATTGGGCTCTGAACTGTTCAGAGCCCTAAATTTAAGAGTGCTGTTTGGCGCCACTCTTACTGGCTCGCTCTGAAATTGTTGGAAAATCTGGGCTTTGAAATTCATGCTCCCACTTTAGATTTTGAGCTAATTAAATAACGTAAATCTCTCTAAAAATGTCTGAACTGGTTCAGAGCTTAAAAGGCCTCTAAATCGACCTTTTGAACTAGAATTTTATTATTTTATATATTTTTATAATACGTGACAACTCCCATCGTCAACTTCAATCGACCTTAATCGACTAGATTAACCACTATGCCCTCGTTTGACGTCGTATAATATTAATAACAATTATAGCGTTATTGTAAGAGGGCTATATAAGTAGCCATAATACTTAATATAATTAGATTTATACTATAGGTATTGCTAATCCTTATAAATATAAGTATAAATTTATGGATAACGATATACGACCTTCTTCATAGATATAAGGGTCGCTTCTAGTCCCTATTGCGTATAATGCTGTATACGTTTAATAGGTTGGTAGTATAGTTCGATACCTATATAGAATTATTATTAGGTTCGAAGACTATAATATATAAAAAGGTTATCGTCTTTCTTTTTATTATAGTATAAGGTATTATTTTTCGTATAATCGTATATATATTGGGTTTGAGTTTGGAGATAGTATATAGGTTAATAATATTTAGTATAGTATGGGAAGGAACCTTACTTTTAACCTCTACTTTAGAATATTTCATAAGGTTTTTGGTATTTATTTGGTATCGTATTAGAAAAAAGTCCGCCTGCTTAAGTTAGAAACCCCTCTTAAAATTGAAATTATTTTAAGTTATTGCCCTATTTTGCGAAGGTCTTAGGGGTTTTTGATAGTTTGTACTTTAGCGTGAAGGTTTTGGTTAAATAATAAAGACTATAGTGTAACCGAAAGGGAAGTGTTTTTATAAACGTATTACTAGTATGTGATTTCTTTAGTCGGATTACGTACGTACTTCCTAGTTAGGAGGGGTCCGCTAACGATATAAGAGTATTTAATATAGTATTTGGCGTTAGGTTTAGTATTTTTAAAGGGTATATGTACTTCGCCGACGCCGGCTATAGTAGTAATTTGAAACTCTTTATACCGTATTATAGGGTATAATACTATTTAGCAGAAATTATTAGAGCGGGGTTGAAATTAGTTAACTATAAGGAGTTGTTTAATTTGCATTATTCTTAGATTCGTATTATAATCGAGAAGAATATTAGTCAGTTGAAGGTGACATTTAGAATTTATTGTATGAACTTATTATTGCTATTAGAGGTTTAAGTCGAGGTCGTATATACTATTACGGTATTATTAAATTAGATTTTAGATTGGGATAGGTCTAGTGATCTGCTATTTAATATGATAGAGGCAGAGGATATTTTAGATTTAGAGCGACGCGAGATTGTGACGGAGAAGTATGTTCTTATCGGTTATAGTATGGAGGATTGGGAGAGATAAGGAGGAGTTAATAGTTAAATGAGTTAGTATTGCGACCGCTTTGTAAAGAGGATGTGGCGCGATTATTGTATAGAGTTGGAGAAGAGGAGAGAGATGTAGAGTAGAGTAGAGTAGGAGGAGGGGAGGGGAAGTTTGTAATTGAGTATTTGATTTTAGAAATTTCGAAATCTTTAGATTTGAGATATGATGATATATTTGCTCTATTTAATATATTAATTAATATTAGCGCCGTTAGTGTAATTTTAGCGACCCGTACCTTCTACTAAAGGTATTTATAGATCTCCTTGTATTATTTGTAAATGTGCTTTAAATTTGATGCAAAGTAAATATATCGATTCAGTTCGTTTTGGCGATTAAAATGATAACCTTTTTATATACATACGATTTTTTTTGGTATTAAAATATCGGTATAAAAGAAAGATAAAAAATATAATAAAAATTAAATCCGGGGTAGGTCCTATTTCCCGCTCCCTTCCATTTATAGGAACTTTGTGTGTAGGAGTAAATTGTTGTAGTACGTTGTAATATAGTGTATTTATAAGTTTGGGTCGTTTGAGCATAACGTATTCGAGTGTAAAGTTGGGTCGATTAAATTTTCGTTAAATATATTTAGATCCTCCTCTTGTAATTATAGGGTGGGTAAATCCTCCTCCTCCTCTTTTTTGTTTTTAATACCTAACTTTTTTTTAAGATTTTAAAGTATATTTCTTTTATCTTCTTTAAAATGATTACGAAGTAATGCGCCTTCGACTTTAATTCCTCCTATTCGTATAATATATAAATATTAGTATTAGGGTAGACTTTAGCCTCCTAATTCTTTTCGAATATTGCGACCGCCTTCGCTATTTATTTATATGCGATAACTTCCTTATAGCGCTCTACTGACGAGATTGCATTAATAAGGTATTTAAAGCTTTTATTAATAGTTTTACTATTATTTTTCTTCTTTTTTTTCTTGGAGTCGGTCGATAAAGCGGCTCTTTTCTTACCGTCGCGTATATGGGTAGGGATTGCGAACTCGCCTTCGAAATCTTCGTTATCCGAGTTATAAAATGTATTTATAGAAGGGATTTCTCGGTGGGATAGGAGTGCTCCTAGTATTAAGGTATGGGATCCGGTCGTACCTTAGTTATTAGAAAAGGCCTCTTCTATGAGGTTATGGTATGGAAGTGTTTTGGTTCGAAATTGTATATATTTTCTATAATTTTATTATATTGTTAGTAAGTATACTTAACCGGTTTAAATTAATTAAATTAATTTTTAAGAAGGAGTCCTAGATAGATTCTTTAGTAGTATATAACTTTGTTTCTTTATTATAACCGAAGCCGGATTAGTTAACGAAATTAGTAAGTACTTGCTAAGTACGCTACTTGCGCTTGAAGTAGTTAATTCTGTTACGTACTTGTATAGTATTAAGTTCAATACTGTACTTCTCGCGGAAGGCATCTACGATACCATTGTATACCATCTCTTTATACCTACTTTGGTTAGTAAGGCTATCGTCGACGACTTCCTTAAGCTTCCTTAGTAGAGTTTTCTCTTGTGCTTTGGTCTACTGCTATACCTTCTTGTATATCTTCTTTTTGGTAGTCTGGGAGGTAGTAGGTTGGTTGGCTTGTGTAGATGGCAGTTGATTGGCTATTTCGTTGGTCGATATTGATAAAAGATGGTATAAAAGAAGGTTATATTATATTAATTATGGGCCTATAAATACGAAATGTGTGTAAAAATTTCAGACTCTACGATTATGGGGCACTAAACGGCACTCTGAAATTCCGCTCTGAATAGTAATAGGGTGGAGCTCAAAATCGGCATTTACCGCTAAAATCCGGTTTAGAGAGGTCTGTGCGGTTCCTCTGAATGGGCACTTCAGAGTGAGGCGTTCAGAGGCCCATTTCAGAGCATCCAAACACGCCCTGAGCGACTGTTACCGACTGAAAGCCCTTGTTACCTATGTCACTGTTACGAGCCTAGTGTAGTCCCGGTCAATTATAAACCTTGGACACAAGTGATTGCAAGAGGCAAGAGAGTGAAAGGATTAAAGCGGAAAGAGCAAGTCGACTATCTCAACGATGAAAACTCGAACTCGGCACTCGGGGATCCAAACGGAGTTGCTTGCCTGCTCATCCGGATGGACGGGATAGATGTTGCCCGTTCGCAGAATGTTCGAGTGAATGGAGTCGCAATTGTGAATTGCTTGCACAAAACAGCAGTGTACTTGTAGAGCACTTAATTGTCCCGGGAAGATCCTCCTAGCACTGCGAAATCCTTATCTTATCAGCGCTGTTGACAATCTAACATCCGCCCCTACCATCACACCACATGCCGGGCGGGACCTGCAGCGGGACTGGGTGCCAGACATCACAAAGTGACGTGACCGTTCCATGTTGCCCGGCTATTCACAATTGTGTCACCGGGTAAAGATCTTCAATTTTGAAGGTTATGATGCAGGAGTGTGATTCCATGATCATCGTCCGTATCGGTGAGTGTCTACGAGCGTTTTGGAAACGCGTGTTAGCCCGCTAACTGAGCCAGCTTACAGGCAGCGATAGGAGCTCTGTAACATCAGTCCCAGAGAAGCATCACACATCAGCCCATCACCAAAACCTTCAATCCCAGACTATCGAGTTATCATCATATGTCGATTCCGCTGTTAATTTATTTCTAACAGTACTAAGGAATCATAAAACCAAATACGTACAACGAACGTCGTGTGGACAAGGGGTATCGCAATTCCACGTCTTTTATCTCATGTCCATCCTTCTCTTCTTTCCTCCCATCCATCCCTCATTCCTCCCCAAAACGTATTACTGCCGCACAGCATTAAAATAAACGTATGCATACCATAACTCAATAACCATACAGTCACTCGAATCTCCCTTCCCACACTCACTCCCTGCTCCCGTACAGTATATATATCCAGCAAGGTAATAACCTGCATGGTTGATGAAGGACAAAACGCTCAAAAAGACATGTAACTTCGAACGCCGAGCTTGCAAAATCCCATAAAACTAAGCGAGCGTTTTTGTTTAACCGCTTCCTCCTCTCCCACCGAGCTCTCTCTCTCTCTTTTTCTTGGTTGGATGAACACAGTTGTGTACAACTAGTATTACAACGTATCGATGGACGGAAACCGTAGTGAATGTGTATGAGGAAAAGGGTAAACAAGTTGAGTTAGGTTCAAAGTGGGGTATCTAAAATTCTTCCCCGTTAACCGTCCATTACTCCCAAATATCCTGCCATTCAAGCCGACTTCTTCCCTGGTGGCTTGGGCACACTGAGGATGGGAACAGTCTGCTCCACGCTGCTGGGGACAACATCGGGCGTCTCCTGCTCCTCATTAATGGAAGGGGTGAGAGATCGCTGCGAGGGCTGCACTTCAGATTGCGAAGACTCGGCCTGTGGGCTCGGCTTAGGAGGGAACAGGCCAAAATCGGAATCCGGCCGGCGCTCAACAGGTGACGGCGCCCATCCCGCGGCGACACTACCAGCAATAATACCAGTCATCACCATAGATGCCCCGAGAGCACTGTTGGACCTGGACCGCGTGCTTCTGCTCCGTCTCCTAGAATCAGGTGTAGGGGGGGCGATTGAAGGAGCGGCGCCGGTGCTATCCTGGCGGATTGGTGTCATAGGGACATTGATCGAGTTGGACTTGGAGTTTGACCTGCTGTGGGAAGCGCTCCTCTTGGGCATGAAGGTCTCGCGAGGATGCTTCATGGCGAACTTGAGGTTGTTGATACGTCCACCCTTGAACTGCTTCAGGAAGGCCAGCTCGTCCCTGACCTCGGCGAAAGCAGGCGGGTAGTACTCGAACCGCTCATCATCAGAGACCGTCAAGTCAGGCGTCTTGTTAGCCCTCCTCTTGATATATTCGGGCACCAAACGCTCAACCAACGAGTCGGGAATGAGACGGATGATCATGCCGACAGGGATGGAGATGAAGCCCAGAATCAAAGCGTATGCCCACATGGCTCCGCTTTGCTTGTCCTTGGCAATGTTGAAGGCTTGGCCACCCACGAAGATAATCAAGATCTGACCGCCCATCATAATGGCGGAAATGCCCAGGAAAAACAAGTTCTTGGTGAGTCCTTCGAAAATGTTGAAGTTGTTATCCAGACGACGATTGCTATGAATGCGGTTAGCGGCATGTTTTGGGTGGCAGTGACATATTCTATTACTTACTTCCATTGGTTGAAGATTTGCATCCACACAAACGTGTTGAAGACAAGAGTCTGGATCTGATCATCCGTAACGTTGTCATCGTAGTTGGGCAAAACACCTTGCTTGCCGAAATAGATCAACAAGGTGATGGCCAGTTGGTAGATGGCTTGACCGATGATCATCTTCCACATGGTCGTCGAGATGATGCCAGAACCCCTGCGTTCAGGCTTCCGGTCCAAGACACTGTCGGAAGGAGGATCGGTGGCGAGCGCCAAAGCGGCAAGAGTATCCATGATCAAGTTGACCCACAGAAGCTGCACGGCGGTAAGGACGGAGTCCTGCTCGCTGTTGGAGACAGCAGAGATGAAGGTGAGGATGACGGCAGTAATGTTGACAGTAAGCTGGAACTGAAGGAAGCGCTTCACGGCATCATTGACAGCACGTCCCCACTTCAAGGCCTTGACAATCGAGTTGAAGTTGTCGTCCATGAGAATAATAGCGGATGCCTCCTTGGCGACTTCAGTACCAGCGATACCCATCGAGAAGCCGACATCGGCCATCTTCAGGGCAGGGGCATCGTTGGTTCCGTCACCGGTGACAGCAACAATTTCGCCCATATCCTTGAGACGCTTGACCAGAATGCGCTTGTCCTCGGGACTGGAACGGGCAAGTACGTGCAACCGGGGAATAATCTCTTCCTGCTTGGACTTGCTGAGGTTCCGGAACTCGGGACCTTCCATAACGAGACTGTTAGGTTGGAGAATGCCACAGTCCTTGGCGATTGCTTCAGCAGTGATCTTGTTGTCACCAGTAACCATGCGGACAACGACTCCTGCCTTCTGGCACAGCTGGACGGCCTCGGGAACACCAGGGCGCAGAGGATCCTTGATACCAACCATGCCGACAAAGATCATCTGGTTGCAAATATCCTCAAAGACGATCTCCTCCTTGTCCTCTCCAGTACGGCGCGCCTTGGCAGGAGGCCACTGAGGGAAGTCCCGGTAGATGATGCCGATGGTGCGCAACGAGTTTCGCGCGTACGTCTCAATGAGCTTCAAGACGGTCTCGCGGTTCTCGGCGGTCAAGGGGCCAGCAGTGATGCCGTTGGAGGGGTCGCGCAGAATCTGGGTGCACTTTTCTAGCATGATCTCAGAGGCACCCTTGACATAAAGCCGTGCCTTGCCGTTGTCAAGCGCCACAACAACGCCCATGCACTTGCGTCCAGAGTCGAAAGGGATCAGATGCAGGATCTTGGCGTTGGCACGCTCCTCGGCAATAGGGCTCATGGCAAGATGCTCCTTGGCGAACTCGAGAAGGGCGGTTTCAGTCTTGGAGCCAACGAAAGATTTGACACCGTCAATTTCGCCTTCGAAAGCAGTGGAGTTGAGAGAAATGGACTTGAGAAGCAATTCCTTGACAGAGGCATCAAGCGAGGCAACAACTTCCTTTGCGGAGATGTCGGCCTCAGTCGGGCTGTCCGGAGTCTCGGGGTTGAGACCACCGGCAGAGCCAACGCCACCAAACCTATGGGTGGTGCCAAGGGTACCAGCAACGATTTGCATCTTGTTCTGGGTCAAAGTACCAGTCTTGTCCGAGCAAATAGTGGTGGCATTGCCCATGACTTCGCAAGCCTTGAGGTGACGAACCAGGTTGTTGTCGCGCAACATGCGGGTAGTGGCAAAGGCCAAAGCCAAGGTGACGGCAAGAGGCAAGCCTTCGGGCACGGCAACGACGATAATGGTGACAACGACAATGAAGATGTTCAAGAACTGCTGACCCTTTTCGGCGGGAGTGTGCTGTGACTTGGGAAGCTTGACCAAGAAGATGATGAAGAGGACGATGAAGAGCAAGAGACCAGCCGCACCGCCGAGCTTGGCGATGTACTCGGCAATGACGTTCAGCTTGGACTGGAGAGGAGTCATCTCGGGGTCCTCATCGAGCGCCATGAGGGTTCTGCCGTAGCTTGAGTAAATACCGGTGGAAGTGACCAGGTAGGTACCCATGCCCTCCATGACGCGAGCACCAGATTGAATGAAGGGATCCATCTTCTTGACGTTCTCGTTGTTCTCGATGGCGGCGTAAACCTCGTCAGCAGGCCTTTTTCGGATGATGTCGGACTCGCCGGTGGCCTGAGACTCGTCGCATTTCACATTGTAGCCCTCAATCAAGACACCGTCGACAGGGATCATGTCACCAGGCTCAAGATGCAAAACATCGCCAACCAGGACATCGAAAACCGAGATTTCAACCGTTTTGCCGGACCGGATAGCCTTGACCAGACGATCTTGCTTCTTTTTGTTGAGTTTTGCAAATTGGCGTTCCTTTTGAAAGTCGTTCAGGGATCCAACCATAACAACGATGACGATAGCGACAATAATGGCAACTCCTTCTACCCACTCGACCTTGGCTTCACCGGGCTTATGCGCCTGGCCAAACGTCTGGTACAGTCCGATAGCGAGCGAAACAACGGCGGCAATAGAAAGAAGAATGAGGACCTTGTCATTATAGGTGATCCACATCAGCTCCAGCAAGCTCTTGCCCTTCTTCTCTGGCAGTCTGTTGTCGGAGAAAACGCGCTTTCTCGATGTGTAATGGTCGTCTCCATGATGCTTCTTATGGTGTTCTGCTGCGTGGCTGTCGGTCTTGGCGAGCACAGTTTCGGCAGCAGCCTTGGGCTTGTCGGGTGAGTTCCCAGATGGACGGGCAGTAGCTTCGTCGAAGGTTACACGCCCATCGACTTGGACCTCATCCATGCTGAGACCGGCTTTCCTATCAGTCCTGAGACCCTTTTCCAAACCGGCAAGGCCACCCAACTTCCAGAAGGCGGAAAGACTCTTGGGGTTGAACATTTTGTTGAGTTGACCGGGGGTGAAGGCAAAAGGATTATCAACAACCTCGAAGTCGGCCTCCCTTCCTTGGTCTGGCTTGAGAGCATCTGGGTCGTTGATTACTTGGGCGTTGTCCGATGTGTTGCTGGACAGGGAGCGGCCGTTCTTGTCGCCTTGGTGGGAAGACCCTCCAATAACCGTCTCCCCTTGCGATGATGTTATCGAGCGGGTCTCATCGTTGGAGTTGACTGAGTTTTGTCTTGACCTGCCAGCAGCGCCGGGGACTGACAGGAAGTTTTCCATGGGTCGGTAGGTAACAGGGCTGGAGACATTGTGAGGACTTGTTGGGCGACTATCTCTGCTGTCGAAAGAGGTGGACTGGCGCATTTCGGGCCTCTGTCCTAGAGAGTTGGAGTGTTGGTGGGAAGGGGTCCAGTGACTGGCGATGGGGTCCATGGCGGTAGGGCTATATGCGTCCTCTCCCAATGAGGTAGGTGAGTATGAGACACCTCTTGGGGCGCTTTCAGGAGATTCCTGGGGTTGTGGAGATACCGCTGTGGTGTCAATGGTAATTGTAGGGCTGTATGATGTATTAGCTGTGGGCTATGTTGATAGCAGCAGCAGCCCTTCTAAGGCATGCGTATGATGGCAGATGTAGTAGGTAGGAGGAGGCATGTACTTACGCTCTCTGTCTCCGAGTGACAGGAGGAATTTCGCCCGCCTTGGGAGGGCTCTCTGCGTTGTCCGCCATGATTTCTGACACTCAATGGCAAAAGAGAGGAGTCAGTTGGCGGCTGTGTTGTCTGGCGTGACCACCTCGAACGCGGTGGACGCGGAGGCCAATGGGCAACCCGTCAGCTGCGCAAGGGCAGATTCCTGGTTTCCGATGGAATGTTCAATTGTCCGCGCGTTGCTATGGCGAACTCTGTTTGATTTGCAATATCAGGATGCCTTCGGATATCGAGGCGCGGTAAACAGAGCCACACTCAACCAAGAGTCGAGTAGGTTGGATACCTGTATGGTTGTAGCTGGGCAGTCCGACAAGAAGATGAAGGGGTTTGGGGTGCCCTGGGATGTTAAGCAAACCCCCAGCGGAGATTTCAGGTTCTTCCTTGACCCTGCTGTTGTTGTCGCTTCCCAAGCTATTCCGCTCTGGGACGTCGAAGGTACCCTGTACCGTAGCGTGCTTCGGCGGTGTTGATGGTAGGCGCGGGAGTGAGGTGGCCGGCCCAACAAACAACGGCGGAGCTGCCCACTTGTAAGTAGAAGGTACCTCGGCTTTGTCACAATCGAAGGTTGAAAGAATCAATGGTAAACTGAAAGACGGCAAGGGGAAAGGGAGGCGAGGTGGAAATGCGCGGTCAGCCAAAATACATACGGAAGTAGGTTCAAGGCCTCCGGTCGCTGCACATTCGCCCGACCAACAGCTTCTACATATGTTGGACGCGTTGTAGTGTAAACGGCGGGAAGCACGAAGCCGAGTTTGTTGAAGTGAACTGGAAGATTGGAAGATTGGAAGATTCAATCTACAAGTCCAGATGCTATAATATTTGAAAACGGGCGCCCAGCTTCAGACAGGAAGGAGCAAGTGAGATGCCTGAGCGCAGTATGTACAGTATTGTAACGTACTGCTCCGTAACAACAAATCCAGAACCAAGGGGAACTTCCTGGGAAGGAGGTCGATCACGCAGCCAGGGCGCCCGTGGTCCGTTACCAGTGTAACCCTGATCGGTATTAACCACGCATCTGTCGAGTCGTACTATGTATGTAATTTTGCGATAGCCAAGGAAGATACGCTTTGAGGTTGTCGGCGGATCAACAATGCTACCTCCAAAGCAACTATACCAGAATATTGTTGATGAAGGGGGGATGATGATATTGATGACGGCTATGATGATGAAAATGGAAGCTCCTCTGGTGAGGGAATATTGGTAAACCAGAGGTAGTGCAGCGGCAGCAGTCGGTCGGTATGTGGCACACGAAAGTGCTTTGATCTTGGAAAAAGTGAGACTTACAGAAATTGGCCGGGCAATTATGAGTTGTGGAAAGGGAAGGTGCAAGCAAATCTGAGGCGTTGAATAGCACAAATAGACATTGGCTGGCACTCAGGTCCTTCCTCCTGAGAGAACATCTCCTGTCACCGGTCTTGCCCGTTTACTACATATTTTACCCCAACGCCCTCATTCTCTCTCTATTCGTTCTCGATGCGTCTGGCTCCAATTGCCTCCAGTTCGGACTGGACCGCCTCAGATTCACCGATTTGCACCTTCGGGCACCACCAGCCGGGCCACCAGAAGATGGGACGGACTGACGGCGACTGTTCAACGACAACGACACCGAATCATTCGGCGATGGGCGAACGATGTCGGTGCAACGTCTGCGTCTGCACAATGGATCTCCAAACGAGCTCCTCTCATAGGTTTGGCGCCGGACCTTCACTGAGCACTGCCACTCTTGGCATCGCTTGGCGTTGTTAGTTCTCAGGGACTGGCCAACCGCCCCGGTCAATGTAACCCAGTACCGTTACGGTAATTTTCAGTTGGCCTCCCTTTCTCTCTGTTGGACCTGACCGTCCGAAGACCATTTGTTTGCACTCTGGTATATCAAATCACCAACTGCGCTGGTTTCTGCTGGTGAAAGATGCGACACCATAACCGTTGAACTTTGATGTTTTATCGATGGCATCATCCTTTCTTATACGAAATCTCCAGGACAACTCCATGCGGGGGGACCTGCCATGATCAATCTTCAAGATCTAACTTGAAGTGGTATCAAAGTCGGTAAAGCTCATGTCGCTAGTCTGTTTGGGGTAAGTGTGTGCCTCAGACGTGCAGATGAGCCGCCACTAACAAAGGCTCGAGGTCCAGTTTTAATTTCAACCTCCCGTGGGGTCCCCATGCATGCACGCTAAGCATTTCAAGGTCGCAATGACATCCTGCTCGCTCCTGATAGTGCGACCTGTGTGGAGGCCTGCAAAAGCTTAACATTCGAGATTTTCAGCATCTCTTGATTCCCAAGAGTTGTTGACTCTCAGCCCTAGCGATTTGGGTGATTAACCTAGACAATATCCTTGGGGCACTGGCAAGGAAAAAGGTAATGTCCATATGCGTACAACAAGCAGCTTCACTGGCTCAAGGTGTGTACCTAGTACGAGTCGTCGTGGATTCCTGTGACGTGCCATGCGTGCCTTCCACTTGGAGTCAGGGGTGGGTCTTGCCGAACTGGTGGAGTTTCAACTTCAATTCAACCTCCATGAATTGACATCAACATTGGAAAGAGCGGTTGTGCACCTCACAACTCAGTCCTGACTTGAGGAAATTGCACCCGGGACAACGACTGAAAATGTCTCGGCTGCCTCAACAACTTGGAGCACCAGTCGCCCTGCAAACCTGGAAGTTTTTATGTCAGTCACTGCACTTGGCAGACGTCTCGAGGGTTGTGCGCGCATGCAGCCTTTCCACAACAGTGTACATAAATTCGCTGCGGAAAGTAACCCCTCCACAACCACAACCTGTCTAAGCGCAAACACTTTTACTTTCTTCTCAACATCTTCCCGTTTCTGTTGCCTCAATGTCAGCTACCAACACTCCCAGCCTTCCCTCTAGACAAGTGGCTGTGCTCTTGGGTTTCAATGGTTCCATGGCTCAAAGAGGTAGCCAAGGAAGTTGCCATGAGTTTGAGCTGCCTCTTTTGATACTTGAGGTTAGTTTGCCCCCGTCTTGGCCTCTTTTCCCCCTCATCCTCAATCTCACCTCTCTCCACCCTGACCACCTAACCTAGACAATGGCGATACCAGCTGGACACATGCGACCAAAACTCAACAACAACGACACGATCGTGACGCGGCACCCCCATTGTCTGTATCAAATATCCTCGGGCGAAGTGAGACTTGGCTGAGGCGCAGTTACCGTGATGCTCATGGTTCCGGCTACTTTCGCCTCCTCAAGTCTGGACTTCGGAGCCATATCGACTTCTTTGATCCGACACTCGCATCGAACAGTACGGCACCAAGAGGGTATCAGATGGTAGAGGGATAAAGGAATTCCCAGCATTCACCTTGGCTATCATTTACACAGCCTCGTCCATCCACCATTGGCATCCATACTATCGACACTTTTTCGTTGCCGCCGAGCAATGCGTCAAGCTTGATATTGGATACATGTCGAATGTTTCATGAAACGCCCTCACAAATTCGATATCTCTTCGGCATCCAACCGCTTGCTGCCATTTCCCTGCGAGGAACACTGACTACTTGGCCAATAAGACTTCGAAGCTGACACATGCCGCCGTCATGGAATTGCATTATCTTGGCGGATTCGCATTTCATTTCCACGACACATCCAAAGTCAAGGCCAAGATCGTGCTTGTTTTGAGATCGAACCCGAACATCCAAGCAGCGCAATTACACCCTCTTGGTCTCGCATGCAAACGACCACCACCCTACCACAACAACAAGCGCCACACTCATCATCCCGCTGCGCTGTTTTATGCGCAATGATGCGACATCCATTTGCGATTCCCACCACCCTCTCTTCGCCCGGCACTCAAGCATGAGACATTCAAGCCACTACCTATTGGCATCTCCTCTTTTCCACATCTTAACCGGAATTCCCCTCGTGGAGCTGGCACCACATGTTCAATGTGACGACACCTCCGCTCCGGTTTATAGAAGCCCGGACACCCGGGACTCCAATCGTCCATCGGCAGTCATCCAAGAACGCCACATGATTCGTTCCCACTCTGCCAACTACCGGCACCTCAAGGCTGACCTCTAGGCTTCCCTTTCGCTCCGGAGAAATTATCCTTAACCTCAGAACACTGCCCGCTTATGCTTACTACTTTGGCGCGCGGCTTGGTTGTATCTTCTATGAGCCTGCTAGCATGGTAAGACGTGCTGGCAAGTTTCAGCCCGACGACGTGGAATTGAAGTTCCGCTCGGGTCGAATCTCACCATTGCTGGGTTACCCATTGGTGACACGCGGAATATCGAAAAGGCATGTCATATTTCGCATGCTCAGGAACCAAGCCCCCCAAGGCACATCCGCTCTCAAAATTGTCACCTTCTAGATGGGTTCTCTTGCAGGAACATGTTTCCAGAAGGCTCGTTTTCATTTCCATATACCCATGCTGATATCGGGTGCGGTAGCTTGACCCGCAACCCAGCTTCCAAACGAAGCGGGCAAATCCCCAAAATGGCGATTTAATACCTATCATTCACGACTATCCTGTCGCTGCTAACACCAAATAAGCTTTTATGCCACAGTCGATCATCGATCCTTCGCGCAAAATCCGTCCCCACTTAGCACACCTCTAACACCCTGGAGACAATTCCTGTTTAGGAAGCTGATCGTTAACATCATTTCCAAGTGTCAATGCCCCCTTTTCGCACTTATACAAATTCTGCCCTTCTCGGATAATCCTCCAAGGCCGGTGGCTTGTACACCAGCGGAAGGTTGTTGGCAAGGCGAGACCCAAGGCAGCCAGTCAGATTTCACCACTTGCTTCCTACATCGACATGAAGTTTTGAAACCAGGCTGTGAGCCGCATGTGGTGCCCAGAATGTCAGATGCACATGCATAGCCAAGGCTGTCCCATATCACGCCGAGAATTCAGCCTTATTGGAAGCCGAAGTTGCCGACCTTCGTGTATCATCATCGAACAAGTCCGTTCCAAAGCTACAACAATGTTGAGTAGGTCACGGGATCGCGAGTGCAGGATCGCGAGTGCAGGATCAACATCACGTCACGTCTG